AAAGACGATGTCGAGAGCACAAAAGAAACATGAGAGGAGCGTAATTTCTGTGCTGCCACGCAGAGATGACATGTGATAAGCATTGAGTGTGGACCGCTCCGACGACGCCAGATGACAGTTTGTAGTTAGTCGCTATAATAAGGCAGAGACAAACAGTTTGTCTTTAAGCTGTTGTGAATGTCAGGCCTCTTAATGAAGATAAAGAAATGCAGTTAAGAGCATATCAAAGCCAAGCCGGGCTGAATTCTCCTCTTGGATTTCATTATTGGCAGTTAAACAACACGGTTTTCATGTTCAGCATTTAAACATCGAGGGTTGCCTTTCAAAGATATTGATCTTTTTGGAGAGATGGTTTTAGTCTGGGAATCTTCTGGGAATTCTCTATTTATGATGCTGTTGTTAGTGACCAGCTCTCTGACTAGCATTCAGGATCCTATTAAACTCAAAAATGCAGTTTTGGTGGCTTTTAGTCCGTGTCTTTAATCACGTACATCTGTTGTGTACAAACATTTGATAAACATCTTTAGAATTTAGTCAAAATAAAAAAGCAGTTTTACATGCATCTAAATGTCTATAACATCTGAGAGCAAACGTCTTCAAGACATCTTCTATATGTCTATATAACATCTGACAGGAAACGTCTTCAAGACATCTTCTATATGTCTATATAACATCTGATAGGAAACGTCTTCAAGACATCTTCTATATGTCTATATAACATCTGTCAGGAAACGTCTTAGAGACATCTTCTATATGTCTATATAACATCTGACAGGAAACGCTTTCAAGACATCTTCTATATAACATCTGAGAGCAAACGTCTTCAAGACATCTTCTATATGTCTATATAACATCTGTCAGGAAACGTCTTAGAGACATCTTCTATATGTCTATATAACATCTGTCAGGAAACGTCTTAGAGACATCATCTATATGTCTATATAACATCTGTCAGGAAACGTCTTCAAGACATCTTCTATATGTCTATATAACATCTGAGAGGAAACGTCTTCAAGACATCTTCTATATGTTATATAACATCTGACAGGAAACGTCTTCAAGACATCTTCTATATGTCTATATAACATCTGACAGGAAACATCTTCAAGACATCTTCTATGTCTATATAACATCTGAGAGTAAACGTCTTCAAGACATCTTCTATATGTCTATATAACATCTGTCAGGAAACGTCTTCAAGACATCTTCTATATGACATCTTCTATATGTCTATATAACATCTGAGAGGAAACGTCTTCAAGACATCTTCTATATGTCTATATAACCTCTGTCAGGAAAAGTCTTCAAGAAATCTTCTATTTATCTACATAACATCTGACAGGAAATGTCTTCAAGACATCTTCTATATGTCTATATAACATCTGTCAGGAAACGTCTTCAAGACATCTTCGCCAGATAGCACAAGTCTATTTGATGTGATGTTTACATCTGGAAGACGTATTTTTAAGAGTGTTTGCTCATCTGCAATACGTCTATAGGACGTTTCCTCTCAGATGTCAAATAGACGTTTAGAAGATGTCTTTAAGATGTAATGATTTAGAATGCATGTTAAACTGACATCTTCTAAACGTCTATTTGATATCTGAGAGGAAACGTCCTATAGACGTATTGCAGATGAGCAAACACTCTTAAAAATACGTCTTCCAGATGTAAACATCACATCAAATAGACTTGTGCTATCTGGGATGGCTATATAACATCTGACAGGAAATGACTTCAATACATCTTCTATATGTCTATATAACATCTGTCAGGAAACGTCTTCAAGACATCTTCTATATGTCTATATAACTTCTGACAGGAAACGTCTTCAAGACATCTTCTATATGTCTATATAACATCTGACAGGAAACGTCTTCAAGACATTTTCTATATGTCTATATAACATCTGACAGGAAACGTCTTCAAGACATCTTCTATATGTCTATATAACATCTGACAGGAAACGTCTTCAAGACATCTTCTATATGTCTATATAACATCTGACAGGAAACGTCTTCAAGACATATTCTATATGTCTATATAACATCTGAGAGCAAACGTCTTCAAGACATCTTCTATATGTCTATATAACATCTGACAGGAAACGTCTTCAAGACATCTTCTTTATGTCTATATAACATCTGAGAGCAAACGTCTTCAAGACATATTCTATATGTCTATATAACATCTGACAGGAAACGTCTTCAAGACATCTTCTATATGTCTATATAACATCTGAGAGCAAACGTCTTCAAGACATCTTCTATATGTCTATATAATATCTGTCAGGAAACGTCTTCAAGACATCTTCTATATCCCAGATAGCACAAGTCTATTTGATGTGATATTTACATCTGTAAGACGTATTTTTAAGAGTGTTTGCTACCCAGATAGCACAAGTCTATTTGATGTTATATTTACATCTGGAAGACGTATTTTTAAGAGTGTTTGCTCATCTGCAAGACGTCTATAGGACGTTTCCTGTCAGATGTCAAATAGACGTTTAGAAGATGTCTTTAAGATGTAATGATTTAGAATGCATGTTAAACTGACATCTTCTAAACGTCTATTTGACATCTGACAGGAAACGTCCTATAGACGTCTTGCAGATGAGCAAACACTCTTAAAAATACGTCTTCCAGATGTAAATATAACATCAAATAGACTTGTGCTATCTGGGTAATCTGCAAGACGTCTATAGGACGTCTCCTGTCAGATGTCAAATAGACGTTTAAAAGATGTCTTTAAGATGTAATGATTTAGAATGCATGTTAAACTGACATCTTCTAAACGTCTATTTGACATCTGACAGGAAACGTCCTATAGACGTCTTGCAGATGAGCAAACACTCTTAAAAATACGTCTTACAGATGTAAATATCACATCAAATAGACTTGTGCTATCTGGGATGGCTATATAACATCTGACAGGAAATGTCTTCAATACATCTTCTATATGTCTATATAACATCTGTCAGGAAACGTCTTCAAGACATCTTCTATATGTCTATATAACTTCTGACAGGAAACGTCTTCAAGACATCTTCTATATGTCTATATAACATCTGACAGGAAACGTATTCAAGACATCTTCTATATGTCTATATAACATCTGAGAGCAAATGTCTTCAAGACATCTTCTATACGTCTATATAACTTCTGACAGGAAACGTCTTCAAGACATCTTCTATATGTCTATATAACATCTGACAGGAAACGTCTTAGAGACGTATAGCAGATGAGCAAACGCTCTTTCAGGTGAAGACACGCACGTCACATAGACGTCTCTGAATTGTATGTATGTATCGACCATTTGTACTCTAAAAGCTGACAAAACTAAATGTTTACAGACATTTTAACTCGATCTCACGAGAAAACGCAACTATTGTACGAGGTGGCGATTTCGTATAAAATCGTACGATGTGAATCCTACAAAAACGTAAGATTTTTACAACTTCTGATTCCGTATAGGAACATTTTACTGCTCAGCTGACATCATCTACTTCACTTATTTTTTCATTTTAACTATACGTTTTTAAAGGGAGTATAGCTAACTAAACATACCTATCAAAAGATTTGAGGTCAAGAATAAAAAAAAAGTATACTTTTATTCAGCAAGGATACATTAAGTTGATCAAAAGTGACAATAAAGACATTTATAATGTTATGTCATTTGATAGTTCCCAATTACTTTTTGTTAGTAGCTTGTCGTGTAGGCAACTAAAGAACAGAAATAGCTTGACTGAAATGTGACTAGCAAAAGAAAGATGTGTTTAATGTCTCTGTCATGGTGCAAACATCTTTCTCACTAAAACTACACTCTCTGAATCATGCCAGCCCTTGTGATCTCGTGTTAAGCAACATGTTAAGCCAGCATGTGTGTGCTGTTTCGTGGATGTATTTCTGCACACTGCTGCGATTGAGTAATTACCATGACGACGTGGCTGTAAAACTTTAGGGAGTCATTGCATTGCTCATGGCTGCTGAGGTAAACGTGTGTGAGAAGAAACAGGTGCGGTCCCATCCCGACCTGGCCAGACAGACGCTAGCGCTCATGACTCAATGCCCGACATAAAACTAGTGCGTGACAGGAAGCCTTTACATACCACACACACCTCCTTGACAGAAAAAAACCATACATTATATACATCCTACACACCCCGACAGCAAAACCATCAGAGAAAACCAAGACAAGAATCTGGATCACAATATCAACCACTGCTGGGTCCGAAAAAAATCAATAATGAAATAAAATAAAATGTGACATTTAAGGCATTTAAATGTATGAATGCCATTGCATTAAATACAAAATATCAAACCATGCAGCATTCATTTTAAAATAAATATAGCACTTAAAAGGACGCATATCAAGCAAAATATATATAAAAAATTCTGTTCCATATTATAAAACAGATTTACAGTTCAAATAAAAAGTATTTGGACATTTTCTGGTTGTCAAACATTAGTGGAACATGCCTGTACTTATTATCATGAACTGTCGAAATCATTTTTAGAGCCAATGTAAATATATATATTTAGATATATCTGAAAGAAACCCAATGCTATCAATATAACAAAATAACTGTTAGATTAATCCTATTCTTTTCTTGTTTTTCTTGTCACGATTAATCTAACATAAAAGTTTGTGTTTCTATAATATATGTGTGTAATATATATGTGTGCGTGTGTATAAATATATACATAAAATATGTGTACACACACACATCATATCTTTTATGTTAGATGCGATAAATCGCAATTAATCGATTTGACAGCACTAGTATATATATATATATATATATTCATTCTTGCACCTTAATTGACTATGTCTGGTGCTGAAAGAAAGCTTTCAGCAGATACAGACAGACAGACACACAGTGTGAGACAGACGAACCCCATACCTGGCAGGTGTGTGTGTGTGTGTGTGTGTGTGTGTGTGTGTGTGTGTGTGTGTGTGTGTGTGTGTGTGTGTGTGTGTGTGTGTGTGTGTGTGTGTGTGTGTGTGTGTGTTGCGAGGGCAAACGGCAGCGTCGGCGGTGCCTGAATTCAGTGTTTTTATCTGGCTCAGTGATGCGGAAGAGGAAGCCTTGAGATGCCGCGTGCGGTTTTGTCGAGCTGACTTCCTGAAAATAGACACACACACACACACACGCACACACACACTGACATGACGGTCATGACTCGATCAGACCCGTCTAAACATTAAAGAACACGCTCACATCGTCTCATTTCCAAAGGAAAAATCATATATATTGGATGATCTGAATTTAAAAGATACTCCGCTATTATTCCAACACAAAGCCTAATAACAAGGCCTTTAATCCCATAATAGATCTGTTGGATTTGGGATTCGGGGGTAAATAGTTTCTGCGGCCCCATGTTGAGTGGGATGAAGAGTCCTTCGCTCTGGGACCAGTGCCTCACCTCACCTGCTGCTGGGAATGACAACGACTCAAGAACCAATAGGGCTGAAATTGCTCTAGATTGATGACACAGGGATCGAGCGAGGTCTTTCGCTGGCCAGAACAACGCACCCAATCTGGCGGCAGAATATAATTCAAGGGCACTTCAAGAGTGACCTCTAAAGTACAGAAGGAACCTCTCTGTAAACAGCTGAATAAAACACTGGAAGGGCCATCAAATCTGCTTGGACTTGCTCAAGATGAAATTATTTCTGATAGCCATGTTCTCTGTCATTACAACATACAGTCTGTCAGTGTATACACACACACACGCATTGTTTTCATGTTTTAAGGGGACTTTCCATAGACATAATGATTTTTATACTGTACAATCTGTATGTTCTCTCTCCTTACACTAACCGACCCCTAAACCAACTCATCACACAAAACTTTCTGCATTTTTACATTTTCACAAAACATCACTTGATCTGATTTATAAGCTGTTTTCCTCACGGGGACCAAAAAATGTCCCACAAGGATTTCGGATATATCCGAAATATTGCCATTTTGTCCCTTATGTAGAGTTTACCAGGACACACAAACACACCCAGTACTTAATTTGACTCTTGATATATAAAGTATGTTATGTATGTATATTTTGCCTAGATAGATAGATAGATAGATAGATAGATAGATAGATAGATAGATACATGTTTCACTGCCATCTTCATGCATGGTATTTTAATTGTACCGGCTTTATAGTAGCCTATCACAATCATGATAGAGCCATGTAGTTATGTTAATACCGTTTTTTGTAAACAGCTACATTAAATCTATTTAATATAATCAGCTTCTTTCTTTCTATTGGTGTGATTAGTCGCGCGCATCATGAGATCTCCGACGAGTCCAAACGCAATTGGACAGAGCCGTCAGTCACACGGTCACAGCAGAGATGAGCAGTGGTGGACCAGAGCTTCTTCACACACACACACACCATCCCTCTGAGCCACAAATTACACACGAGAGCCTCGTCGTGTAGAGTTTGAGCCGTGGATCGACGTGAATCGAGGGATTTTTCACTAAGCACCTGTTGGCGCGAGTGTTTATCTGAGCTGGATCCTGCGCGCGCCACAGACATGACAGGGAACGAGTCTCGCGATCGCAACTGCAATGACACACACATTTGCGTCTGAGAAACACGGGGAACACGACCTAAACATGCTTATGGAGGCTTAAAGAATAACCATGTGTGTTTTCTTTTCCTGTAATAAAAATAAAGGTATAGCTAACACTTGAATAGGCTATACCAAAAATTAATTAAATTAGGCCTATAATTTTTTTTTAAGAATCAAACAATACATATAAAAAATAATAGTATGAAATAATGATAATGCAATCGAATTTATAAATACTGAAATAAAATCACGTGGAGAAAATTGCATGATGATTTTAAATATTCCAAGACGGAACAATAGGAAACGTTAACAAACGCCTAGATAAAGAGAGAGAGAGAGAGAGAGAGAGAGAGAGAGAGAGAGAGAGAGAGAGAGAGAGAGAGAGAGAGAGAGAGAGAGAGAGAGAGAGAGAGAGAGAGAGAGAGAGAGAGAGAGAGAGAGAGACAAACACATGACATACACATGCAAATTTAGAAGTAGTCATGCATTAATGTGCGCAGTGTCACTGTTGCTCTATTGTGACACGAGCATCGGGCACGCGGAGAATAGCAGATAACATTCACCGGCCACTTAAGCACAAACACGACATCACTCGCCATGACCTGCTCGCCAGACTGATCCACCACAGGGCCTGGTCTATACGAGCAAAAACACTAGGAATAATGAAATCATAATGTGCACGGAGAAGATCGGCATGTTTGGACACTGAAACGGTCACAAAAGGCTGTAACCCTAATGATGTATTCCTCCTGTTTCTAAGATGAAATAACGCTGGATGATGTAGAGAGAGAGAGAGAGAGAGAGAGAGAGAGAGAGAGAGAGAGAGAGAGAGAGAGAGAGATCTGATAACTGCGGGCCCCTAAAATGCACCTGACACTGGACTTCAACTGAAGCTCTGCTGTTATGAACGATTTGACACGTGTTTAATTCGCGACTTTTTTTTATTGGTTTAATTGCGCAGTTTCAGCAACTCTATATTAATAGCTGTCATGTCGTGAAATTTGACTTTCAGGCGAATTGCAGGTTTACTTGTAACTGAATGTTCCCACATTACGCGGCGACCTGCGCTTCCACGTCAGCCTAAAAACAATATCCATTGTTTTACACATATCCAATAGCAATATAAAGGCATTTATGTGTTATATGAATTAGCCAATTTATTATAGAGAATTATATGAATACATTTGCAAAAACCCCACTATATAGCCTAATTCCATCTGTCTTCCGTGTTTCTAAAAAAAAAATAAAATAATAATAATTGAGGAGAAACTGTTGTGCTTTATGAAAAGCATAAATAATTATCTCCTCACTACGCTTTGTTTTGCGCCACCAATCACAAAAACCCCCGTGCCCTTACGGGTTTATTAAAAAATAACACAGTTATGCTGCTGTTGCGCGCGCATTAGATAAAGACGTATTCCTTATAACCACGGTGAGCTCATTGAACATGCTTGAGCCTGTCAACGGACACAACAAGCGTGTGTTTGACTGTCAAAATCATGAAGTGAAACGCAGGACATGGTGTTCTACAGATAGCCGATTTAATCACGAAACCGACCTGCAAGGTGCCTCGAGCAGTGACACTATTTGCAAAAAGCAACTGAGATGTGAGTTAATATTTGTTTTGACTCTCTTTGAATTGTTCGAGGGGGGGAAACCAGCCTGTTTGGGGTGATCAAGTGAAGGACCTGTAGTAGAGAGGGGTTTAAAATGAGCCAGATTAGTTAATTATCCACAAATGCGCTTTTCCTCTTAAGGGTGGGGACAAATTAATCCCAGCGGCAACCGACAAAAATTCTCTCCTGTGAAAAGCCCTCTCTCTCTCTCTCTCTCTGTGTGTGTGTGTGTGTGTGTACCAATACAGTGGTTTTGGAGCGGCCCAGACCCTTCTAATGAATAGGTCCGGATTAATCATTCATCTTGTGTTGTTTAACGCTTTGATGGATGCATATCGTCACTCAGGCTCAAGACAATAGATGCACGGCGTTTTGTTCTTACCAAATAAATCACTCACATTGTTTAAGGTACATTGATCAATCTAATGACTTGTAATAGGCTCCTAATTACCACAGAAAAGTGGTCGCCAGGCACAAGCCGGACTGTGTTTTTTAATTCAAATAGGTCCGGTTATGGTGATCAGAATTAAAAATATAGCTTTATGATATCATGCATTAGGGTAGAGTGGTTTAACTTACATAATTTTTTTTCTTCTTCTAAAAAATAAATGTGGGTTCAGCAAATAACAAAAAAGCTATTTTAATTTTAAATATTGATGTTTATTTCCGTTCTCTCTTCATTATAAAATGCGTCTTTATACTCTTTGCCTATTTAACAGCTGTCAGGGGTAATCAATCCTCAATTAATAGAAACTGCTCAAAGTGAATATATATTAATTGCGAGTAGTAATTATCTGTTTTCATCCGCGTCTCATATTGCGCACATTTCGCCCGAACTGTAAAGAAATGTACATCAGTGTAAAGCTTCGACGCAGCAATTTTATTTCATTTTCATTACATACATACACATCTAAATCTGTAACCTAAACCTCTCTCTGCGCCTCAGGCCAATTTGTTTATGCTGAACAGACGTTTAATAGTGTTAATTGTTCCTCCGTCAATTTGCAGTGATTGCGGAAATCAAGCGATTTTCGAGACTCCACCACTTGGATTTGAATAAATTGTTTTATATTCCCTAGCTCTCTCCATAGGAGGGAATTTAAAGCGAAGCGCTTTGGAGTAAATTGCATCCAGCCTGACTGGCAGCGTTCAGCCGCTATAATGGAGCATTATTTGGTCATTTTGAATACTGTAATGCACAGCGTTTCGGCGGGGCCATTCTCAAGAATATTGCTTTAACTTTTAAAAGGAGGCGATTCACTCCAAAGCAGGCCATTGTTACATTATGTCATTACCCTTAAATGTTTTAACAAGCAGCGCAACACGCTGCTATAATGCATTGATATTTATATATTAAAAAAAGAAATTTGAGGGGGGGGTAAAATACAAATATTAGAATTCTTTATTTGATTATCTGAGTTTTTTTGTAAAAAGTTTTAGGCTATTTAGGCTGTCATTTAGCGCTCGAATGTTGAATTGAGCATTTCTATTTGAAATAAATAAAAAAAATGTAATTTAAAAAAATGAGTCCACTTTTTAAGGATTTTTGAGTCATGTGCTCGCTGAAGGTATTTAAAGGAAGCGCGAGGGTGAGCGCGCGCACACGCGCATTAACACCCCAAACTCTAACCTGCGCCCCCATATCCACCCCCCCCCCCCCCCCCCCCCCTCTCTCTCTCTCTCTCACACACACACACACACACACTCAATAAAACACACCTGTTGTGAGATCAGTGGTGCACCTCCGTCCTCTTCATCTAAGATGTATTCTTGCATTTCAGTGACTTGTTCTAATAAGAAAGTTCGAAATATTTTTAATATTTTTATTCACCAATAGCCTAAGTTTCCAGCAATTGTTAAATAAAAAAATAAACTGACACTGACATTGCATAATATCCTACTTATGACTTCGCATCCACTCAAAACATGCAGCGTAATGTCACTGTATAATAACGCTAACCAGAAATATCGTCATCCGTACATCAAATCACAATAAAACGACCTACAAAATAAACACATCACTAAAATCACACATGGAAGCTGCGAACGGTTACACGTGTGAATTTTAAGGATATCCGTTTGCACATCAACACACGAAACAGATATCATGCATAAAATCAAGATGAGACGCTTACCATCGGAGGATGCCTATTAAATACCAATATGAGCTGAGCGCTAAAGTCTGTGCAGATACTACGCCTTGATGGCCATAGTTATATATATATATATAAAATGATGAAAAATAGCTGATGGCTTATTGCTTGACAGTGGGACCAGTACCCCAGTCATTGATTGACGTGCAGCTTTAGTATTTCTGTCATGGTGGCGTCGCTCATTGGTCGGACGCGAGTCGTCGCGCGCTAAGATTGGCTGAGTATCGCAGCCAGCTGTACTTCAAAGCACGCGCTCACTATACAACTCGAGTAGAGAGAGTAAAGCTTCAGCGCGCTGTCCCTCAGTCACACTGGAACACTCACTCATTGTTCTCTTCAACTAGCTGTCTAGGAAAGGCCCTGGATATGGCTACGTCTATACTTGGGGTAAGTAAACATTGACATGTATTTTAATTCGATGCATTTTTGTTGTTAGTTTCACCGTTGGTATTGACATTTCATTGTTGCTTGCTTGCCTTTAAACTTTTCAATGACTTTTATTCACATTCTAAAAAAACAACAATGATGCCTAAAGAGAACCTTTTTAAATTTTTTTTTTAATTGTCTAAATTTACTAGTACTAGTGCTTTAAAGAAATCTGAAAACCAATGCGCTGATTTGAAGAGGCGAAAATGAAACAGTTGCAAACTCGAAAACCCTGTTCAGCGAAAGAATTAATTCAGGGGGGGGGGAATAATAATAGGCTAACAGTGAAATTTGTAAGAGTGCATTGCTTATTTTTAAAATAAAAATAACAATACTGCAATAATTTAAACGTGAGATTCTTTGTTAACGACCTTTTTAAAACATGACAACTTATTTGAAAACTTGTAGGAAATATTCACAAGTGCATCAGCTAATTTTCGTGTTTTGGTTGTAGGCTATCTGGCAAATGGTTTAGACTTGTTTGCTTTTCAACTATGTTTTATAGTCTAGTAAAGAACATCAACTTTTCATCCAAACAGGAAGAGCCGAGGTTTGGAACTACCCCTTTAGCGATGCTGGCTGCAACCTGCAACAAAATTGGCAACACCAGTCCCCTCACGACTCTCCCCGACTCCAGCGCGTTTTCCAAAGGCGGATTTCATCCCTGGAAAAGATCCTCGTCGAGCTGCAACTTGGGCTCCAGCCTGCCCGGATTCACCGTCGCCACAAGCCGAAGCAGCTCCGGACTAACGAGCAGCACCGGCACGGGCAACAGCGCTTTCTGCCTGGCCTCGACCTCGCCAACCTCCTCCGCCTTCTCCGCAGAATACAGCAGCTTGTTCTCCAACACGGCGAGCGTTTCCTCGCAGGACTCGGGACAGTCCGCCTTCATTTCCAAAGTTCACTCCTCAGCAGAGACTCTTTATCCGCGGGTCGGCATGGCGCACCCTTATGAATCGTGGTACAAGTCCGGGTTTCACTCCACCATCTCGGGCGAGGTGGCCAACGGCGCGTCCACGTGGTGGGACGTGCACACGAACCCGGGCTCGTGGCTCGAGGTTCAAAACCCGGCCGGCACTTTGCAAAGTTCGCTTCACTCCGGAACCCCACAAGCTATCCACTCCCAACTAAGCGGCTACAATCCGGACTTCTCGAGCCTCACGCACTCCGCGTTCAGCTCCACTGGCATCAGCCCCACCGCGTCCCACCTCCTGTCGACCAGCCAACACCTGTTGACCCAGGAAGGGTTCAAAACTGTGATACCCACTTACACGGACGCGTCGGCCACTAACGCTATGATATCGGGCGCCAGCTCGGGGATAGGGACCTCGTCCCGGTCCTCACGGAGATACTCCGGACGGGCCACATGCGACTGCCCGAACTGCCAGGAGGCGGAGCGGCTCGGGCCTGCGGGCGCCAGCCTACGGAGGAAAGGACTCCATAGCTGTCACATCCCGGGCTGCGGGAAAGTCTACGGGAAAACGTCTCACCTCAAAGCGCATCTGAGGTGGCACACTGGCGAGAGGCCATTTGTGTGCAACTGGCTCTTTTGTGGGAAACGGTTCACCAGGTCCGACGAGCTCCAGAGGCACCTGCGCACTCACACGGGGGAGAAGCGGTTTGCGTGCCCGGTGTGCAACAAGCGCTTCATGAGGAGCGACCACTTGAGCAAACACATCAAAACACACACCGCTGGAGGCGGAGGCAAAAAGGGCAGCGACAGCGACACCGACACCAGCAACCTGGAGACCCCCAGGTCTGAGTCTCCAGAACTGATTTTAGACGGGGTAAACCCGCGGGTCACGGTCAAAGACCAGTCTCCGCACCACGAGTCCTGAGCGCGACTTACTAAACGCATTTTCCTCGAGAAAAGGAAACGGGTCTGGACTGGAGTATGCGACAAACTCTCCATTTCTTAGAAAAACGAGCGAGACTTGCATTGGAAAGAGCAAATGAACACTGGCTGTTTCTGCTGCGCACAGACGAACGCTTCAGCTTTCAGGACGATGAAGTCTTCAAGGCTCAGTGTTTTAACGGTGGACATTTGTTGTGGAATCAGTGTTGGGCAAAAAGAGGGAACTAAATAACCACGGCTGCCGGTTGAGCTAAATGTGTACATATATCCACAAAAAATAACATGTTACTTTTTTTTTTCCTGTAAATGTTATGATTGTTTTGTGGTGGATCCTGAAATTCAGGGATTTTTTTCTTTCCTTTCGACGCACTTTGTGGATGTCAAGTATGTATGTTACACAGCTATTTAAAATTCATTTAACCTTTCCTTTACCTTGCTCAAAATATATAAATGTTTAATTGTATAAAGTCACGCTTATAAGGCTTTCATTTTGTAATTAAAGGGATTTAAAATCTAAAGCTTGGGTTGTCTGATGCAAATGTTTTCATCAAAATTATTTGAATCCAAATGTGGCTTCGCTATAGTCTAAATTGAAACCGTGCAGAATACGCTTAATTATTACGAATATATACTTACATTTTTTGGGGGGAGGAAAATAAATATCGGTAGGCTAATGTAGACTCGTTTTTTTGTCCCATTGGGATAAATCAATAGTTCATTCCCCAGAAAGGCATTTTTGTCCAAATGAATATCTTGTTAAATAGTATTAATTATGACTTGGAGCACATCGCAGCCCCATGTGTCTTGTATTGGCGATTAGGGATTCGTGTCTTATCAAATATCTAATTACTCTCCGAGACATCATTTGTTCAGCAGCTCTTTATCGCACAGTTTCCGAGGGGATTCAGTGACAAAGGGCCTCTGAATATTTATTTGAATTGCTCAAATTAACTGCTTAAATTTGCATGTCAAACGGAAAATGTCCATCGAAGAGAGGGCTGAAGGCATAAAGCATCGTTTAGCTTTTATAAAACGCTACTCTTGATTTGGTGTTATGGGAACAGTTTTTTTTTCTTCCTTTCTTTTTTCTTGCCTTTTCTGGGTGCCACTTTTGAAAGAGGGAAATTGGGAGAGGCCTTATGCAAATGCTGAATTTAAAATGCTCTCGCAGTCAAATGGTCCCTGGCTGTTATTTGAATATCAGTGGCCCTGTACTGAAAAGGTTCAAGGATGCTCTCCGACTTCTTTGTGTTTATCCAGTGCAGCGTCCGATCCCACAAAACCCGGCGGAATAATTACAGCTCGAGCCCTGCCTGGGAACTCGTTAGCTTTCTGTGCTACAAGGTAAATTGACCAGAAGGCAATAGACTAAAATTATTTTCATTTCCTTTTGTGTGCTGGTGGCCGCAGCCTTTTCAGGAAAAAAAAAAACCACACACAAATAGAAAATGGTCCATTATCATTTAACGACCTCGTGAAAACCGGATACCATTTTGCAAATAACGAATAAAAAATATGCATAGTTTATAAATCATTAAACTGTAAAATGTAGTGGTCAAATAGCTATCCAGGCTTTAAAAATAGACAAAAACACCCAAACGCAATTTCCGTAAATAGGCAATGTTTTCTCCCAATAGTCTTTCTCAGTCTTTTAAAAGTTAATGTAGGATGCAACGATTTTATTGCACACAATTCAAAATTTGTGTTACGGAAATGAGCGCTATTTGGGCGTGAAGGCATTCACGAGCACGCTTTACAATTATATGGTTCTATTAAGGTTTACAAACGGGAGCTTATACATGGACAAGATCTAAGTGCTTTTCAGTCTTTTGGAGGCGAATGATGCGCCTGGGGCTGCGGACAGTAGCGCTGTCACTCACGGCCTTTTGTTCGCGTTTTTCTGGAATGCCCTCTGACTGTGCGCGAGGCAAAAGTCAGCTTTGTTTGCGCGCGGTAATAAAAGAGTGATCAAAGCGAAGCGCCGCTCCGGCCGCAGCGCGGGAAACTCAGCCGTGACGATGTGATTTTCCCGCGCTGCCGGAGCGGTGCTTCTCTTTCATCTCCCTTTTGGTCAGAAAATGTCCATCAAGCTCAGATCATGTTTACAAATTAAACGATTATGGTTATAAATAATTATATAGATACCAATGCTAATGTTTTACTGTCACATTCGGGTTATTAATATGTTTTCCAGTAAGACGCAACTAAAGTATAGTCAGTGTTTAAATTCCTTTAACCTAACCCAAAATAATTGAATTGCAATTGAATCGACTTTTTGTTACCACATGGCCAGCCTTGATGAAGTGAGGGTTTGTTATTTTATCTGCTCGATTAATGTGATGTTGAGAGAAACACTCATATTTCTGCCATTTAAAAAATCATGTTGGTCTTACGTGTATAAACCATGCGCTCTGACATTTTCATTGCCAGTTTTGTCATATTACCAATATATTTTCAGTTTTGAACACATATTACCAATATATTTTCAGTTTTGAACACCACCACTTCTAACATGAGGGATACTTGTATTCAGTTATATTTATATCAGCTCGCTTTCGCCAATTTGAGAGTTGTTGAACATTCTTTTAATTGCTAAACACAATAATTATAATAATAAAGCAGTCAACCCTGAATTTATAACAATCACAACTACCAAAATAGACCTCTAAAATGAGCGGAAAACTACAAATTCCTTTTAACCAACTAATTTGAGTCTTCTTTCAGACGGATGAGGTTGTAGAGTTGGAACTGGCATCAAGTTTTATACCTGTATTTCAGACATCTTTCTAAACTGACTTGAGGTAAGGAGCGAGCCACAAAATCCATAAATCATAGTTTAATGAACAGACTGCAAAATAAATCATTCAGGATATTATGTGTGGAATATATAATCTCTCAAGGAGTCAAACAAACATTACTTTTGAGGAGGGCTAAATGCTTAAAGAAAAGAGAACATGTGTTGAACTAGGAGTACAGCAAATGTATTGAAAACACTGAAAGAATGAGTTTAATTCCTGGTGTATAACAGGTTGAGTTTCTACATTCTCATGGCGCCCTCTTCTGGAGAAATTCCCAGAGCTGCCGGTCAATGGAAAGAAAAAAAAACATTGGGAAAGCCACCCAAAGAAACTATTTACCCAAAACATTTCAGATTCTGTCCTCATTTAGTAACCCGTCAAGTCAGTCCAAACTCTCATGACTCAAACAGAAAAGGAAATTAAAAATATATCTATATTAAACGTCTCATTTCGGTACAAGAGAGGTTCAGTGACGTCTATTAAGTTCCTAAAAACACTTCCCTACAGCTCCTAATACCAAATATCCTCAAGTGTCATTGGTTCTCAGCAGACCAACAGAACTTCAAGCAAAGGGGAATAATTACAAGAATAATGCCTTGAATTTCACACAAAAGGTATCGTACACCTTTAACCAGATGTGTGTAGCACAAGAGCCACATGGACTGCTATTATTCAGGTGCTGCTTTGTCATTGGAGCGATTAAGCTTTAAAGTGTTTAAAAAGTGGTCAGAGTTTTGGACTGACACGAGGGTGAGTCAATTATGTAAGAAGTTTCCTTTAATCTGAGATGAGATGGTGTGAGACTTTCAGCGACTCACTTCTTCCTCTCTGCATCCCTGCTATCACTTCTGCCGTGTTTGTCCGAGCCCCTCCCTCGTTCCCGACTGACACTCCTCCTTTTGACAACTCTATCGTTTCCCTCTCGTTCCCTCTTGCCCTTCTCGTGGTCTCTTTTCTCCCAGCTCGCGTTCCTGTCCCTCTCCTTACCTCTCTCCTTCTCATCTCTCCATCGCTGAGGGCTTTTCTCTCTCCTCCTCTCTCTACTCCTGCTCCTGTGTCTATCTTGTGCTCTCTCTTTGTCCTCCCTCCCTCTCTCACTGTGTTTGGGCTGTGTGCGTTCTCTCTCACTGGACGAGTCCCTCGTCCTCTTCCTCCTCTTCTTCTTCTTTTTGTCCTCAGAGTCGCTGCTGCTGTCGCTGCTGCTGTCCGAGGAGCTGCTGGATGAACTCTCACTCTCGGCTGGCTTCTTTTTCTGCTTCTTTTTGCTCTTCTTTTTCTCCTTTTTACTCTTCTTCTTCTTCTCTTTCTTCTTTTCAAGACGGTCAAGTTTTCTAAAAGGGAGAAGGGGATGAGAGTTATACTTATAATTCAAAAGTTTGGGGTCAGTAGATTTATCTTTCTTTTCTTTTTAAGAAATTAGTGCTTTTATTAATGCTTTTATTCAGCAAATACATTGCCCAAAAGTGGCAGAAAAGACATTTATAATGTTATAAAAGATAAATATATACTGTTCTTTTGAACTTTTTTATTCGATGAAGAAGCCTGAAAATAGTATCACGGCTTTCACTAAAATCTAAAGCAGCACAACTGTTTTCAACACTGATAATAATCATAAACGTTTCTTGATCATCAAATCATCATATTAGAATGATTTCTGAAGGATCATGTGACTCTGAAGACTGGAGTAATGATGCTGAAAACTCAGCTGTGATCACAGGAATAAATGACACTTTACTATATATATTCACATAGAAAAGAGTATATTTTAAATTGCAAAAATATAAAAGTCTGTAAAAAAGTATTAAAAAAGTATACAAGCCTGTATTTTTTGATCGAATAGACAGCCTTGGTGAGCATAAGAGACGTTTCTCAAAAACAATCTTACCAACCCCTAACTTTCGACCGGTAGTATATAGTGTAGTGTGTGTGTAATAATAAATATATATATATATATATATATATATATATATATATATATATATAACACACACACACTTTTTCATATTATTGTAACGGAAATGGCAGAGGCTTATGATGTCACTACTCGCAATAAACAGCTAAATTAAAATTAAAACTGAAATTAAACTAGTTTATAAAGCAATATTAAGGGTTATATTACCCTTAATGTCTAGCCTGGGAAAACCCAGACAACTTCCGTCAAATTTAGATTTGCTCTGAAAGTTAGTCTGGCAAAGAGCTCATTCAAGGCCATTTCCAATCCGTCGAAATCGCGGCACCAATCAGAAACGTTGGGGCGGGCTTTACACGATGACGACAGCGCTGGGATTTTGAAGCAGATTTTGTAGCCTACATTACAAAGATGGATGCCGCCGTCGAACATCACTCGTTAGAATCAGCTATCGCGTCTGTTTTAAGCCATTTGAACGTTTCCTTTTAGTTAAAAACCGAGCAAAGAACAACACTCGGAGATGTTTCTCCGCCGCTCTGCATACGTCATCTCCTTCATCGCTCTGATTGGGTTTAGGTCTATCCGCGATGTCCGTTGGTGACGCCCCTCTGGAAATGATTTGTCTATGACGCTTTGCCAGACCATAACTCAGTTACAACTCAGAATGGTCTGGTTTTAACCAGGCTACTTAAAGTCTTAGATGCACAAAAAATGCAAATATTGATACAATTACAAAAATTTATATTATAACGTCGTTATTTTTAACAATTAATATTAATAGTAATTATGATCAATTGGATTATTATGAATATAGGTGGTTGTGTATGTGTAATAAATAATGAATCACACCTGAGTAGTTTCTGTTTCTGTTTGGTGGACAGAGATTTCAGGAACTCCACCTCAGGGTCGTCTTCTTCCTCGCTGGCCACAAAATCCTGAAGCACAACACACATTAGCAAACACAACACACACACACACTCACTGACCATACATACACAAGCGGCCAATCAGAAAGGTACTTTTGAGCTGTGCAGAACCACAGTGTGAAATCCAGCATGTCTCTACCCTCTTGTAATTGTAGTTGTTGGTCTCATCAGTTCTAGTCTAACCCTTCAACCGACGGGAACGGCTTGTGAGCCGCCCGTTCAATAAATGGACGCTTTTCTGCAATCACACGCTGAGCTCCAGACATGGATATCATGGGTCATATTTGGGCAGGGTCCAGGAGATTACCTGTGCTGGATCAGTCATGGTGGCGTCCCTCCCAAGGACACATTTCTTCAGCGCAAACCCACTGTTTCGCATCTCTGCCATTAACTCGGAGGGGTGCATCGACGGACCTGTTAGGACAAATCACTCTCTCAGAACAAATAATGTGTGATCATTCCCCCCCTCGGAGAGATGCACACTACGGGCTTTGTTAACACACAAAGACACACCAAATCAACTCCCTTGCGTCCCGGCTGGGTGAAGCGTACAGTATTATTCTGCAGAAGCAGAGGTTTCATCCAATCAAAACAACAAATAATACATTTCCCACCAACACGAGAGTAGGATCTATCAGAAACATGCATATTACTGTAGTGCTGCCAGCTCTCAGGAGACAGACCACAACACACACACCTTTACCACCTCGAAGTTTAGGGGTTACTCAGACACAAAAGTGAACATTCGGAGATTTTTCATTCTCTCAATGTTGTTCCAAAACTTTGTTCATACTACGGGCTCCAATGTTGTTTTGTTCCCAATGTTCTTCTTAATATCTTTTTTTGTGCTCCACAGAGGACAAAAAAAAAAGTCGGTAAGACTTTGGTTTAGGGTCCAATTCTCACTATTAACTAGTTGCTTATTACACTTAACTACCTTACTAACTGTTACTAAGCAGTAAGTAGGAGTTTGAGGCAAAAGCCGTAGTTAATAATGAGAATTGGACCCAAAGTGTGACCAAAAAGTCATACCGGTTTGATCAACATGAGGATAAGTAAATGACAGATTTCTGACAGGTCCCTTTAATGGTGATTTTATTCTGAAATTGGGTACAATATAAGTAGTTTGTGTATGAAATATTCCATCATATTTTTTATCCTTTAAAATAAATGAATTTGCGATCTGTGTATGATTGTTTCTGCCACTGAATAAAAAATAAATATGGTAATTGATTTTTATCTCACAATTCAGAATTTTTTCCTCACAATTGCGAGAAATAATCCAGAATTACGAGTTTAAAAAGTCACTCTGAATTCTGACATACAAAGTCGCAATTCGGAGAAAAATACATTTCTTACAATTGGGACTTTATAACTCACAATTGTGAGAAATAAAGCCAGAATTGTGAGAGAAAATGTCAAAATTACCTCTTTCTTTTATTCTAGGGCGGAGACAAGCTCCCACAGACATCACTATTTGATATATAGATTACACTATATAGATTTCCGGGACCAAATGCCGCATGCTTCAAGTATTACAAAGGGTCAAGGCTTGGCGGGTTAGTACACAAATTCTTTACTAAAATCATATAAATCATTTATTAGATTATAGAAGATAATCTGAAATCTTGCAGCGTGACATGTTTGCCGACTAGTAACTGGGGTTTGGGGTGGTGTATGTTCTGACATAATTTGCATGTGGTGCCGACAGGATTGGTCACATGGCATTTATAATTCAGGTGACCTGCTCAGAAACTCCTGTATTCAGAAGTGTAGGTGAATGGGAAGCCATAGGAGCTTTGTCCAGGTATTACAGACACTCTTGGTGTATTATTGGACATTGTCGCCACCTACAGTTCTGAAAGTGTACACCATCTACAGGTGGAGGAAACCTGCATTAAAGACCTTCCTAAGAAGTTCTTAATGTATGTCTTTGTGGTGTTTTTAATATGTTTTAAGACTCCTGGAGAGCCATCTTTCTGCAGTCTTCAGGTCCAACACACTTGTGCCTGTGTCTGAACACTTAAAACTTTCGGAGGAAGCATTTCAAGGTAGGAAGAAGCCATCAAGGCATGTCCAAATTCAATGTTAGTTTCACTTCCAGTCTCCTGAGATTCCTTCATCTGAACAATCCTGTGACCGTGAAGCTAAAAAATAAAGATGGCTTCTGACAGTTGTGGTTGGGTTGGTGGTCAGTTTGTGTTTAAATGTACGTTTTTAACCAATGTTATCCACTTCTGATGTGATTTCTAATGTTTTCGGATGCAGCCACTGACCGGTTATACCTTGAACACCATTGAACACCAGCTGGTTCAAATTCATCAGACAACACCATTGATCCGCATATACTAAATGAAGCAAGGGTTTAGAGTTAAATTCAAGCTATTGTAAAGTCCCCCTGTAGTAAAAACAAAACAAAACTCGGGCATATTTGAACGTTTTGTCCTCCTGTGAAAAAAAAATTCTTCATGCCTTAAAAAAGCTTGAATGTAACGTTACACCCTTGCTTCATTTAGTATACGTATAGTATAACATATAATTCTATGAATATGCAAATTAGCACCGCCTCCACTCACTCATACAGGCTAATCAAAAAGTCGATGTATCAAAATGGTAATGCGTTTTATGCATCGCTCTATACAGTGTCGGACACATAACTGTAATTAATGTGATTAGCCTTTTGCTTGACTATGCTATCAAACAGCTAATAATGTGTTGCTAATGTTACACAAAACATGTTCCCGTTCGTCATCTCAGAGTCAGAGAACACTGCCTTCTAACAATCATCAGAAACGCTTGAACTCAGAACGTCAGTGGAGAAAGGCATATAGTTCATCATAACATCATATTAATATATATATAAATAATTCACCCTATATTGATAAATGTACCCGATTTTTTCATATCAACAGAAAGATAATATCATATCAACCAGGATAATCTGGCTCCTCTGCTAGTTCTCAGTTAATCATGTGCTAAAGTCCTCCGACACGACAATTATATTCAATCCATTTTCAGTTGAATTTTTTTTTAAAGTCCCCCTGTAGTCAATCATTTTATCCCTTAAAACTTATCTTTGATCAACAAAATGACATTTAAAGTTTTTTCCTTCATGCCATAAAATATCTTGAATGTAACTCGACACCCTCGCCTCATTTAGTATACGCGGTTCTATGAATATGCAAATGAGCCCCGCCTCCACTCACTCACTCAGCTCAGAGATCCACTGGTTGACGATCACACGTTGACCTGATTGGTTACAAGGTAGTTTGTGACGTCAGAAACACCAGCAATTTCAAACCGTGTTTTTGAGACTGTCTTTGGTTCGCTGCAGTTTTACTCAGCAATGCTGTCGACTTATGAATTTACACATGGCTTGCCTTACAGCATATTAAAAACACCACTAGACATATAAACAACATTAAAAGCTGGATTTTCCGCACAGGGCATGGAGAAACTATCCCCTCAGTTGAAATTGCGGGTGCCCTGAGATTTGTCACCACCTTTCTCGCCCTGATCATACAGAAAGGAAAGATCAGAATACCTGCTTCATCACTGGGCATAGAGCTGGCATTGATCCCCGACAGACCGAAGAGGGGACACTCACGATCCGTGTTCACATGACCCCATTTATGACACTTAATGCAGCGCACATTACGCACCTACAACAATTCAAGAACAAGAAAACAAGCACAGTGCCCACGTGTTCACGGCATTCAGACATTTGGGGATGAGCAAAAATTGTTAATCTACATTTATGAAGGTGTATAACACAAAATGAAACATCACCTGAATGCCAAAAGGCTGATCTCGAATATTCATGTCATCCTTTGCATACCTGATGAGTAAAACACGAGTAGGAAATACATAAAAGTGCACATTCGAGATCAAGCATCACTTATCGCTAGTGAACTTACTTTTCACGAGGAGCTACTTTCTGCCACTCAAACTTGTACTCGGATTCTCCTCCCTAAAGACGAAAAACGTGAGCTTGACTTAAGTGACGTGAGCTGAAACTGTGAGATGCCGCTAGAATAAGCCTTCTTAACCCACAAAATCTGAAAACAAATCTCTTTTTCTTTGTTGAGTGTCATATTTGATAGAGCTGGACGATTCTGGATAAATTGAAAATCACAATTTATTGCTTAAAATAGAGATCACGGTTCTCAATTAACGATTAAAAAAATAACATGTAATTTACTAGAGGTTCTGACATCATGTTAAACGCTGCAGTCTATTTAAAAAAATATTTAATTTATTAGAATTTTTTAGAAATTATTAGAAATATTATAATTAATTTTTAAAAATCAGTTTGAGTGATTTTTTTTTTCACTCAAACTGATTTAAAAAAAAATAACCAGTTCTAATTAATTACATTTTTTTTAAATAGATTCAATGACTCACTCATAAAGATTGCACTTGTTTAATTACTGGATGAATCAATGTTTTTGAACAAACGAATGATTCAATGACAAATGCATGTCTAACAGTCGCTTGTCGCCGCCTACTGGAGTAATGATGTAAGTGTACAATATTTATTTGAAGTTACTTCCAAAAGGTCATTTACTACCATAGACAGTGTGTATAAATGAACTATAAACGTTCATCCCAGTACTTCAGTGATAGTCTGAATTAATCTGTTTCATGCCTATACATGACAACAACTGCTCTCTTTGGATCAGCGGCAGAGCCAAAACAGATCTGAATATTCACTGTGATCATATTCAAAGGTCTAATAGATACAGGCGTATCGTTGTCATTTAGGAATGAGATCACATGGGTTTTTGAATCAAGATCGAGATCTTTTAACAATTAATCGTGCAGCTCTAGATATAGGAGAATATGGAGATCATATAGGAGAATGTAGATCATATAGGAGAATATGTAGATCATATAGGAGAATATGGAGATCATATAGGAGAATATGGAGATCATATAGGACAATGTAGATCATATAGGAGAATATGGAGATCATATAGGAGAATATGGAGATCATATAGGAGAATATGGAGATATAGGAGAATATGGAGATCATATAGGAGAATAGGAGAATATGGAGATATAGGAGAATATGGAGATCATATAGGAGAATATGGAGATCATATAGGAGAATATGGAGATCATATAGGAGAATATGGAGATCATATAGGAGAATATGGAGATCATATAGGAGAATATGGAGATATAGGAGAATATGGAGATCATATAGGAGATTATGGAGATCATATAGGAGATTATGGAGCTCATATAGGAGAATATGGAGATCATATAGGAGAATATGGAGATCATATAGGAGAATATGGAGATATAGGAGAATATGGAGATATAGGAGAATATGGAGATATAGGAGAATATGGAGATCATATAGGAGATTATGGAGATCATATAGGAGAATATGGAGATCATATAGGAGAATATGGAGATATAGGAGAATATGGAGATCATATAGGAGATTATGGAGATCATATAGGAGATTATGGAGCTCATATAGGAGAATATGGAGATCATATAGGAGAATATGGAGATCATATAGGAGAATATGGAGATATAGGAGAATATGGAGATATAGGAGAATATGGAGATATAGGAGAATATGGAGATCATATAGGAGATTATGGAGATCATATAGGAGAATATGGAGATATAGGAGAATATGGAGATATAGGAGAATATGGAGATCATATAGGAGAATATGGAGATATAGGAGAATATGGAGATATAGGAGAATATGGAGATCATATAGGAGAATATGGAGATATAGGAGAATATGGAGATATAGGAGAATATGGAGATCATATAGGAGATTATGGAGATCATATAGGAGAATATGGAGATCATATAGGAGAATATGGAGATATAGGAGAATATGGAGATCATATAGGAGAATATGGAGATATAGGAGAATATGGAGATATAGGAGAATATGGAGATATAGGAGAATATGGAGATATAGGAGAATATGGAGATATAGGAGAATATGGAGATCATATAGGAGATTATGGAGATCATATAGGAGAATATGGAGATCATATAGGAGAATATGGAGATATAGGAGAATATGGAGATCATATAGAGGAGAATATGGAGATCATATAGGAGAATATGGAGATATAGGAGAATATGGAGATCATATAGGAGATTATGGAGATCATATAGGAGATTATGGAGCTCATATAGGAGATTATGGAGATCATATAGGAGAATATGGAGATCATATAGGAGAATATGGAGATATAGGAGAATATGGAGATCATATAGGAGATTATGGAGATCATATAGGAGAATATGGAGATCATATAGGAGAATATGGAGATCATATAGGAGAATATGGAGATCATATAGGAGAATATGGAGATCATATAGAGGAGAATATGGAGATCATATAGAGGAGAATATGGAGATCATATAGGAGAATATGGAGATCATATAGGAGAATATGATGCAATTTGGTGCTAATATTTATATGGCCAAAAAGTAAGATGAAATTCTGATGCTTGTAATATAAATCAATGAGATCTGTATACCAGTATAGCAGATTACTTACATAAAATGCAAATAAATATCAGTTGTCACTCAATATCTGCCAATAATATGTCTTGGTCAGATGATATTTAAATGCTTAGTTTTATGATCAAAGCTCTTAACATATAATGCAATGCAAAACAATGATGATTGAGAGATGAACAAATAAACCTTCCTGAAAAGCCCGATGATCATATTTGATACATACATTTCATGATTTTAACATAATTTTTCTAAAAAAAAAAATGAAATAAAAAAATCAATTAGGCCGAAGTCGCTTTAGTCCAGAAAACGGTAAATCTTTTAAGTAGGATAAATCTTAAAATATTACTAACAATATCAAAGTTATTCTTACTTTATATAATATCAGTAAGGATTTCACAGCAAAAAGACATGAAGCACGAGCTGAAGTTGGAAGTTTATACAATTATAAAGGACTTTTACAAAGTATGAACTGTCAGTCAGACGACAGAAGGCTTGTAGTGGATTGAGCACAACAGGTTTTTCAGCAAAGTTGATTAATAATTCAGACGCCTTAGAAATGCGCACATTAAATATGATGCGATATTAAGATATGCTTTAAAGGGTTAAACACACTCAAGTTTATTATTTGTATTTGAAAGGTTGACAGTGCAAAATCACAAACAATCAACGGCAAACTTTAACATGGAAATGAACGTACCTCTTTTTCCTCCTCTGCAGGAAGTCGGTGATGATCGAAAGAAAGAAAAGAAAAAAAACATGATTATTTACACTTTACTTTCTCAGTTTCTTGATTGTCTAACAATTTTGATTGATTCAAATCTTGTATGTCTTTAGGTTTGGTCATGACTTGCAAGCGAATGATCAGTTATCGATTACATTATTTTAATAACTCCACAACAACCGGTGGAAACGTTTCTGACCTTTAGATGCTCCAGGAGGCGCTTCGTACATAAAGTTAAGGCCATTTTTCACACGATCGTCTCCCATCAGCAGTCTGGAACATAAAACATCCAACAGGACCATTTCAGTTTCCAGGTAAATGCACACGTGACTGTGTGTGTGTGAGAGACTGAGACCCAGTCCTGTCTGCTGGTTTGGACTGGACTTCTCTGACCTGTTGTTGTACGTGTCCTGCTCCTTCAGGTAAGCCTGCATCAAATCCTCCTGCTGCTTCTTCTCGAAGGTTAACTTTTGCTCTGCGATCCATACCTGATGAACAATCAAAGATATGAAGAGTTTAGCACCTCAGACACACCAGTTTGTCTCTCAACATTCAAATAAAGGAGTTTGTGTTCCTCTGGAAACATCTGACACTAGACTCTGTTTTCTATATGATTATTAAATGAGCAAACTAACACAAATATCATGTGTTTGTGAATAAATACATGTGCTTATTCATAAACAACCAAACATGCCGTGCGATATATAAACAGTAGTCAACATTTGAAGGGTATCAAAACCTTTCTTCAAAGTTATACATGAATTTTGAACAATACCCGTTCTTGTCTTAGGACAACTTTGTTGATCCACTTCAAATGTTGACTTCTGTAAATATATAAACAGAAGATCTGAACTAATGATGACTCCAGAGTCCAGAGCAATAGTAGCTTGCTAGCGAAAACCTCCCGCTTAACGTTAACGTTACCTTCTTTATGTTGGATTTTGATGCAGGATGAAAATCTTTCTTGCACATGAAATTAGCAAAAGATTTCCCCATGTTTGAACACCAGCGTAACGACCAAAATGTTATTAAAAACCGAAGTTAGCGTTTTCCGCCGAACAACGTCAAAACATCAGCAGCGGCGCTTCTTTATGACGCCATCAAAACAACACACATCCGGGATTTTCCATAATATAAGCTGCTAACGTTACTTCGAAATTTCGTAAACATAAATTAAAGAAGCCTTCATGTTCAACAATACAGTAAACACTATATAGTTTGAAAAATAAATAAAGCTGTAAAGTGTGTTAATATCTGTGAACATTTTAATGTTTTTATTGACCTTTTTAAAAGATTTTTCATTTTATTTATCTTATTTATTTTTATTTATTTATTGTTTATTCTAATGCAACCCTGGTTTTATTTGTAAATAATTTAAAGTTATTAAAAACATCCAGTTTTCTTCTAATGGTTTTAGGTTTTAGTTTAAATCATAAAACATGTAAACATCGTACTTCGAAAGGAATACAGCATTATATTTCTTAAACAACTGTCAAATAAAAACAACAACAATGCACTTCATTTTTATTAATTTTGATATTATTATTGAATTTATGTAATTTGCACTCCTGTACTATATTTTTATAACATGTTTGTTTGTTTATTTATTTATTGTGTTAGGCCTATTTTATGATCCTGTTAAAACCAAAACAGCGAAAACAAATAGCCAATCAAAAATGCCACTGCACGACCACGTGACTCAATGCGTCCTCAAAGCGCCGCTGCCACGCCCACTTTTCCGCTGACTAAACACCAATGCGGATCGAGCAGACTCATTTGTCAGAGCGCTTGTGCGGATTGTTTTCGTTGATTATAAATCAGATGACCGTGCATACGGATTTGTGTCAAAGTCTGCTGGCGGTTTTGTTTATGGAGAAAGGAAAAGGAAAGCAAACAGATGTTTAATCTCTTTGAACAGAATAGTGATTTTCTTCGTGCCTGACATATACGCTGAGTTGGACAAGGTAAAAATATTATTTAAAGCATACTGAATGCCAGCGTTACTGCAAATGTGAATAATCTTTATGAATATCTACGACGTATTAGTGGTAAAGAATGTTTCATGTAAAGGCCTGTATCTTACTAAGAGTTCATTCATGCTGATGATGTGGTATATTTTGAGTAGCAAAACATTCTGATTTCCTATTACTTCAAGGTCAGTGTTTGTTTTTAATGAATTACTGATTGCCATGTAATCTATGCATGAATATTGAGATATTGCCATAATTACTCCTATCATAGATTCTTCAGCAGTGAACACTGGATACATACATTTACATGGAATGTTACATTTTGTTTCTTTCAGGATGTACCCAACCTCCTGCGACACATTTGTGGCTTTGCCTCCATCTACAGAGGGTCAGGAGCGGATCATCTTCGGGAAGAACTCGGACAGGCCCTGCGATGAAGTTCAAGAGGTCGTCTACTACCCTGCAAAGAAACATGACCCAGGAGACAAAGTTGAGGTATCTCAAAATGTTCCCCAGTCAGCAGATTTCCTTCGGCACAGATCTGGCCCAAATACACCTCTGAAGTGTGACACAGATTAGAGTTTGCTGATGTTGTAGCCAGAACTGATCCAAAACAGTGATTTTAATTAGAGTTAGTTTGGGCAAAGGCTGTTGTTGGAAAGAGAGAGCAAAGAGGAACATATTAATGGAAATAACCTGTATTAAAATAGTTGCCAGTCACATAATACACCAATAGAAATGAAAAAAAGAGAAAAGCAACCAATAGCAAAGTTGAATAGCCCGAGGTCTATGGAAGCTTGTTTCTGGCACCACCAAATAAAAAAGGTAATTGTGATTTTTTTTATCTCACAATTCTGACTTTTATTCTCAAAAGCTGCAGTTGCGAGAAATAAAGCCAGAATTGCGCGATATTAACTCGCAATCCTGACATTTGCTTAAAATTACGAGTTCTCACAATAATAAGAATAAGTCTCACAATTCAGACTTTTTTTCTCAGAATTATATCTCGCCATTCTGACTTTGTAACTTGGGAGAAAAAGTCAGAATTGTGAGATATAAACTCATAGTTATAAACTTGTAATTCTGAGAAAAAAAGTCAGAATTGTGAAATATAAACTCGTAATTCTGAGAAAAAATGTGAGAATTGCGAGTTTATATATTGCAATTCTGACTTTATAACACAATTGTGACTTTATATCACACTATTCTGCCTTTATAACAAGCAATTGTGTATTTATATCTTGCAATTTTGCCTTTATAACTCACAATTGCAAGTTTATATCACACAATTCAGAGAAAAAAGTCAGAATTTCGAGATGTAAACTCGCAATTTATGAGAAAAAGGAGTCTTGTGAGATAAAGGATTTAATTACCTTTTAAATTGTTTTATTCCATGGCGTAAACAAGCTTCCATAGTGGTAGTGTGGATGGCCACAAACCTGCCGCACATCACTATAGCAGGTTACATGCAATTATAAACAAAATGTAGTTTAAAACCATAAGTTAGCATGTATCATGGTGTGCCATAGCCAAGCCACATATGATCCTCAGTTGTGTGCTGTCATCTGGGCCATATACCTCAAAACAAATGATGATCCAAAAGAAAATTACCTCCAACCCCATGGCGAAACATATATGGGGAAAGTTTGGCACACATGTGCTCAGCCATGCCAAATCTAAGCCAGATGTTTGCCCCAAGAGTTCTTGCTATCTGGGTCTGAATCGGCTATATTTCCCTCAGATTTGTCCAGCTGGATTTGAGAAACATTGTCCGAGTGCTGAAACTCTTGTTATTTCTTCTTTTCACCTGATCAGTGTACATATATAGAAATAGAGCAGGTGTCTCAGACGAATGCAGTGGTGCTGAGTCGCCCCGCCTGGCTGTGGGGGGCGGAGATGGGGGCGAACCAGCATCAGGTGTGCATCGGGAATGAGGCGGTCTGGGGGAAGGAGAGTGCGGAGGGTGAAGAGGCTCTTCTGGGGATGGATCTCGTCAGGTGATCCAAGAAGCAATTTTTCAATTCATATTCAGCATTGACTCATTTATTCAACTACTACAGTTCAGAATAAGTTGTAGCTTAATAAAAAATAAAAATAAATGTATGGGACATAAAAAAAAAAATTTTTTTAATTGAAAACCAAGCATATTGTACAAACGAAAGCACATATAACCAAACATGCCAGGCTTATAATATAGAAAAAAAGATTAAACTTTATTTTAAGGTGACGTAGTTACATTGTACTTACTCAAATAAGTACTGAGTAATATTAATTAACTACATGTGGAGTTACGGTTAGGGTTTGGTTTAGGGTTAGTTGCTATTTTATTTGTGCGAGTTTCTTAATAAAGGTCTTAAATGTGATTTGAAACACTTTGTATGTAGGCTGGCTCTGGAGAGGGCCAACACTGCTGAGCGGGCGGTAGATGTGATAACAGAGCTGCTGGAAAAATACGGCCAGGGCGGGAATTGTATGGAGGACGAGTGTGGATTCACATACCATAACAGCTTCCTCATATCAGACCGGACTGAGGCATGGGTGCTGGAGACTGCTGGGAAATACTGGGCCGCAGAGAGAGTGGAGAGTAAATACTGAGTCATGTGACATTACAGCTTAAAAATGTAAATTAGTTCAAGTGTTTAAAAGTCAAGTCAGGTTTATTTATATGACACTTTATAAAGGCAGCTCTACAAAAGATAATCGTGTGATTATTCAGCTCAAGTTTAGTTCAGTGTTGTTTCAGTTTAGCTCATTAACTGTGACAGTAGCTGCGTTTCTATGCAAAGTTGCGAATTTATCTTGTGCGCAAAATATTGCATAAAACACTTGCGAATAAAGCAGCGTTTTCATTCTATGTGTTCAAGAGAAGATAATCGTCACTTCCTGTTATAAAAATGGAAGTTGCTGCAATCGGGGAAGCCACTGTGGCTCTTTTATCCTTCATCAGAAATGACTTGCTTCTCAGAGAATGTGACAAAACACAATAAACGCGGTAATGTTCTCTTGCGTTCGGATGCTGGTATTTGTGAACGCAATTGCGTAAGGCGATTCTGGGAGGGGATTTACCAAATCTTGATGTTAGACTTTGGCTCAGGCATTTCAGAACGATCAAACCAACATCTGAGATGCTGTGATGTGATTGGTCCGCTAGTTAGTCCAGTAATCCAATCACATCTTCTGCTGAGGCAAAGTCATGTGAGTTTGTTATTGCGCATCAAGGGATTTATTCAGTAAATGTGTTTCCATCATAGTTTATGCGGAAGGCTTATCAGATACAAAAATTATCCACCTCGTCTTTTGCACAAATTTATGCACATCTTGTTTCCATCCAGCGTTTTCTTTATGGAATATCCCAAAATGCACATTAAAATAGGTGGATGGAAACATAGCTAATGTTGCATCAATTTCATCAATTATGAAAGTAATTTAATCCATTTATAAACACCTCTACAGAAGACAATAGCATCGTTATTTAGCTCATTCAGTTCAGTATTGGTTCAGTTCAGTGCAGATGTTGCAAAGATCAGATCAGTTCAGTTAAAATGTTCACATACAGTGTCAGTCCAGTTAATATTACTTACAATATTGCTGAATATTAATTGTCTTTTAAAAGGTCTGACGCTGTTTCTCTCTGTTAAAGCCGGCTATCGAAACATCTCCAATCAGTACTCCATTACTACTAAGATTGATAGGGAGCACCCGGAGTTGAGGACGTATGCACAAGAGCAGAGCTGGTGGGATGGAAAGGCTCAGTTCAGCTTTGCCGAGGTTTACTCCTACTCAGCCACAGCCCGAATCGAGGCCGCAGGGGGACGATACTGTGAGGGACGCAAACTTCTGCAGAAGAGTGAAGGTTACTATTAGTTTGGTGGTGGAAAATGATCAGCAAATTCATGCAAAGTGCTAAATAATCACATCTACTCATATATTTATGACAGTGTAATTCAGGGGTGCCCAATCCTGCTCCTGCCGATTGACTGTCCTGCAAAGTTCATCTCCAACCTGAAGGATTGGGCACCCCTGGTGTAATTGGTTGATTGTAAAATACACTACCAGTTAAAGGTGTGGACACACTTACGTGAGTCTGTGCCTCTTAGGATCGTAAAACCATTGCTAGAATTTAGTTTTGTTGCCCAATCATAATAGTGCCTTTTTTTTACAAAACATCTCAGGTTACGCATGTAACCATGGTTCCCTTAAAAGGGGAACGAGACACTGCATCCTCTAGAGCAGTGTTTCTCAACCCTGCTCCTAAAGGACCCCCAACACTACACATTTTCTTTGTCTCCCTAATCAAACATACCTAATTCAACTTGTGGCTCATTAGAAGAAACTCCAGGAAGTGAAATAGTTGTGTCAGAAAGAGTAGACTTTCAAAATGTGCAGTGCTGGGGGACCTCCAGGACCAGGGTTGAGAAACACTGAGTCCTCAGAGAACACTATGGGGAAAAAATGCCCACTCCGCCATGCTGAGGGAATGACTGCCAAATTGGCTGTGACAAGCACAAACAAAGCCTCAACAGACTTAGATGCCAGAGTCAGATCCCGTTACTCGGGTCTGACACAGAACTGTCAGTGACACTATTCCCTACGGCCACCACCCAAGGGCCTGGTAAAACCAGCCTCTACGCCAGACATTATTAGAGGGCAGCTTCAGCCTTAGTATTGACTAATAAAGGGATCGCCTGCTTAGGGACCCAACCTATGGGGAGGCAGCCGCGGCTTCATGAAACATAAGGAAGCTGCTTACTTAAGAAACCTGCCATAAGGGGAGGGCATCAAACTCAATATATATAATATATATATAGGGGGATCTGGTTGAACTCCTAAACATCACGGGACATTTAAGTAACAAAATGCTCAACCCCATCTGACCTAGAGTCAGCATCTTGCAAGGCCAACATTCTGAATTTAAGGATGCTCAACCAGTGAGAAGGGGTGCAAAGCTCAGGCAAAACCACTTCACACCAGGCACCAGAGATGGGTTCTCTGGGGAGCTGAGGACTCAGCTGAATGACCCTCTTAGTGAGGGGAGTCCAATACTCACCCAAGACTGTGATCCCCAACTTTGAAGTAGGAGGATAGACCCTAATAAAGAGACCCTAATAAAGAAACCATGTAAGGGAAGCGTGTACTACGCCCAATAGAGGAAACTAATAAACAGCTGCAAAGTGTTAGCTGTGCTATAGTCTCCGAAGTCTGCCTGAGCTGGAACAGAGCGTGGAGGACCCAAGAGAAGATATCTCAGTAGCGTGGATACTATCCATGATAGACCCTGCGGTCTGGGGATCATCTCGAGCGCTCTTGTGAGAGCAGAAGACACAGGCTCAACCATATTATCGATCTCCGGCACACACAAGGGAGCTGCCTGCCTAATAACCCATTTTAGGGGAGGCAGCTATGACCTTGCGAATATGGTAAAGTTTGCATTCTGGGGCAACTGCCTGTTAAAGAACCCAAAATAGGGAGGCAGTTTCATCCAGATAAATGGAGCCTCCTACCTAGGGGACCCCAATACTGGGGGATGCAGCCATGACTTCATTACCACAAGGCAGCTGCAACCTTGAAACTTCAGCATATCAAAAAAGGGAACCATTACTAATTGGCTTGAAGGAGGTGGCTGCCCCTAGGTTATCATAAGAGAGCTACCTATTTCTTATAGGGAAGCCACACAGAGGTGGAAGGCAGCTCTCCTTACCTCTGAGATTGTAAGTGCTCGAAAGCTGTGACAAGGGCCTTGCTTCGTGCCCATAATGGGGAAGGTCCAACTCATTCTACCAGGTACTGACAACCTTAGTATATTGCAATGAAGGGCTCGTGAAGGGGCCGCCTGCTTTGGTACCAAACCTCTGGGGAGGCAGCCGCAACTTCACAAGACATAAGGGAGCTGCCTACTTAAGGAATCCGCCATTTGGGGGAGGAAGCTTCAACCTTAATACATTTGAAATGGCTCTGCTTAAGGACCCCAACTCTGGGGAGGCAGCTACAACTTCAAGACCTAAAGGATCTGCCTGCTTAAGGAACCCTTTATCAAGGGCTGGCAGCTTCAACCGTAGTACATTGAAATGACTCGTGAAGGGGCCACATGCTTAGGGACCCAGCTTCGTGGGAGGCAACTTCACTAAACACAAGGGAGCTTCCTACTTAAGGACCCCGTCATTAGGGTGAGGAATGATTCATGAAGGAGCCGCCTTCTTACGAACCCCACTCATGGGGGATTCAGCCACAACTTCAAGGACAAAAGGGAGTTGCCTGCTTAAAGGACAAGTTTGGTATTTTACACTTAAAGCCCTGTTTTAAGATTGTTTCTCCATTGACTTGACTTGGGACAAATACTACGATAAAACCAGCTGGAAAGCATCTTTTGCAGCGATTTTTGTGTGAGCATATCAGTGAACACCCCTGACCACTCGGTGAATTTCACGTCTTTGTAAACTAAAGTTTAATGCGTTTTAGGAGGGATTGTTCCAGTGCACCTATGCAACCATAGTGGAGGTGGAGGGGTGCAACCACAGAAACCAAAAATTCTCGGGCCAGCAGCATGTGTCCAAATTTTTATCTTAACCGTTCTATTTCATCAGAAACGATCTTAAAACAGGGCTTTAAGTGTAAAATACCGAACTTGTCCTTTAAGTGACCCGCTATCAGGGGGAGGCAGTTTCACCTTATATCAAAAGAAAAGTTCTTAAGTGAGCCGCCTACTTAATGGACCCACATAAGTGGAGGGCATCTACTATGAGGGTGCCTACCTAGGGAACCCCAATTCGTGGGGAGGCAGCTCCACCTCATATTGCACCTCACACACACTAACAAAAGTACCTTACTGAACCTAACAGAAGACCGCAGACTGCGCCTTTGCCTCCCTAAACTTAACAACCACCATCTTGACGAATGTGCCAAAAAGCTCAGATGGCGAGACTGGCCCATCGAGGAGAAAGTTCTCCCCGATGTCAGTCTGAATTAGTGAGTGTCTCAGTTATGCACAAAGTGCACCAGATTAACACTCTTTCTGAAAACGCTTGGCAGAGAGTTTCTTCATGATATTCACAATAGCATGTACACAGACAAACGGATCCTGAAGACAAAGCAAGTTGATGACACCTAATACAGGTGCCCTTTTATGCTCACAGTCTTATGCTGGTAGTGACGTCACAGACTGTCGCCGGCCAATGACATTGTCACGTCTGTGTCCACTGGGCACAGAGATGTCCAAGCCCCGGCCCCCCTCTTGCTCCGGGCTTGCTTTTATGGAATACCATTTTGTGGACTTTCATATTTTTAATGACTACTATTATTTAAAGTGGAAAATAATAATAATATAGAAAAAATGTATTTGTCCAAACTTTTTTTTATTGGTACAGTACATCATTGTATATTATTATTTATAATTGTACTTATAGATTATTTATTCACATTATTTATTGAATTAAAAACTCACAGACAAGTTGTTAGACAGTTATGTCATTAAAACATTGTACTTACAGGCCACATCACAGCAGAGACAATGATGGCTATTTTGAGGAATAAGGAAAGCGGGATCAACATGGAGGGAATGTTCATGACCACAGGAAGTATGGTGTCAGTCGTCCCCAAAGACCCAGATTTACCTGGTGTCCACTTCTTCACGGCCACTCCAGACCCTGAACGGTACGCCAGGCTAGCTGATATTCAGAAGTCAAAGCTATAGTACAGGGCAGTTCTGACTAATGTTTTTCTTCTGAATTATTTACGCATGTCATATGTTACTTTAGATTAGACATGATTTTTCATATAAATTGTGAATTATTATTATAAAAATAGTATGGTTTGTAATGATATTTAACCATTTGTTAATGTACACTACCAGTTAATAGCTTGGAATAATTAAAGGTACACTTTGTAACTTTTGGCCCTCTAGCGGGTAAAAAAACAAAACTGCATGCATTTTGTGGAAGAACATTGTTTTGGTTGTGCTTCTGCTCTGGGTGACTGTGCTAGTGAAAATGGCTATCCTACTAATCATAAAACATTCACTATAGGCTTAAGAGATTTAAACAGTTAAGATAGAAATATCTCAAGCTGACTAGCTGAAGACGTTACTGTAGCTTTACCCATTAATAGACACGCTACTTCCTTGAAAATAAATTCCAGCACAGCACTACGACAACAATGAAATGAGCTTTCACAATAGATAATGCTTTACAATGAACTCTGTTAGAGAGCAACATATGGCAATTTATCTGTTGTACCTTATATCACCTGAGTAATAAAAACGGCATCATATCCGCTTCGCTTTTACAACATTTCAAATCCCTCAGTTCTCTGCTTCTCTGAAAAGCCACGCTAATGTTGGTTCTTGTTTTTATTGCGAGCTCTGTCACGTTCTCTTTTTGCCAGCAGACTTTCCTCTGTTCAGTGTTTGATTAAAATGAATGATTTCCCGGAGGTTGGAGATTTAGCGGCTCCATGTCAACCTTTCTCGCTCGTTGTGAAAACTAATCTCTACCACTCCCGCACCATACATGCGTCACAGTAGCCGGAGCAACTTTTCTCTATTTACGGAAATGACGAGACACGCACAGGCGAGTGACGTATGTGCACAATTTCCCATGAACACCATCCCGCCTGGTCTTAGAAAAATGTTCTTTACAGACAACATTGTCAAAATCCCCATTCAAAACATTGTGTAAATGCCCCCTCAAATATAAAAACAAAAATTATGTGTTTTGAACCGTTCATTTAGCTACGTTTTGGCGTATTGGGGGCCTGAAAAGGCAAACTTTTAAAAGCAATACCGTTACCATCTCCATGTAAACTTCAAAAACGTGTTCAGTCTATAGGTGTGTAGTGTTTCTTTACGAAGTGACATCGCCAACTACTGGCCTGGAAGCAGAATACAGCATTTTCAGTCGTTTCATGGATCCATGTGAATGGGGATCATTTTGACGATGTTGTCGTTTGTATTTGAAAACCGCAAAGGAAAAAACGTTATAAATAATGTTATGAAGGTTCAAATATATTAAATTTTTTAATATATTCAAATAGAAAACAATTGTTTTAAATTGTAATAATATTTCACAATATTACTGTTTTTACTGTATTTTTATTTATTTGGTGAGCAGAAGAGACTACTAAAAAAAAAAAAAAACATAATTATTCCAAACTGTTGACCAGTAGTTAATATAGTATTACTAATTCTAGTGGCTTTTGCAATATTATCATTGAAATTGACTCCAAAAATGTAATGATTAATTAATTACTCCTTTATCAATTTCATGCAGCTGTAATACTTAAAATTGTACGTTTTTGTCCCCCCACAGGTCTGTCTTTAAGCCGTTTATATTTGTATTAGACATAAAGCAGCTGAAGGACACATGTTCTCCATGTTTTGGAGAGGAGGATCCCGTGAAGAAGAAACCCCGTTTCCAGAGCAAACCGAACCGCAAACACCCTCTGTTCCTGAAGCACGAGGGGATCGCCGCCATCATCGACAGCACCATGGTGAGCTGTTTGTGAATGTCAAAGGTCTACACAGTTTTAAAGATCAAATCACATGACCGATAAAGTTATTGTCTCCTAAGAGAAATAATTGATTCTGAAATGAGTCGTTAGTAATTCCAGTCTCACTTCCTGGTACAAACCTATGTAACACATTTGCATAATGCCAGTCAATGGTCTTCATTGGCTGCTGGTGAACAACATATACTTTGACCCTCAAAAACTGTAGTTGTAGCTGAGACTGGAAGAGTTTGATTTGTGTTGTTCATGTCGAGAAGAAGCTGTTTTCTGCAAATCCACTTTGATTAAAATTGATATGGTAAAACCGACGCCATCGTTACTATTCATATCACTGTGTATCAAGAGCTGAAATCCAGATATTGTATTAGGCGTTTTGTTTCCGACACAAGCTGTAAGCAGTAGACCAATCACAACAGACTGGGCCATCTGACCAATCAGAGCCAAGTAGACTCTCAGAAAGGAGGGGTTTAGAGAGACTGAATCCTTTATCAAACCGTTTCAGACACAATGAGAAAAGAGCTGATGCTGCTATGTATGTTTTGAGAAAATTAAAGTGTTTTTTGACCTTAGCTGCATGTAAACCTGTTGAAGGAGACTTGCAAAATAAAACGAGGAACCTGTAAAATAGCATAAATTCACATGTAAAGTGGTTAGCCAATCATAACAAAGGCCATTCACATGGAAATCTTAAAGGTACAGTAGCCAAAACAGTTTGTTTTGGAGAGATGGTGGGAAATTGTCATGAAAAATACATTGTGTTGTGCAAGAGTCCAATATATGGCTTTTTTAATATAGAGATCTCATGTAAAGAGACATAATGTTTGTTTGTTTGTTCAGGAGAGTGGACAGAAGATTGAACAGAATATGAGAGATCTGGAGACGAGGAAGTTGGCAGAGATGGAGAAATATCTAACCGAGGGGATTGAGGATTCAACACTGCTGGTTCATCTCTTTACAGAAACTGTAGCTGAGGAGCTTAAAATTTACAGTAACGTCTGAAACTTAGTTTAGAATTGAATTTTTTTTTTTTGAATGGGATTATTGGATGTTTCTTCAACTATAGGCACTTTTGGGACCTGTAGATCCTAGTAAAACACACTTTTTACACTGTCATTTTCAGAACTTCAGTTGTTTTGCTTCTCAAGTTAATGTATCTTGATTTAGGAATCTTTAGACATTTGCACTGGAAAACAAGACAATACTACTGAAAAAGAACAGCACTTTTTTGCAGTGTGATCAGTAAACGATATCTTCTGTTTGGGAGCAGAGCTATTCAAACTTTGTTTGTTTGTTTTTCTTCGTAAAATGAATTAAAAAGTTATGGAGATCTGTATGAAATTATATTTTCAATCTTTGAAGTGTTGCTAATACAACTTATTGTGCTTCCTAGGCATTTACATTTAGAGAACATATTGATTTATTTTATGTTCCCTTCAATTTATTCCTTAAGTTTTCTTTAATTGGTCTTAAATTTACCTTCATAAAACCTGCAGAAACCCTGTAAAGCCATATGGTTACAAATAAAACCCAAGACAGTTTTAATGTGACCTTAATAACTTCATATGTTGAAATCTCAATCTCAACCCGTCAGATATAAAAGTTCCCACAGTTGAAGAAACACCCTCATACCTCTACTAATGGAGAGATCATTTGCACAATCTTTCAGGCAATTCCTGTATGTTTGGACATCATTTTAATAATATACTCAAAACCATTGACAAGTTAGTCACATTGTCATTACTGACATGTTAAATAAGTTGTGTGTTTTTAGCATTTTAGAGTGCATGTCAAAGATCTCCGATATCATATGCAAACACGTACAGTTAAATAATTAATTCCAAAGGATTTACTTTGGGAAATGTGTGAACTGGAAGTTGGCCGAACTTACTACTGTATCTGTCCACTCAATTCAAGTAAAAACACACAAAATAATAATACAAAGATCAACACTCATTAAAGTCCATTCCACAATCACAGTGAGCTTGTCTTTATTATTATTTCATGGACTTGTGAACTGGCTTCAGTGCCAGGCTGACCACAGACTGCAGTGTTCAAAGGAGACCAGGTAAATGAGATCATTTCAATTCCCGCCGAAAGTATTTTAGTCACGGATCAAAAAATAAAAAACAAGTATTGCTGAAACTGGTAAAAAAAAAATAAAAAAAAAATGCAATTATCAGAATAGCAAACAACATAGTCACGGATCAAAATATAATTGGAGTGAGGTGAACTCCCCTCTTCGATTGATTGGCTAAAGGAGGAGCTGTCAATCAAGAAGTAGCGGACCAATGGTGACGCTTAAGCCCTCCCTAATTTACATGAAACTGCAACATTTGGAAAAGCAAGTGTGGAAAGAAATACAAGCTTACAAAATAGTAAAATATGAGCAGAAAATGTAAGAGCACAAAGTACAGAGTAATAAAAACAAGGAAAACAACTTTTAAGAACACAAACATAAACGCATAAAAAGTTTTGATTCATGCTTGTTATTTTTTTAAATGCGCTTTAAATTTTTTGATTCATGCTTATATTTTGGTCCGTGACCACGTTATTTTGCTAATCTGATCATTTTGCTTTTTTTCCCGAGTATGTGCACTATTTTCTTACGAGCGTTTAAAAAAAAATAAAAAAATTATCCGTGACCGCAATACTTTCGACGGACATCCCAGTATTCTCCTTCAATGAATTCACTTGTTGGGACCCTTCTTATACTGTCTATGGTTGGGACCTGTCTATGGTTGGGTCTTTCCTGTTTAATCGAGACAAAATAAAATATATCGCCCTCGTGAGGCTTTGAAATGAAACACAGCCACTTCTCATCAAGGTAATGAATCATTTGGAATTCAATTTATTTGAATATATCAGAATTTTTTTGGTGCGGGCTAGTTATCACATGGGCTATATCTCAATACAGGTTATATTCAACTCAGACATGCTATGGAAATAAATACATATCTGCCAGTGATTCTGCCACATACATCTGCCAAATGTAAAAAAAAAAAAAAAAAAATTAGTCAATGAGCGCAGTATTGTAAATAAAACCGTTTATGGGATACATTCTTAACTTAGAGTGGTGTAAATATAACTCCACCAGAACTGCAATATTGTTATTAAACCGGATTAAATTACTGCAAAATAAATAAATTAAAATTCTGTTATGGATTACGTGTCAGTCAGTTCAATCTGTAAAATAAAAAAAGACTAAAATTCAAATGTCAAGGGGAAATAAAAGCAGCTCAGCTAACAGTTCTTCAGCACTCCCTGTTCAGTCCTGAAATGTTTAGTTCGTTTCCAAACTCCCCTTTGCCATCCTGTTTGTGTGAGGTAGGTGAATTGTTCAAGACCTCATTCTAGCCAACTACTTTCACATCTGGCTATTGCTATTAGTATCAATAGAACAAATAATTCACTTAAAGGGATAGTTCACCCAAAAAATAATATTAGCCCATGATTTACTCACCCTGAAGCCATCCTAGGTGTATATGACATTCTTCTTTCAGACGAATACAATCGGAGTTATTAAAAAATCCTGGCTCTTCCAAGCTTTATAATGGCAGTGAATTGCTGTTTCTATTTTGAAGTCCATAAAAGTGCCTCTCTCCATCATAAAAGTGCATCTCTCCATGATAAAAGTGCATCTCTCCATGATAAAAGTGCATCTCTCCATGATAAAAGTGCCTCTCTCCATCATAAAAGTGCCTCTCTCCATCATAAAAGTGCATCTCTCCATGATAAAAGTGCATCTCTCCATGATAAAAGTGCATCTCTCCATGATAAAAGTGCCTCTCTCCATCATAAAAGTGCCTCTCTCCATCATAAAAGTGCATCTCTCCATGATAAAAGTGCATCTCTCCATGATAAAAGTGCATCTCTCCATGATAAAAGTGCATCTCTCCATGATAAAAGTGCATCTCTCCATGATAAAAGTGCCTCTGTCCATGATAAAAGTGCCTCTCTCCATCATAAAAGTGCCTCTCTCCATGATAAAAGTGCATCTCTCCATGATAAAAGTGCATCTCTCCATGATAAAAGTGCATCTCTCCATCATAAAAGTGCTCCACACTGCTCCGGGGGGTTAATAAAGGCCTTCTGAAGTGAAGCGATGAGTTTGTGTAAGAAAAATATCAATATTTAAAACATTATAAAGTAAAATTCTAGCTTCCGGCCATACGCAGTCTACTTACGCCTAAAGCACAACTTACACAACTTGTGGCGTCAGCAGTAGCGTTAGTGCGTCATGCCGTAGCGTAAATATCAGCAGTGCGTCGCATAATGTGCGCTTTAGACTTGAGTCGAATCCGTATGTTTGTTTGGCCGGAAGCTAGTTATTTTACTTTATAAAGTTTTAAATATGGATATTTTTCTTACACAAACTAATCGGTTTGCTTCAGATGGCCTTTATTAACCCCCCGGAGCTGTGTGGAGCACTTTTATGATGGATAGATGCACTTTTATGATGGATAGATGCACTTTTATGATGGATAGATGCACTTTTATGGTGGATAGATGCACTTTTATGATGGAGAGAGGCACTTTTATAATGGATAGATGCACTTTTATCATGGATAGATGCACTTTTATGATGGATAGATGCACTTTTATGATGGATAGATGCACTTTTATGATGGATAGATGCACTTTTATGGTGGATAGATGCACTTTTATGATGGATAGATGCACTTTTATGATGGATAGATGCACTTTTATGGTGGATAGATGCACTTTTATGATGGATAGATGCACTTTTATCATGGATGGATGCACTTTTATCATGGATAGATGCACTTTTATCATGGATGGATGCACTTTTATAATGGATAGATGCACTTTTATCATGGATGGATGCACTTTTATCATGGATGGATGCACTTTTATGATGGATAGATGCACTTTTATCATGGATGGATGCACTTTTATAATGGATAGATGCACTTTTATGATGGATAGATGCACTTTTATCATGGATGGATGCACTTTTATAATGGATAGATGCACTTTTATCATGGATGGATGCACTTTTATAATGGATAGATGCACTTTTATCATGGATGGATGCACTTTTATCATGGATGGATGCACTTTTATGATGGATAGATGCACTTTTATCATGGATGGATGCACTTATAATGGATAGATGCACTTTTATGATGGATAGATGCACTTTTATCATGGATAGATGCACTTTTATCATGGATGGATGCACTTTTATAATGGATAGATGCACTTTTATCATGGATGGATGCACTTTTATCATGGATGGATGCACTTTTATGATGGATAGATGCACTTTTATCATGGATGGATGCACTTTTATAATGGATAGATGCACTTTTATGATGGATAGATGCACTTTTATCATGGATAGATGCACTTTTATCATGGATGGATGCACTTTTATGATGGAGAGAGGCACTATTATGATGGATAGATGCAATTTTATGATGGATAGATGCACTTTTATGATGGATAGATGCACTTTTATGATGGATAGATGCACTTTTATGGACTTCAAAACAGAAAGGGCTGCCACTATAAAGCACTTTTTTTTTAAATAACTCTGATTGTATTCGTCTGAAAGAAGAAAGTCATATACACCTAGAATGGCTTGAGGGCGAGTAAACCATGGGCTAATTTTCTTTTCTTAGGTGAACTATCCCTTTAAATGTGCCCTAAAATGAACCACTGTCCATCCATCAGCAGCCTTGGAAGCGGTCTGAGTCTATGTGAAGCGGTAGTGCAAGGCCTCATCCAGGAAGCCGAACTCGAGGCTGATGTGCTGAATGACTCGGCCCTCGAGCAGACGAGAGCCGTACGCTAAAGCCTCGCCCGGGTCAGCGGCCAATCCCACGCTCTGCAGCCAGCAGACCATCTCACTGCCCAGGAACGTCTCAGCGGTGCTTTTCTCTCCACACCTGCACAGCAGCAAGAGCACGCGTCACCCACTGCACCCAAACACACACACCAGCAGAGAGCAAGAGCACGGGTCACCCAAACACACACACCAGCACAGAGCAAGAGCACGGGTCACCCAAACACACACACCAGCACAGAGCACGGAAAGCAAGCGGCACACAGACAGGAAGTGAGAGATGATTAGAAAGCAAGAGAAAAGGGGCGGGGGGAAATCCAAGAGAGATTCATGCAAATGTGCAAACATGTTTTAATGCACAAACATGCTGTAATGGGAAAACCATGATCAAAATAAGACTAAATATGACTTTTTGTGCATGCACCAAAAACAAATCAAACAAGCGAATGAATGCATAAATAAACAAGAGATGGCAGTGAAGAGTCTCTCACCTTTTCTTGTGAACAATGTCTCTGACGCACTGCTGCTTATGATATGTAAGGAACTGACTGCAGGTCAGTCTGATCTCCTCAGACGCCACGGAGCCGCTGACCTCCTGACCCCAACCCCGCCACAGGCTCGCTAACCTTTGCCGACATACACAAGACATCTAATCATTACCCTAATTATGTATCTAATATTCACATTAAACAGGATTGTTTTTCTTATACTGTTTAAACACAAGCTCTTTCCCCCATCCAGAACATTTATTGAAGAAAAGACACAAACACTGTTTGGGAATGTTTTTGGAAGCAACCTCAACACTGTAATGACCAGTAATTGGACTATTAATGCTACAAAATGGCTAATTAATTTATTACACTTACACTTACAACATAAATGTCAATAAAGTTTGTAATCCCATGATTACAGCCTCTTTGCAGTTCTGCCTTACATTGTGACAGGATCTCGAAGCAACTGAAATGAACCACTATTCAGAAATTAGGGATCTTTTTACTCGCTCCAGCCGCTTTGCTTTTTGATTGTGTTTACACTCTCTTGGTTCGGACCAAAATAGAAAATTATACAATAAGTAAACGTTATATAAAAACGCTGTATTCTGCTCCCAGGCCAGTAGATGGCGATGAAACACTATAGACTGAACACGTAATACGCATGTGCATGACGTCACAGTTTTCACAGATTCGTGTTTCTCTTTCAAGCATTCGTTTCGGTGTCTCGCTATGGGATACACCCCGTCCGCATATTCCCCAGAAGCCCTATTACATTACGCCAGCCCCAATTGGCTGTCAGACATGACGTAGTGTCTGGGAGTGGCTACCCCACCCCTCAGTATAAGAGGAGCAACACAACGTCATTACGACATTCAAAAACCTCTTCTCGCTTCACACCAGAAGCCTACAAACTTTCCAACGACCTTCTGGACGAATTATTGGCCACCACGCCGCTTTTCGCCTGGCTCCTTCGAGTCGCATTACAGCCGATTGCAAGGATTGTTCGACACAACGATGCAGACTATCCCGGCTAGTGAGGGAGAACCTGTGCGACTTTGTTCATGCGGGAACAAAATTTCATGCAAGGACACACACCAGTGCTGCGTTCAAGTCCACTTTTAGACAAGCACTTGCAAACTTCCCTAAGCACTTCCCCTCGGGGGAATCCCTGCCGCCATTTTCGTGAAGTGGACGAGGGAAGTTTATATGGACAGACACTTGTTCCCTCGATTTTGACCGAGGGAGCGAGTCTATTTCCTATGTACACTTCAGGCAGCTCCATATACCACAATGCAACATGATTGTTTGTGACGTCACCACATATCTCGTCTAATCCCCACCACCACAAACAACTCTATGATATATTAATAATGATTTTTTTTAATTTAAAACAACCCAAACACATCTATATACATTTGGATGCTGCATTAAACAAATAATAAATCAACTCCATAGCTGATTACAAGTGAGCAAGGGTTTAAGACGTTCCAATTCAGCCCATTGCCGTTTCCGCCAGTAGTGGGCACTCGTGCAACGTAAGCAATGACGTACATCCGAGTGAACGAGACGGAGGGAAGTTAGCGAGTGAAGGGCGTGACAATTTTGGACTGGAGCGCAGCACAGGTTGGACTGGGCTGAAACATGCTCAATTGGCGATTCATGTGAACACTGCGCACGCTTCACCATGAAATAAATCAATGGTAAATGGACTGCATTTATATAACGCTTTTACAGACCCAATGGCCACCAAAGCGCTTTACATATTGCCTCACATTCACCCATTCAATCACTCATTCATACACCGACGGCGGTGTCAGCCATGCAAGGCGCCATCCATCTCGTCGGGAGCAGCTGGGGTTAGGTGTCTTGCTCATGGACACCTCGCCGGTCATGGACACCTTGACACTCAGTCAGGTGGAACCGGGGATTGAACCACTAACCTTCCGGTTTGTAGACAACCTACATGAACCAATGAGCCACTGCACTGAAGAGCCTTCGTCGTAGGCTAGCACTCCAGGGATCCCCTCATAACACCTTGCCCCGTGCCAGCTGCTACTCCACAGGTATCCATTCCTGTAGAGTTGCCCACCCCGGCAGCTCTATCCTAGGGTGAGCAGCTCGATGTGTGCGTACCTCGGCCCAGTCTGCTCAGCACGGCCGAGGAAGAGGACGTGCGTGATTTCGAGGAAGAGGGGCAATCGGACTTTCTTCTCTCTGAAGAGGAAGACTTCGAGGACTCCGCATTCCTCCCCCCTGCGCACCCGGATCCACGGAAGAGGCGGGCGGGGCAACATCCTCCCAGCTTCTCAGTGTTGATCTGCCAGATGTGTGCAAACGCGCTGCAGAGAAACTAAATCACCCATATTCCAGTAAGGGTCATGTGTCCCCAGCTGGATCACTTGCACACTCAACAAGGGGAATGTCAACTTCATGGGCTCTCTTTAAAGGAGTCACGATACAGGATATTTGCGAAGCGGCGAGTTGGTCCTCGCCGCATACATTTGCAAGGTTTTCTAAACTGGATATTACAGCTCAAACTTTAGCACATGCCATATTGAGCGTAGGAGTTCGAGGCAGGCTATATGGCAATACGGGAGTTAGGATATCCCATAGTGAGACACCAAAACGTATGCTTGAAAGAGAACAATATGTTACTTGCGTAACCCCAGTTCTCTGATTAAGTGCATTTATACCCCTTTTCCACCAAGGCAGAGCTGGTGCTGGTTCGGAGCCAGAGCCTAATTTCAAATCGGTTGTTTGTTTTTCGACACCCAGAGCACCAGCTCCGAACCAGTAAAAGTGGTTCTTAAGTAGCACCAAAACATTGCTAGGCTAGAAGTAAGAACCGCTTGCGTCAGGGGCTGGGGGCGGGGTTACCGTGACCAACAAGACGAACAGACACTAGTGACCATTTTTTAAATAGCAGCTAATCAAGCAAATAGTAGCTCGATTGTAATCTCCATCTATGCAAGTTACGGCGAGCTGCACGAATGCGTTGGATTCGCCATGTTTGGATGCCAATGTATGTTTGCAAAGCCATGAGTATCAATACTAGTAACCGCCATTGTTGATGGGTTGTTCGAGATGCATCGGAGCGGCGCGGCTGATTGGAGCTGCGGGAGTGTTTGAAGAGTAAACGACTCCTTGTGCTTTTGGATCGCTTTCGCAGTGTTTTGATGTCATGCGGCGATCGGTCTGCGAGAAGCTGATACATCTCGAACAAGCCTGATGTGTTTGTGTTTGGCGCTGCCGCGCTAGTGTTGCTGGGCAACATGAGATGTATACAGTGATGTAAGATCTGGCTCTGTGGTGGCTCTCTGGTCTGTGGAAAGGCAAACCGGTTCTTAGAAAGCTCGTCAGTCGAACCAACTCCGAACTGGCAATAGCTCTGGCTCTGAACTAGCACCTGGTTCTTGCTGATGGAAAAGGGGTACAAGTGAGGTGTCTCATCAGATCACCCTCCTTGCTGTGTGAAGCGAGGAAGAGGTGTGCTTGTTTTGAATGTCGTAATGACGTTGTGTTGCTCCTCTTATACTGAGGGGTGGGGTAGCCACTCCCAGACACTACGTCATGTCTGACAGCCAATCGGGGCTGGCGTAATGTAATAGGGCTTCTGGGGAATATCCCATAGCGAGACACCTCACTTAATGCTATCAGAGAACTGGGGTTACACAAGTAACCTATTGTTTTGTTTTTTACATGGAGACCGTTTTCAGAAACTTGCACTTTGAAACTGGTGTAAAAAATTTGTGTTTCCAGGCATCCAAAACGCTGTTGTCGTGTAAACGAACGGCCAAAACGCATAAAATGTTTTACGTTCGTATTTGAAATCGGTGTCATGTAAAAAGCCTCTTAGAGTTAATTTTTAACACTGAACCTAAAGATACAAAACAGAAAGACGGCTTTTATGACGTATATTTTGCGACTGAACTGTGCATTCAAAACGATGCTACGTCAATTTCGCAAAAACTTCCATATATCACTAAAATAAAGTTTTACACCAGCATGAGGTGGTTTTTCATGCAATTCGAAAAATGTATATTTTGCAAAACTGCAATGGAAACAGTTTTTGCACATTTACAGGTCACCTGACGTACGTAACAGTCGATCATTCTTTAAAGATGACGCGGTGTGTTTGGACAGAAGACGAGACTAAACTCATAAAAGACTAAAGTATTACGGGAATACTGGATTCTTATCAACAAAGAAATGCAAAAATGTATCAAGACCTTGAAGCAGATATGAGGGAGAAACACCTCATATGTGTCGCTCACAAGTATAAGGCCATTAATGCTTGGATATTAATGCCTTGGATATAACGTCTACGTCTCCTTCGATTAAAAAAAATGGCTAGTGCGGTGGCTGAGATGTATCAACATCCGTTGCTATGATTTTTGGAATGACTCAAACGTAATTTTAGATTGCGTAATTGCGCAATGAGTCGCATAACATCGGTTAATTAGCCTGACGTCGTCATACTGAGATTCTAGTCAGTATGTGACTCTGACACTGCGCCATTAGGCGTGTTTCAACCGAACCAGGAAAGAAGATGCCTCTGCACTCAATTGGATAGACCTACAACCAATCAGAGCAACGGACAAAATTCCAGGTTTCCGAAAAGGAGCTGGCAACGACCGCTGGTTATGTCCGCCTCGTCGTGCACGCCGAGTTGCATCGCCGTGATGCCCATTTCGGTTGCCCGTGAGTGCGACCGAAGGAGAAACAACAATGACCACAGGGTTTTCATTGCGTCTCATCTTCTTAGCGACCATCGGAGCCAGCTGATAAATTAAACTTTTGCCGAATCCCGTAGGAAGGACGGCAAAAACATCTTTCCGATCGACAAATGCCTTGATCGCGGTTCTCTGTTCCTCTTTTAAAATGTATGCCCCGTCTACATCTTCTATAACAGACGCGATGGCTGAATCTACACATCTCAGTTCTCCAGCGGCGGCCATCTTTGTTGTAAACTAATTCAACCCAAGCGCTCTTTGGTGACGTGGATGATTACGTTACGGTTGATCATCTGTCCATCATCGTATAAAGCCCGCCCTGACAATTTGATTGGTCCGAACAGCTTTGATTCGGGCATACTTGCTTCTCAACGGAGCCTCAAATGTTGTGGGCGGGGCTAAGTTCGGCTGGCATCCAGGCTATTGGTTAATGGAAACGCCGCCATTTCGCAATCATTTTTTATTGAAAATATCGAAATATCGCAAATCTGTAATGGAAACGTGGCTACAAGAATTGTCCCTTTTTGGCATCAAAGAAAGTTAGAAAAATAATTACATGTACTGTTTTTTTTTTTTTTTTTATCATTAATGTGTAAATGTTGACTGTCATGATGTGTTCATCTGCCTGACTGGAGTTGTGGATATGAAAAAAAAACAGTTTTTTCAGCTTAGCCTCAATAAATGCTCCGTCTGGAATGGGGAGGAAGTTTTAATTCCAGAAAATAACAGTAAGCTTTCATAGTGTGTCAAAAGATCAAGTAAAATTTGATTCGTCATCATTTGAGCCCTTTAAAGCTTGAAGAGTTTTGCAAAAAGTTGAGTTACCTTTTTTTGAACGGAGAGATAATTAAATGCTTGTCAAGGCCAAAAAATGCGAATGAAATGAGACCCTACAGAGGGAAGACAGTAAGAGATGCATGTTTCAGGAAAAGCGTTGGATATTTTAACTCCAGCACAACACATGTGATAGGATCACACACACACTCACCTGCCCGAAATTGGCCACGACACAGAAGAACTGCAACTCCACATACAGCTGTCCTGGATCTGTATTAAAGAGCCACCACAGACAGCTGGAGAGATTCTACCACGCGCGCGCGCACACACACACACACACACACACACACACACACACACACACACACACACACACACACACACACACACACACACACACACACACACACACACACACACACACACACACACACACACACACACACACACACACACACACACACACACACACACACACACACACACACACACACACACACACACAGAGAGAGAATGAAGAGTCACTACAACTGTACTGTAAATAACAGTGAAACCCAGACCAAAGAGAAGAGTGGTATCCATATGGTATCATATATGAAGTAAACAAAAAATCGAATATATTTTCACGAACAAATCATGATTCATCAATAACTTTCGTTCTAAATTTTATTCTAAATTTACAAAAAAATTTAGGAACAACTGAAACCACATGAAATCACATACTCGAGGTCTTATAAACGTGTTAACGCTCTGTTAAAGTGCCGCTATTATGTTTTTTCGAATATTCGCTTTCATGCAGTGTGTAACACAGTTGTTTGTACGATAAACAAAAGAAAGAATCGACTCTGAAACGAGTCGTCAGGGATTCCAGTCTCACTTCCGTGACCCGCTTATGTAACGCAGAAACACATTTGCATAATACTCGTCTATGGTCTTTGTTGGCTGCCCGCGAACGTCTACTTTGACCCTCAAACACTGTAGCTGGTTCGTGTGGTTTACATCAGACCTGTGACGGCAAATTCGAGTTATTTTCACTTCCAAAGAATGAGGATGTGTGGTAAAATTAATTTCTACAACAATACCACAGCAGAATAATCCCAACCTTTAGTTGTGTTCCCATCATTCTACCGACGACTGCTTCGTAAATCTCGGCAACTGCAGCGCAGGATTCGCAAAACGCTTGTCAGTGAAAGACGGGTCAGTACCCAGTTTATTTGGACTAACTTGCTCCTCAGAATAAAACAACCTGTAAGTATGGTTAATAATTGGCTTTTATATTTTCTATCGAGTGTTCAAAATACGTAGTTTTTGTCAAAATAAAATCCAATTTAACAGATCTGAAACATTTTTGGGTAACACTTTATTTTAAGGTGCTTGTAATAAGCAGTAATTAACAGTTAATAAGACACTTATAAGACCTTATGAGATGCATATAATATGCATATAAGCATTAACTAATGATAATAAATAAAATAAATGAAATAATACATTTCTCAAGTATCAATACATTGCACTTTTAGAACAGCCGAACAAACATAAGTGGTAACACAAACTCCCAGTCCCTTAAAAATTGACCTTCCCAAGAGGGAGTAGTTTCCCTGATCTCTTCAGGGCCTGGACCTTTAATTAACCCTTATATTAAGTAGTTAATGCTTATATGCATCTTATAAGGTCTTATAAGTGTCTTATTAACTGTTAATTACTGCTTATTACAAGCACCTTAAAATAAAGTGTTACCCATTTTTGCAAAGAAGACTGGAGAATATTCCTTGCTTCAACTAGGCATTCGATTCAGTGGTGTGAATGCAGTTTCACTTTGTGTCACCTAGGTTTTCAGTGGCATTGCATAGGTTGTGTTTTTTACCGTACGTTCACACCGCCGCCGGCGAGTGCGGCAAAATTCGCTCTCGCTGCCCTGCCAGCGACGCCGTGGAAAGATTCGTGGACGCTCTGATGCTCTGACGTAGATCGAATGCGTGGTCTTTTTTAAAACTGTATTTAAAGGGGCCGCAAAGCAAACAAGCATGTCCGATCGTTATGTTTGCAGAAAATTGATCGATGGAAAGAACTTAACAATTATAGTGACATGTTCGCTAAAAAGCCATTTGTGTGATGTGGCTTTTGTGTTCATGGTTAAGTGCTATTATAATTTGCATTCCCGCTGAAAAAGTGTTCTAGCATGAAAATCTTGTCTATAAATAGTGTTGCGCGCCTTCTTATCAAATTCAAATGATCAACCTCTCCTCTATTTTGCTTGGGAACTAATGTGGTCGGAACCAAAGTTTACAGGACTGCGTTCTCTGGAATTCTCTCAAACGGAGCACTTCTACATTCCGATTGGTTGCCGCCGGTTGCCGCCAAACTGCGTCATTGCTTATTACCATAAAGTTGACCTGACTTCAACTCTCCTCGCCGCTCTCACCGTCCAAGACGCGCCGCGCCGCGCCACCCTTTGCCGGAGCTCGCCACCGGCTCTCATTGAAAATGAATGACTTCCGGCCACTTTGACGCTCTCGCCGGCGGCGGTGTGAACGCACAGTTACATTAAAGGGTTAGTTCACCAAAAATGAAAACTCTGTCAGTAATTACTCTGCCTCATGTTGTTCCAACCCCGTAAGACTTTCGTTCATCTTCGGAACACAAATTAAGATATTTGTGATTAAATCTGAGAGCTGGATCACTCCTCCATAGGCTTCTTAAGGGATCGAAACTGGCCGGCCCAAAAGTTATTAAAGGCATCGTTAAAATAGTCCGAGTGACTACAGTGACTCAACCTTAAGTTTATCAAGCGACGAGAGTACTTTTTGTGCGCAAAAAAACAAACAGAAATAATGACTTTATTCAACTATTCATTTCCTTCTCTGTTGGCCTTGAGATTTCACGTAGTGTAACAGCGCAACGCTTCTGTGTTGTACGTCACACGCAGGCTCGCTATTGGCCGACGCTGGTCATGTGTGTGATGCGTGTGACGTACAACATAGAAGCGCTGCGCTGTTACACTACGTGAAATCTCGCAGCCCACAGAGAAGGAAATGAATAGTTGAATTAAGTCGTTATTTTTGTTTGTTTTTTTGCGCACAAAAAGTATTCTCGTCGCTTGATAAACTTAAGGTTGAGCCGCTGTAGTCACTCGGACTATTTTAATGCTGTCTTTCATAACTTTTGGGCCGGCCAGTTTCGATCCCTTAAGAAGCCTATGGAGGAGTGATCCAGCTCTCAGATTTAATCAAAAATATCTTAATTTGTGTTGCGAAGATGAACGAAAGTCTTACGGGGTTGGAACAACATGAGGGAGAGTAATTACTGACAGAGTTTTCATTTTGGGGTGAACTAACCCTTTAAGGTGCAGAAGTTCTGATATGACTTGCCTTTTACATCACAATACCCAGCTGTTTTATAGTTGTTATAGCCACTGAATGAGTGAATGAGTGAATGAGTGATCCTGTACTCACAGCGAGGAGACAGACGGTCAGTAACAGACACACCAGCACGTGTCTCGTCGACTGTATATCTGTGTTCTGTCTATCCGCTTCTTTCTGTTCCTCTTCAGCCAGCAAACAGCTTGAGGGTGAGCACTGCTGGCTACACTGACCTGAAAACAGCATTTAAATGATATGCAGATCTCATTTTTCTTCCCCTTTTGAAATGTATTCCATTCAGTTTCCATAAAAAAACTGTATTAAATGCAGAAGTCAGTAAAGAAATAGATCATGCAATAATGAATATTCTGTTTTATTGCACAGGTCTATTAGTGTGGTATCATTGATTTCACATCTTATCCATACATCTACTGTGTGTCCTATTGAGGTCTAGCTACAGCACTGTCTCAAACGAGGACCTCTGACCAATAAAGCAACGTCTTATCCATCTCGAGACAGATTGAGTGAACAGGAACTGAAAGAAAGAGCGAACCTGTGTGTATGGACGCTTCCTCTTTGGGGCTTGTCACATCAGGCATGCTCTGCTCACGGTCACTTGCGCACTCACACATCTGACAATCTTAAAAAACACATAAAGATTAGTCAACAACCTCAGTCTTCATCTCTCATAGAGCCATAGATATTTTACACTCAATGCTTTTGTAGGCTCAGAATGGCATACTACTTACTACTTTCATTCTCAGTATTCTGTGCTCACTATAACTCGAAAAATTTGAGTATGGTGCAAAAGTTCATTTATTTCATCAATTCAACTTAAAAGGTGAAACTAATATATTATATAGACTCATTACATGCAAAGTGAGATATTCCAAGCCTTTATTTGTTATAATTTTGATGATTATGGCTTACAGCTTATGAAAACCTTTTCACAATATTCTAATTTTGACTTTGGGGTTTTCATAGGCTGTACCCCATAATCATCAAAATTATTACAAATAAAGGCTTGGAATATCTCACTTTGCATGTAATGAGTCTATATAATATATTAGTTTCACCTTTTAAGTTGAATTGATGAAATAAATGAACTTTTGCACCATACTCAAATTTTTCGAGTTTCATCTGTATGTTTATGGGATAACCAGGTGACCCACTCCATTTCTAAAGTGCGCAGTTTACAACCAGAGCACAGTGTGTGAAATACTATATCCCACAATTCAATGTTCTTGACTTCCATTTCCAGTGTGGCAAATGCATTATGGTTTAACTGCTTAACTCTTAGTTCATACAAAATTAGATAAAAAATGCAGGATAAAGGTATTTATTTCTGAGATTATACCCAGGTGTCACTTGCTGAACTGTCATGTTTGAAAACATACTACTGTTTGAAACATGTATTGCTGCATATGGCATTTCACTTTAACATACAGTTCTACATATAGTGATCAAATAGCAGGGGTGGAATTTAGAAAACAGAAAGGGGGTATGCATTGACGTCACTTTCCCGCAGGATCACGTTAGCCAGACCGAGGGGCAAAAGAGCTGCTGCGAAAACGCGAGTAAAACAAACAATGATCAGTTAAAACTACAAGTTGGACTCAAAATAGCGTTTACTTGCAACTTATCAAAGATTCAGTGATCCATGGATATTGACATGCAGCAGGAATCGTGTTTCCTGACATGTATATGTGCCTGATTTAGACGCAGGGGAAATACATAGAGCAAAATTGCCTGTGAACGCTTTATATAAATTTAATATAGGTAACGTTAGGTCTAAATCCGGCTGATCACTCATATCAGTGTTACATATATCATCATATCGTCCAACCCTAAAACTTGTATAGTTTTTTGTCAGTGTTTATTTAAAAAACATCCAATTATGTAGAATATACGATGGTAAATATTTCATTGAGGAGTTGTCAATAAAATATAGGGTATGATTTTACCACTAAATATCAGCATATTGACACAAAAATGATAACTGCAAATCCACCTTCGCGAGTCCAGTTGTTTCTATGAATCGCAGCGATCCATTTGTTTCTCTGTTCTGTATCTTTCGGCATTCTCTAAAAATATACCTCAGACTCAATCTCAAAGCTCTTTCCCGTTTTAGATGCGTTTTGTGTGTTTTTCGTGGCATTCACACTGAAAACAAATGCCGCTCAGTGTTTTTGCCACTCACTCTGGCCGACGGTGACGTCACGCGCATACCCTCTATAGAAAGTCTTTGCGCGACTAGACTCCGCCCCCTTTCGGAGGCACAGCCCACTTGTGGAGTTCTCCTATCTACTTGACTTTAAAAAGGATTTTTTCATGAATCTGGCCCCACAGTTTTAGAAATAAAGGAGGAGTTGTCAGTGTCATACCTGTGTTGATGCTGCCTACAGCACAGGGCGGCTCAACAGAGCTCTGTGTGTCTGTGTCGCAGGGAAGCCTCACATCCTCCTCACTGCCAGAGACTGATCCATGCTCGAGTGTGTGATAGTCTCGCGTTCGTCTGCTGAGCAGTGCGAGAGAGATCCCGCACAGCATGATACTCACGAGTAACACCACAGATGAGCACAGCACCTACAAAACACATTACATTACAGCTATGTTTCAGGACCTGTAGTGAAAATGCAGTCATTAGTCAAGTCACGTCACATTTATTTATACAGCGCTTTTTACAATGCAGAGTGTTTCAAAGCAGCTTTACAGAGATGACAGGAAAATAATGCAACTAAGTTTGTTTCCAGAAGGAAATAGCGTCACAGTCCAGCTTAAAGGTGCATTGCGCAACTTTTCATGTTAAAAATACCTGTTTTTCTATCCTATACATGCTTAAACAACTGCCTGATGGGCTGAATGAGCTCTTCTCTGCGCACTGAGATTGCCTCTATAATCCTGTACAGTAAAATATATAAGAGGGATTCGGGCTCGAATTTGAGACTGGGCGTGACGTCATGTCTCGCAGGTTTGTGTATTCGCCGGCGCCGCCATTCTCTGCATCAGCGAAGACAACTCGTGCGTCAAAGGTAGAAGATGGATTTAAAGAGACCGGCTTGTAGTCCATTCCAAACCCCAACGCAAACTCCACGTAAAGTAAAGAAAAGAACATTTTTGTCTAGTGCCACCAAGGTCCAAATTGGAGTCAGACAGGCGTCGGAGTAAGACGAGAGTCAACCTCGGGAAGGCATTCAACAAATGGAGAGATCTCCGGTCTGCTCTTGGTCTCAAACGGGATCCTCAGTTGGCTTTTTTTTCTTGATAAAACGGTAAGATATAGCCCAGTCTCTAATGTTTGATACGGCCAATCTATGTATGACAACAAATGACGATGCGTAAAATGTGTAATGTTTCAGCGTAAGCTAGATACATATACAATCAGAATTGGTTTTACTACCATTGTTAGTGAACAGTTTCATAAACTAGGAATTGTGTTCGGAAGAATAGTACAACATGAAACATAAAACATATCCAATAAAAGATGCTAACTATGTTTTTGTGTATGGCCTACCGGTAACGTTAGCCTTGTGTCCATTGCTAACATGCTAAGGTGATCATGTCATTGACCAACAAGGAAGAACGCCGTTGCATTGGCTATATTGTCTTTTTCGGTAAAAATAGTAAATTGTTCCCGTGAATGGTCCATGAGCGTGCACAACTCTGGTTGCAGTTTCGCTTGTCGCCAGAGGGGGCGTAGTTCTGCAAAAACTCAGAGACTTGCGTTTTGCACCTTTAAGTAAGTTCAGTGATGTTTCATTTTTGTTGTAAAAAGTTATTAATTTAGTTTTTTTTGTTCTATTTTAGTAATTTAGTTCTAATTTAGTAATCATTATATGATGACTTGCACATTGTGGTTTATCCATTTAGGATGAGTACAGGTCCATTTTCCCAGAGAGTTTTGTCAGCTTTTAGGAGAATACTAGATAACCTCAATAATATCATCACAAAACTCCTATATTCATCAATCAATCTTTGAAAGATCAACAAAATGGAGCTTTATGAGTAAAACAATAGAATCTAGGTGGAAGATGATGTCATTGCCATGTGATTGTTCTAGGACAATAATGTGCACATGTTTTTAAGCCGTAAGTATAAGAAAGTCTTCCACATTCATGTGATCAGCCTCCATAAACAAGCATATTTGGGTGAACTATGCATTTAACACCAAGGGCGATAACTATAATGACTATAAAAAGTTTTAATAGTTGTTCTAATTCTATGAGAATTGGGAAGGCCACACCACAGCTATAACGTTAACTACACAGAAGAATCATTTAGTTTTAATCAAAACATTTTCTCCAGCTGATGAAGGATAAAAACATTGACAGCCAATCAGAATCCGCCCCAACTCTAAAGAGCTTGAGCATTACAGTGGCAGACAACAGAACTGCAGCATATGCTTATAATAAACAGAACGTTATCGTACGTTGGTGTGGACACTAATAGTTATTGTTATAGTTATCGTTATAGTTATAACGGAGTTGAACTCTGACTTGTTTCTTTTGTTCATGTGTGTCAGACTGTGTTTATTCAGCGTCTTGCACATCTAAACCACTGTTCCTCGTCACGTGTGCCGTGGAGAATTATCAAATTCCAAAAAAAGAAAACAATGAATAAAATGAATGCTACAAATAAAAATATATCGTCGCTGTCGGGCGGAAACCTTGTATCTCTTTATTTAGACATTTTTATCTTATTTTATTTTTAAAAATCAATGGATTTAAGTCATTTAAGATATTGGTCATCATTTAACCCACTTAATTGGCTTCGCCGAAGCAATAAAATTCTGTATTATAAATATTAAGGCCAGACAAGTAGTTTGTTGAGGGTTGTTTTTTTAGGGAAGGACTAAATGCCTGCGCACATATATTCAAACGCGCATACCTATAAAATGAACTCTTAATATGCATGTGCACGCCATCAGCGTTCTCACAGGTTCGTGTTTTTAAAGTTTGCGTAGAGAGAACTTAAGAGTTTAACCCTAAGTTAACCCTAAGTTAATAACTAATGATCGTTGCGACGGAAGTGAATCAATTAAAACTAACTTTAGCTGGAAAATAACTTTATTCTAGAGCTGCCATAAAGCCAAAACAATCTGTTACTTTAATTTCCTATTATCACTGTAAAGCAGCTTTGGAACAATCTACGTTGTTAAAAGCGCTGTATAAATGAAGATGACTTGACTTGACTTAATGTGGGTTTAAAAAAAAAATTAACCAATGAAAAGTATTAAAAAGAGCTTGTGGCTAAAGCTCGTAACTCGATTGGCTCCTCAAACTGTCAGTCAAACCTCATAACTGCCCGTGTCTATCATGAATGAAGTGCTGCACGCAGCGAGATCTCTGCTTGTTTGCAATGCACATAGAAAAAAAGAACTGATGTTTGAATAAGTACAGAGTTTACATTACTTTAGAGACACAATGTCTATAAAGGCAAATTTTTTGTGTTTATGTTTGAAGAGCGGAGAAAAGTCTTAGTCTGGTATTTGCGTTCTAGTTCTAGCCAATATAACGTTCCTCTTTTAAATATCTTGTGCATAGCGTTTCATCTTTTGTATCATGAGATTTCAACAACAAGAAAACCGAGCGCACATATACTGTAGCTACAGTTAACTTTATAACCTTGAAAACGTCTTGCACTGACGGCCTCAGATGAGGCTGTTCTAACGACTGACAAAACGCATATCTCTGTCATGACACTGGTCAAAAACCTCATAACTCCATTTGATTTTAATTTTCATAAAATGTTAATATTATAATGGCATGTGCAGGTGTCTGACCATATACACTCACCTAAATGATTATTAGGACCACCTGTTCAAATTCTCATTAATGCAATTATCTAATCAACCAATCACATGGCAGGTTGCTTCAATGCATTTAGGGGTGTGGTCCTGGTCAAGACAATCTCCTGAACTCCAAACTGAATGTCAGAATGGGAAAGAAAGGTGATTTAAGTAATTTTGAGCGTGGCATGGTTGTTGGTGCCAGACGGGTCGGTCTGAGTATTTCACAATCTGCTCAGTTACTGGGATTTTCACGCACAACCATTTCTAGGGTTTACAAAGAATGGTGTGAAAAGGGAAAAACATCCAGTATGCGGCAGTCCTGTGGGCGAAAATGCCTTGTTGATGCTAGAGGTCAGAGGAGAATGGGCCGACTGATTCAAGCTGATAGAAGAGCAACTTTGACTGAAATAACCACTCGTTACAACCGAGGTATGCAGCAAAGCATTTGTGAAGCCACAACACGCGCAACCTTGAGGCGGATGGGCTACAACAGCAGAAGACCCCACCGGGTACCACTCATCTCCACTACAAATAGGAAAAAGAGGCTACAATTTGCAAGAGCTCACCAAAATTGGACAGTTGAAGACTGGAAAAATGTTGCCTGGTCTGATGAGTCTCGATTTCTGTTGAGACATTCAGATGGTAGAGTCAGAATTTGGCGTAAACAGAATGAGAACATGGATCCATCATGCCTTGTTACCACTGTGCAGGCTGGTGGTGGTGGTGTAATGGTGTGGGGGATGTTTTCTTGGCACACTTTAGGCCCCTTAGTGCCAATTGACCCTTCGCTAAGCCACGCCCGAAAACCACCACTGGCCAATCGTGGCTTAGCAACCGTAACTAGGCGCGGGAGGTCTGTCAAGCTTTCGAGCGAGGGAAACATACCGACGCGTTGAGCGTATGGATTGTGCAAATCTGATACCCGGTATTCTAAAAGTTTGGACGGTGGGATGGCATTTTTTCTCTTCCCGAAACCTAAAAGCCAAAGGGGTGAAATCCCTGGCGTGGATCAAGCAGTGTGGAGACCCATTCACAACTAAATGTCTAAAACGCCTATTGCTTGGAAATAATGGCGGTTCTTTGTTCATAATGCATATATTTGAACGTAAAATAAGACGATTAAAGGCAAGACGGAGGCTCACTGACATACTTTAAAATATGTTTCAGCATTTTGTTAATCGACGGCGGACGGCCTACTAACGTTACCCCTGTAACTTTACCCCAATCCGATCGCGGCTCTCCCGGTGTTAGATTGATGGATAAGCTGTTTGATTTGTAATTATTAGATTATTTTCACATTTCACTTACTCTTCTGTGCATGAACATAGCTGTTCAATTTGTGTTTCCCATTTGAATGGTCTGCTAAGGAGGCGGCTGCTGCTTGCGCTCAATGCGCTGGGACCTAACGTTATAGGCTTTAGCTTCAATTTTGATGAAATTATTCTCTAATCGGTTGCATATTATGTCGTGGATATATCCCTCGAATGCATACTGCTGTCCCTTTTGTCTTGCTCTCTCAGATATTTCACTTGTTCGCCAAAAATGACTAAATATCTCCTTGGGAATGTCTGACACCGGTGCATTCACACTGTAATAGACGTGGCAGCCGCGAAAGCTTGACAGGCGTAGCAACAGTAACTAAGGAGGGCGGGGCTTAGCGAAGGGTCAATTGGGCATCGTTTAAATGCCACGGCCTACCTGAGCATTGTTTCTGACCATGTCAATCCCTTTATGGCCACCATGTACCCATCCTCTGATGGCTACTTCCAGCAGGATAATGCACCATGTCACAAAGCTCGAATCATTTCAAATTGGTTTCTTGAACATGACAGTGAGTTCACTGTACTAAAATGGCCCCCACAGTAACCAGATCTCAACCCAATAGAGCATCTTTGGGATGTGGTGGAACGGGAGCTTCGTGCCCTGGATGTGCATCCCACAAATCTCCATCAACTGCAAGATGCTATCCTATCAATATGGGCCAACATTTCTAAAGAATGCTTTCAGCACCTTGTTGAATCAATGCCACGTAGAATTAAGGCAGTTCTGAAGGCGAAAGGGGCTCAAACACAGTATTAGTATGGTGTTCCTAATAATCCTTTAGGTGAGTGTATAAAGCCACAATACCAACTTTGACGACAGTTTTTATTTTAAAAAAACAAGGTTTCTGCTTGACAGCGGCGATATGTAAATTTGTTAATTTATTAACAACATTATATAACTACTTATATGACCTTATCGTGTTCCTCCCTGACTTAAGCTCAAGTTTCACATTAATTGATAGTTTTCCTTTAATATAATACCCAGTTTTATAACGCCATTCGAAGTTTGTGCAATTTTGCCGTGGGATTTTTTAATCTAAACGGTGCTGTGGCAAGAAAAAAGTTGGGAAACACTTTCTGTGACCTCATGAGTTGATAATGGACACGATCAGAGGCAAACTTTCACGTTTGAACTTGAGAAGACAGTATTGTGCTTCATTAGTAAAGAAATCAATGCTTACTATATTACCGGAAGTCCCGAACAAACAGATTTGCAAAGTAACAGCACGGACGGTCAGTCCTAAAGATGGCATTTTAAACCCAGATTGGATTGTGCACAATATGAATAATGCTTTCATCATATCTGTACCTGCGTCTTTCCATAAAAGAATGCGGAGTCGATGGTGTCTGGCATTCTTTGCCCTGTCAGGAGGAGGACACTCACAGCCAGAACAGGTAAACTGAGAGAGAAAACAGCAGACATCAGTGCCTTTAGCTCAACAAGACTGGATTTCAGTTGTCAGAGAAACCTTGTTTTCAGAAGTATTTTCCTCATTCTTTCAGAAATTTCTCAATAAAGTGTTACAAGCCAAGAACCAAACCGTCCAGATACGAGGCGAAACACAATATTACACAAAGAAAAAAAAACTGTGTACTTAAATCATTGATTATAAAATACAATATATTTGAATTAAAGTACTTTGAGACTGTAGGAAGACGAATGCTTTACGTCATTGGCAATGCCTCATAGAGGAAATCTCTTTTATTATGGATACACTCATACAAATAAAGATTTTTTTTTTTAAAGGTTTTGTAGCGATGCAACAGAAGAACCATTTTTGGTTCCCCAAAGAAGCTTCAGTGGATGTTAAAGTTTCTTCCTGGAACCATCAATGTCATTAAAGAACCTTTATTGTTAAAGTCCCCCTGTATTCAATCATTTTATCCCTTAAAACTCATCTTTGATCACCAAAATTACATATTTATATGTTTTTTTTCCTGTGATAAAACATTCTTCATGCCTAAAAATAGCTTGAATGTAACTCTACACCCTTGCTTCATTTAGTACATGCGGTTCTATAAATATGCAAATGAGCCCCGCCTCCACTCACTCACTCAGCTCAGAGATCCACTCGGCCAACTTACTGAGGTAAACGCTGCACAATGATATCGCACTTTATAATGTCTGACATATAATGGTAATTAATATGATTAGCCTTTTGCTTGACTATGTTATCAAACAGCTAATAATGTGTTGCTAATATTACACAAACTATGTTCCCGTTCGTAATATACATAATTCAACCGCTATATTGCTAAATCTACCCGATTTTTCATATCAACAGAAAAATATACCGGGATAACCTGGCTCCTCAGGAGACTCCCCTGCTAGTTCACTGTTAATGATATGCTAAAGCCCTCCGACACGTTGATCTGATTGGTTGCAAGGTCGTTTGTGACGTCAGAAACACCAGCGATTTCAAACCGTGTTTTTGAGACTGTCTTTGGTTCACTGCAGTTTTAAGGAGAAAATACTCAGCAATGCTGTCGACTTATGAATTTACACATGGCTTGTCTTAAAGCATATTAAAAACACCACATAGACATATAAACACCATTAAAAGCTGGATTTTCACCACAGGGGGACTTTAAGTGTTCGACACACAATTAAACAAGTTTTTGTTTTTTTTATAACTCTACCTATTCTACAGCTGAACAACCTCAGAGCTCATAGTAGCTCATTCTTAAAAGGTTTATACTGCAGTAAATATTCAACATATGGAGTATAAATAGGTTCAGTAGTGTAATCCTCAACTGGTGTGTGTGTGTGTGTGTGTGTTGAGTGCGCCACTCACCCCCAGCCAGTGATCACAGTGAGCCCTGGCCTGAAGCTCATCTCCTCACGTCTCCTCATGAGCAGCAGAGACAGAGCGATCAGACCTGCACCACACAACACACGAGCACTCAAACACACTCAACCCAAGCACAAACCTCTGGTGCCTTCACACACACAATCACATTTCAGTGATTTCCTTCAGTAATAATGTAAGAAAGGTTTAGCTGCTTACATTACAGTTTGTTGTACTTCCTATAAGCATAACTACAGTGGTTGCATTATAGTTCCGCATACCCGCTGCTTTTAATAGATATTTTTTATATAAAAACTCATTTACAAAGGGTACAATTAATTTTTTATTTGAATATTTCATGTTACAATATTGAAAACCCCATTTCCAGCAGTTACATGCTAATTAAGCTTGTAAACAGAGTGGCCGTTTTTAATGCCGTTCTATGGACCAGGTATTATTTTAAGGTTTTGGGACATATTTTTTTCATTTTAAATACACACTCTGATGACTCACCAGGCCACATATAGGTGCTGTAGAGAGAAGTGTACAGTAGAGTAAAGGTCAACACCTGACCCAGGAAGTTATTCTGTGCCGCCACGATTTTCCACGCTATCATACCAACACAGGCTAATAACTGCAAACACAGGACGGGAAAAGGTTGTGCATGAAGAATGCATGGTGGGAAAATCATCAGGATGCATTTTTTGACTGTAAAAGTACAGTATCTAAAAGCCAGCAGCTGCTCAGTGAGCTCACCTGCGCCACAAAGAGGTTTATGGTGAACATGTGAGGAACTCTGTGAAACTTTCTGCTCAGTAGCATGACTGCAACGCTCCACACCTGCAGTGACGAGAACAACACGGACAGAGCGTTTCAGACATTTGTCATGTTTTCACAGTATTTTGGATACTTTTAGCGCAACATGTTCCAGTGAATTGTGTACATGCAATTATAGTAACGACTTCTCAAAACCAGTTGAACTGGTTCAGAGAATCCATCCAAGTTTGCATGTGTATGCTTGAATATAGTCATATATAAAGTTTAAACCAAACTTCAGTTTCTTGTTTTTTTCCCAAGCTATACAGAGAACGCAACAGGAAGGAAGTGTCAACAGAAGATCATGACACCATCTGAGATTGGAAACACCCCAACCCACAATCACACTAGACACACAAACATAGAACCTCAATGATGATAACAACATGAAAATGAGTGTTTACATGCATCTTACAACGATTATGCTTAATAACCCGACAACATGTATGATCATGCATCGATCTTTGCCCCTTAACCCAATATTTCTTTGCATGTAAAGACTGTTACTGGCATCCTGGTACTTATTCAATGTGTGCATGTCCTTGCACACGTCCGCTTATGTTTTAATGTGGGAAAAAAACTAAAAACTAAACTTTATTTTATTATCAGCATTTTGTTGTACAGGTGAATGAGTTAAATGTCATTTGATTTATCAGATTTTCCTAAATATTCTTGACTTCTGATGGTTTATCTTATCTGAAATCAGGGTCAAAATATTCAATATACAAATATATGTACAAATAAATGTACTCTGTGTTGATTTTATATGGTTCTGAAAAACTTGTATGCCCTTTTAAAAAATAAGTTTAAATTTAACTTTATATTTGTCATGTGGTGTAACCAAGTAATAATATATTGAGTGCACAAATCTCATTTATTATTATTTATCAACTATATATTTTACAAAACAATGCTTTAAAAAATTCTAAATAAATGTTAAAAATAAATATATTACATATACGTAAATAAATAAGATTATGACACACTACTTTTCTTTTCAAGAATTTGTTTCTTCTAATGATGTGTTTTTATTGTTTGCCCTCCAAAAAAATGATAAAATATTTTTTTAAATAAATAAAATCTAATAAATATTTTTTAAGTAAAACAGACAAAAATAAAATTTGCACAATGTTACTTTCTAATCTAAATGTCCAAAACAAAAAAACAAAAAAAACATTAGTCTGACATAATTACAGATTTCTCAGTGCTTTAAAAAATTTGAAATAAATGTTAAAATAAATATATTACATATAAATAAATTAGATTTTACAACTAAGATTATGACAGACTACTTTTCTTTTCAAGAATTTGTTTCTTTTAATGATGCGTTTTTATTGTTTGCCCTCCAAAAAATAATAAAATATTTTTTAAATAAACAGACACAAAAAATTGCACAATGTTACTTTCTAATCTTTTGTCTCAACTTGTCCAAAAAAACCCTCCCCAAAACATTAGTCTGACATAATTACAGATTTCCCACAGCATGTACACATTTAATTTCTGGTTTCCACGACATATCCAGCAACACTGATAAAAACATGGATTTACCTTCATCCCTTAATAATCATTTGCATTCTAGCAGAGGCAACACAAACATGTGCTCTCACCACCAGCATGAGGGACGACGAGAATATTACCACACCGTAACAATTTATGTTTTTAAGAGGAAGCAGGAGAAATGAAGAAAGAGAAATGAAAACACACATCTGCGTGTGAGCATGAGGACACTCACCAAAGCAAAAAGGCAGATAATGCTGATGTTGAAGCTAACGTTCTGCAGTGCTGACGCCAGCGGCGCCGAGTCCATCCAGGGAATGGTCAGCAGCCAGGCCGACACGTACATGATGGGAGCCGACAGGAACGTGCCGATCACCATGCCCGAGGTCACCTGAGGGAGGACACACTTCATATGTGATCATGATAAACTACAGGAGCCCTTTAAAATGAAACCAAACTAATGAAATAAGGTGGAAAATACTGTAAGTGTGCTATTGTGCATAAAGCCACAAGTGGGGTGAGTGGTACGTAATGAAACAAATGTAGAATATCATCACACACATATAAACTAAGATGAAAAATTCACATTCAGCAAAAAAAAAAAAAAAAATGGGGAAATGGGTTGTAAGAGATTCCTTTTTTAATGTTTTCGCATTCATTTGATCAAAAATACAGTAAAAGAAAAAAATATTATTACATTTTAAAAGAAAGGTTTTCTGTTTGAAAATGTTTTCAAATGTAATTTATTTCTGTGACCGAAGCTGAATGTTCAGCATCATTACTCCAGTCTTCAGTGTCACATGATCCTTCAGAAATCACTTTAATATGATTTGATGCTCAAAAAAAAGATACATTTTTGATCAATAGAAAGTTCAAATGAACAGCGTTTATTTAAAATAGAGGTTACACTTCACAATAAGGTCTCATTTGTTAACATTAGTTAATAACTAACATGAGCAAACAATGAGCAATACATTTGTCACAGTATGTACTAATCTTTGTAAAAATACAGCTGTTCATTGTTTGTTCATGTTAGTTCATTAACTAATGGCAACAACCTTTGATTTTTTTAATGTATTAGTAAATGTTGAAATGCAGCACATTAAAGGGGTCATCGGATGGCCATTTTCCACAAGTTGGTATGATTCTTTAGGGTCTTCATGTTAAGTTTGTAATATACTTTGGTTAAAATTCCTCAATGGTTGTGTAAAAAACACCCTTTTCACCTCCTCAAATACAGCTCTGTTCACAGCGACCCGTTTCGGTGCCTGTCTCTTTAAATGATAATGAGCATCTGCTCCCCCCATCCCTCTCTTCCATGGGGCGAGTCGACACAAGACACGTAAAGTGCTGACCGTATACAAATGGCTGAGGGAGGAAATATGCTAATATGGGGAAAATGCTAATGAGGGAAATATGCTAATACGGGAATATGCTAATGAGGGAAATGTGCTAATACGGGAAATATGCTAATGAGGGAAATATGCAAATACTGGAAATATGCTAATACAGTCCGTCAGCGGTCGTGGGCGGAGCATGAGCATTATGACATCATATTGCTCAGGAAACCCAAACGGCTTGATTATTGAGTGTTTAGGCTTTTTGTGGATTAAAAGAAAAGGAGTGAGTGGATTTTTTTTTCATTGTATGGTGGTTGTGTCCACACACTGCAAAGACACATTTATATGCAAACACCATATAAAAGTGAATTCTGCATCCGACGACCCTTTTAACTAAGATTAATAAATGCTGTATAAGTATTGTTCATTCTTAGTTCATGTTGACTAATGAAACCTTACTGTAAAGTGTTACCAAAATAGAATGTAAACATCTTTACTGTAACCTTTGATTAATATGTGTTTTGTTTAATGCATTTTACAGTGTCCTTGTTACACGTTACTGTGGTAATAATTATAAATTATGCATAATTACATGTAGCTAACACTAAACCAAACACTCATCCTAACCCTAATTCTATAGTAAGTACATGTAGTTCATTGTTATTACTCAGTGTTATTACCTTAAAATAAAGGGTTACAAAAAGTGTTCAGTGGTGGAAAAGCACATCTACACGAGGTACATACCACCTCCAGCTCCATGTTGTACTGCGCTGCGTATATGGCCACACTAGGGGCAGTGGGAAAGACTCCATACAGAAAGGCGTAGTTTGACAAACTGGTGTGGTTCAGTGAGCTTCTGTTGTTTCCACAGTCCAAAACCTCAACCATCCCTCTACAGATCAGAGGCATCATCAGCCTAAAGAGAACAGAAGGAGTTCTGCATAATGTAATGAAACCGTCAAGAACACAGGACCTTCAGATTACAGGAACCATTTCTAGCAATGTCAGAATTAGACCTTTTGATCTCACCAGTGGCGTAGCGTCTGGGCATGCAGGGTATGCACGTGCAAATGGGCCCGGGCCGATAGGGGGGCCCGCCCATGGGGAACTTTTAATTAAAACCAGGTTATTATTTTTTTAAAGTGTAGCCACAATAAATATATTTTTGTATGCATGTCATGATATATTTCTATAGCGTTTTATTTTTACAGGAGCGGTGAGTCATTATTTCGGCCTCTGTGCTCGCGCTGGCCAGTGGAAAAGCGCTAATGGGTGAATATGGCATGAAGTCAACATTCGCGAGATGGACGTATGCGCATTAGGCTATTCGTTCTGTGTTTTCTATCTAAACAGTTAGGCTATGTTTAGGTGGTATTTTTCATGTTTTTATCACGCAATCATGTTTTTGATGCGGTGGTGATGCAATTGGAACATAGGCTAAGCCTAAGGGTAGCGGCGGCAATAATTAAAGCCGATAATTGAAGCACCTAAAAGCTGTCACAAAGAACCGGCAAAAGCAATGATTATGAATGTGTCAAATATAGCAAGAAGGATTCATTTTAATCGTTTATTAATAAAGATGAAGTTGACGATGCTGACTCGCGATAGTGAATGCGCCAGCCAGAGAGAAATGCACATTTCCTTTCATAAGCAGAGAGCAATCTGTTTAGTTTCGTTTTGAATTTGCTCAGTTTACAAGTTGACATTTCAATATAGATATATGTTTCAGGTCTGTGGAGTAGGCTATGCTTATACGCTGAGTTTCGGTATATTTATGAGACGCACTCCAGTTCAGGCGCTGGCGCCTCGTGGTTATCTATAATTGTCTGCTTTTACTTACTATTATTTATTAAATCCAGGCAATTGGTTGATGAAACATTGATTAAAATCAAGATACAATTAATTCAAAACGAGATTCACTTTAAATAAAGGCTTTGTGCTTTTCTGTTTGAGGTCCGTGAAAGTTTTAAAGCAGTCTTTAAGTGCCAGTTCAGAGCGCTCGCGTCCGTATAACGGAGAACTGTCACGTCTGTAACATTGTTTTTTCCTCATAAAAGCGAACACGAAAAATAAAATAAAATGAATATGTTCTGTGGAGAGCCAACCCTTTCGCAGTATAATTCACAGAATTACAAAAAATATATTTTTGCCTCCTAAAAGTTAAAGATTTTTGTCACGCATGAATGCGTGTCTATTTCCTAATATTAAATATTAAATGTGTAGACTGATATTTTTCTAATGTCTGGACTCCTTTGAGGGAGTAGCATGGATAAACAGATGTTTCAATATATTGGAAGGCTATTAATGCTTTTCTGAGAATTTATATTTCAAGTTTTGACTGCAAATGTCATGTCCATAACGCGGGAATTCCCCAATTTTAAATAATTTATCTTCAACTAGTTTTGTGGTGTAGGTCTACGTATTTTATAATGTTAACCTCAAATAATATTAATAGTAGCCTAATTTAAAGATGTGGTAGCATTGGATCTGGACGGTAAGGATAACGCTGGGAGTTGGAAGGGATGTGTCGCGATTCTGCAGGTTCATGGACGTGGATGTGTCACCAATCGCGATTTCGGTTTCATATCCCATTTCGTTACAGCCGTTTTTAGAACGTTAAGTTCTACTTCTGAATAGTTATTTTGGTGAAAAGGTAACTCAAAAGTTCTACAGGAGTAATGTAACGCATTACAATTCTGAGACAGTAATATTGTAAGGTTATGAATTACTTTTAAATAACAGTAACAAGTAATAGATAATGCATTACAGTTTGGAAGTAACTTGCACAACACTGTCTTAACGTACTTGGGGGGCGGGGTAGGGAGGGCCCTTCCATTTTATTTTGCATATGGGCCCGGGACTGACTTGCTACGCCACTGTATCTCACTTATCGATCAAATAAAGCACACAGGTAGAGTTCAGTAAATATCCAGGTAAAACAGAGGAGTTGTTTCAAACAGTGTTTCTGTCCTCTAGCTAAGCTTGTGTGTTTAAAGCACATGGGTTAACTCAACTCTGTTGATGCTCTGAGAAAACATTCCCATTTGACCAAGTTGCCAAGTTACACGCAGCTACCTGCATATTTACAGATATTCATAATCAAATACCCCAAGGGCATGAACATTAAATTAGCTTGCTTGCCTTAGTAAACCATACAAATATCAGAGTGAGTGTCTAGAAGACGGTTTAAATGCATTACCAATGCACAGACATGTCACGCAAAAGTTGGCTCTCGCATTTCATTTACAATTGTGCATATTTCAATCTTGCATCTCACAACATTTTGTGTCAGGCTTGGACTCAATTGTTCTCGTGTGTCCCATGAACAGTGTTGGGGGTTACACGTTACAAGTAATGTGCATCACATAATCAGATGTTTAATATTTGAGTTACTTCATATTACTTTAATTAATTTGCCTAAATGAATTCAAATTAAAATTCTTCTCTTTGATGTAGTCACGTAGACATGAGCACTCATGTATGTGCGGGAACAGTTTAAACATTCAAGAGTAACAAAGCATTAATTTTTACCTTTCAATAAAAAGAGCTGTACAGTATAGGTAATATAAGCCGTACTTTTAAGATATCTTTTGTATGGCACGAACAGCTCTAGGGGTCAGGAACGCCTTGTCCACACTAATACGTATATTCTATGAAAACGCATCTTTTTCTCTCAGTTTTCCTCTCCATCTTCAGCGTTTTTGTCCTGCGAAAACTGAGCTTTTTGAAAACGCTTTTTAAAGTGGATAAGGAGAAGAAATTTCAACTTTCTAAAAAAAAAACACAAATGTGATGTTTATCTAAAGTCATTTTTGCTTAGTATGGTTAAATTAAATCATCGAAGCTCAGCAGCAAAGACATTGGTTAATAAAGTGAGATTACATACATAAAGTATATTTGTGTAATTTAATATTTAATTATTGCAGGTTTTATTAATATTCTGAGTTTTCATTTTATTGTGTTTTTTCATTTTGATGAATACTGAATCTGTTTTTGTGCAAGTGAGATAAGTAAATGCTCTCATTTAGTATAGATCTACAATAACATGTTTACACAGTGCACACAATGCCTCTGCACTTTACTCACAATTTCTCTCAACATGAGGACAGCAGGGACTGACCTAGTAAATACTGGCAAGGAGGTGGCATGAGGACTGTGAGGGGTGGGCAACACCAAAGCAAGCAAGATTCAATCATCTCTAATCTATACTAGAGCTGCAGGATTAATTGTTAAAAGATTGTGATCTCGATTCAAACACCTGCACAATCTTATTTCTAAATGACAGCAATTCGGCTATGTGTCTATTAAACCTTTGCCAAGTACAATCACAGTGAACATTCAGATCTGTGTTGCAGCTGAGCCAGAGAAATCATTTGTCATGTACAGGTCTGAAACGGTTTCACAGACAGCATTTTCAACCACACAGTATCATTATTTCGAACTTACAATAATTCAAATTATCACAGAAGTACTGGGATAAGTACTGGGATAAGACAGTCACTACAACGTTATGTCAACGGACAAATGGGGTCTTACTTGGAAGCCCCAATCGCCTCTGAGTTTTAGAAAAATGGCCAATGGAATTGGCGAGTTAGGTCACATTCAAAGGGTTTTTCCATTCTCAAAGAGCAGTGCACGGTTAAGAGCAGCAAAATTCCCCTTGGTGCTTCAGTGCAAAGAGCAGGTTTCTCTAAAAGAGCAAGCACAGTCAAAAAACATCTTTTGATGTGGTCATTTCATGTCTTCATCTGATGATCACGGTCTCACATGTCACATGCAAGAAGGCGGCACAGCCCCTCCCTCAGGCCGCTAAACCCTCCATCGAAGCGGCCCTGATACGGGCAGCCCAGAGATGTGGGGATCTGCTCTTGACCAGGAGGTGGTGAACGGACAGCTTCTTTCCCCAGAAGAGTGCCGGGTGGAGAATCCTTGTTTTTTTTTTTTTTTCTGTTCCGCCGCTGGCTCAACGGACAGCGGTTCCCACATTTTCAATTTGTTACAAATTAAACAAAGAGAAGTTTCCTCAATCTCTGGGCCATACATACGGTCTGGCAGTGAGCGATGCTATGCTTCCTCATTATCAGCCCCCACTTTAACATTTGCCACGAGGTCACAATTCGAGGACGCATCTCCGGTCATTCTTTTTGCGGGATCCTTTGACCAAGATAAGCGTCACACCACACTCACTGCCTCTATTTTTTGACGTTACGCTTCCCGGGTTGGGCCCCAGTGCTCCCCCTTGCCGCCCCTCTGTAGGTACGTCGGTTGTCCCCTTGGTGCCGCTCACACAGAGCCTGGGAGTCTGGCTAGCGCTTCCCAGCATATCCTATCTTGCAGGCTCTTGCGGACAACCAGACTCGGCTATGTGATTCAGTTTACCAGGCATCCCTAGAAGTTCAGTGGAGTCTTCTTTACCTCTGTGGCAGGCAAAGATGTCCCTTTCCTGTGCACAATATTGTGGTCCTGTTGGCAAAGGACGCAATAGAGCCGGTCCCTTCAGCCAAGATGAAGACGGGGTTTTACAGCCCTTACATCATCGTAACCGAGAAAGGCGGTGGGTTACGGCCGTTCTTGGAACAGCGAGTTTATAACCAGGCCCTTCACAAGTTCCCGATAAAAATGTTGACACAGAAACGCATTCTCACGTGCATTCATCCCCAAGATTGGTTTGCAGGAATCGACTTGAAGGACTTCCACGTCTCGATTCTGCCTTTCTTTGGTTTACCCAATTAGGGTTGGGCATATCAGTACAAGGTACTCCCCTTTGGTCTGTCCCTGTCTCCCATTACTAAGGGAAAGGGAAGTGGGCATTCGCATTCCCAACTATCTCAATACCTGGCTCATTCTAGCTCATTCTCGAGATCTGTTGTGCGAACACAGGGACCTGGTGCTCAGGCACGTCAACCATCTGGGGACTTCGGGACAGATGGGAAAAGAGCAAGCTCTCCTCTGTGCAGAGCATCTCTTTTCTCGGTATGGACTATTAGACTCAGTCAGAATGACGGCGCGTCTCACCAATGAGTGCACACAGTCAGTACTGAACTTCCTGATTGCATTCAAGAGCAAAACAGTGGTTCCACTGAAACATTTTCAGAGGCTCCTGGGACAGATGGCATTCGCAGCCGAGGTCACACCGCTCGGATTGATGCATATGAGACCACTACAGCACTGGCTACACAGCCGAGTTCTGAGGTCATCACACCGGTCTGTCCCCTAACTTTCAGCCCTAGGTCAGATCTTGCCTTCCAACGAGCTGGGGTGCCCTTAGAACAACTGTCCAGGCACGTTGTTGTGGAAAACAGATGCCTTAAGAACGGGCTGGGTGCTGTATGCAATGGACACGCAGCTTGGGCTCCTAGACGGGACCTCGACTGGGATAGCAAATCAATTGCCTGGAGTTCATGGCAGTGCTGCTCGCCTGCACTCAGAGTGTTGCCTCCTTCTGGGCATTGGTACGCAGCGCCTCTTATCTGTAGAGCTGCGGGCTGGGCGACACCTAATACCTTCGATTCTACAATCTCTGAGTGGAGCCAGTTTCTTCCCATGTGTAGGGCATAAAAAGGTAATATGCTGGAAGGCTGGCTCTGTGTCTCGCTTTCCCCATTCCCCTCTAAGAGGAGGATTATGAGCGCCTTCTTGGCTCTCCAACTGAGTATCCCGTTTGGCGATCCCTGGATTGAGTTTCCTCTGAGCATCCTTCAGCAGTCAGATGCGGCAGAGGCGTCTGATGCCAGGCCCAGCACTCGAGTGCATACCTGCTCGGTCAGACTCTGTGCTGGGCTAGATGCCCAATGTGTTGTGATTCCCCCTTGGTAATCCTATATGTGTTTTCTTCCACGGTACGGTTTCCCTGTCTTCTGAAAAAACTACTTCTAAGTAAAAAACACACCTGCAAGGCCTCGAAGAGAGCGAGCCTTAGCTAGGTGAGAAAGAGTAACGCAAACGTAACATAACACATTGTTCCCCGTAATTAGATAGTTTTTTATATTAATATTGTAACGCATGACTTGACGGTCTGAATGTGCACAAACGGGAATCAATATTGAAAAATAATGTGAATGGAAAGATCAGGGAATAATTACTTAAATTCTGGTCTGTTCTAAAGACAAGGCTATGACTTGAAATAGAGCACACAAAAAAGTACTTTGCTTGTTTCCTTTTTTGACTTGTGTGCTCTATCTCAAGTCATAGCCTTGTCTTTAGAACAAAACTACTTTTATCATATTTTGATGGTGCTTTATTGTCCAATTCGCAGCTTGACAGTCTAAAACACCATTCGGTTTCACTGTATGGAAAAAGAGCATCATGGACATTCTGCTAAACATCTTTTGTGTTCCACAGAAGAATAAAAATCAGTTTTGGAATGACAAATAATGACAGGATATTCTATCTTTTATCACTAACAAATTGCATGGTAGACTTACAGTTTTGCCGTGATGAGGAGAATCAGGGCTACCACAGTAGAGCGGGTAAGTTTTTTCAGCTGACCCACCATGGACAGACCCAGATAAAACAGAGCTGCTCCCCCGAAAGAGTTTGCCAGACCATCTACAAACTCCTCCATGAAGGGCGGGATCTTCTGGCCCAGCAGAAAGTGAGAAATGAGCCCGATCACCACCATAAAGACAATGGGGTTTTTGACAACTTGAAGGACCACCAGACCCAGAACTCGCAGCTTACTCTGCTGGTGAAGTTCCCCATTTCTCCACCTCTGCACCTCACAGAATGCAAAGCCTAGCGGGTTTAGGACCATGAGGGAGACGGGAGCTACCAGGTAGATGTACTGAAGGTACTCAGGATGGGTGTTGCGATACAGAGCTTCAACTGTGGAGGACGCAAAGGAACAACATTAACAAAATGCTTACTAACACTGAAAATAATGTCATCATTTACTCATCCATTTACTCAAGTAGGCTTGGCCATTCTTCAAAAAATCTCCTTGTGAGAAAAGAAAGATAATATGGGTTTGGAACAGTGTTGACAATGGCTAAAATGAGAAGTTAAATTCCCTCTTCCTTTTTGGGATCTTTAGTAAATTCTTTAAAACTTTTCAGTTCCATTTGACCTTTGCTTACTCAATTTCTGGGTTAAAGGTCTATTGAACAACATTTGCCTTATACAACATCAACCAATACTATATTGTAAGTATAAAGGCCACAACACCGCTATAACGATGTCATGACACAGGAATGATATTATTGGAATCAGTTTCAGGGTGCAAAAAACAAATAAATATTGACAGCCAATCAGAATCCACTTGACTTTAAAGAGCTTGAGCATTTAAAGTGGCAGACGATAAAACTGCAACACGCAGAGAACGTTATTGTGCATTGGTTTGGATGCTAAAATAGCTATCGTTATAGTTATTGTTAAAGTTTTCGTTATTGGTGTGAACGGGCCTTAGGGCTCATTCTCTGTATTTATTGCTTGTGAAGACATAAACCAATAAAGCAACTGATAAATCGACATTTCTACATTCTTTCCGGGGAAATCAATGTCATGGATTGAAGGTTGAAGTTTAGGGTTTAGTTTAGAGTCCAATGCTTTAGTTTAGGGTCCAATTCTCACTATTAACTAAGACTTTTCTCTCAATAAACTCCTAATTGCTGCAAATTAATAGTTAGTAAGGTAGTTGTTAAGTTTAGGTATTGGGTAGGATTAAGGGATGTAGAATATGGTCATGCAGAATAAGACATTAATATGTGCTTTATAAGTACTAATAAACGGCCAATATCCTAGTAATATGTACACTAATAAGCAACTAGTTAATAGTGAGAATTGGACCCTAAACTAAAGTGTTACCATTCTGTTTCATTTTTGCAAATTGTTTCAAATTGATTCATAACGCAATGTTGTTTCAACATCTTGCTTTTCACCATAGGTGATTTTAAACGTAAACATTGATTTATGTGTTTTTTTGTTAACCTTTTAGTTCTTAACGATTTAGAAATAGGCTAAATGTTTTTTCAATGTTCAAATAACTGACATTTCAACTGGCTGAGGTGAATCATACTAGTATTGTGTGCAAACGCATTCAAGACAATGAAAATGAACCTCAAACTAAACTAACAGGCTGTACAGCATCTGGATTGTGTTACGAACTTTTCATGCATGGTTAAAACTCTGAGCAGATGAAAGTAAAAAAACAAACGTGCATACACAGTCAGAAATATTACCATCAAGATTTTCATGATCTGTGGGTTTGAGGTTTTTTTTGTTTGTTTTTGTTCTGTAACCATAATGAGTTTCCTTATGGTAACATGTTTATAACACATACTGTATATATGTATTTATTCAGGGCTTGTCCTTTTCTACTCACCTATAGGGTACCCCAGAGCAAAGTCATTACTCTGTGTGGCAAATATCGAGAACAGGCCAGCTTTGGAGAAACGACTCTCTCTGTTTGCCACCAAAAGTGTGAGTACACACACAAAAAAAAACACAGTCACTTTTGCCACCAGAATACTAAAGAAAAATGGCCAGATTACGTCCCCAAAGTCCAGCAGCACCATGTTTTTGAAGAGCAGAGCTGGAAGCGCAAACTTGGACACAAAGCTGCCCAGTCCTTTGGCTTGTGTAGATGGGATGATGTTTGTACGGCCTGCGACGTATCCGCAGAGAATTATCCCGAAACATTCGAGCAGGGCTGGGAGGAGTTTGTCAATTGACATGCTGGGTGGGACGGAGGGGGGGTCCGATCCATCCCCGCTGAAGATGGAAATATTAACCGACAGATCATCCATCCTGAGTTTGACTCCAGGCCCGTCACAGACGTGTGAATGGGTCAACAACTGTAAAGTAATTAAACATTCTGAAAAGTAAAGAAAAAGAGTTCATTCATTTATTCAAAAGACAATTAATTTTGCATGACTTTTCATTAGAATACAAAATATTACAGTCATACATGTCTAGTGAATATTTAATGCATGGAATATGTGTTTCTAACTGAACGTTATATAGCACAGTGAATATTTGAATATATCCTGGTATTTGCATAAAATGGCTCTGAATGATTACCATATGTGTGTGCCATGGTATCATGCTACCAAGTCAACTACGCTTTATAATAGCATATAGGCTAATAAGTATAAATGGTTTGATTAATATATATATATATATATACACACTCACCTAAAGGATTATTAGGAACACCATACTAATACTGTGTTTGACCCCCTTTCGCCTTCAGAACTGCCTTAATACTACGTGGCATTGATTCAACAAGGTGCTGAAAGCATTCTTTAGAAATGTTGGCCCATATTGATAGGATAGCATCTTGCAGTTGATGGAGATTTGTGGGATGCACATCCAGGGCAAGAAGCTCCCGTTCCACCACATCCCAAAGATGCTCTATTGGGTTGAGATCTGGTGACTGTGGGGGCCATTTTAGTACAGTGAACTCACTGTCATGTTCAAGAAACCAATTTGAAATGATTGGAGCTTTGTGACATGGTGCATTATCCTGCTGGAAGTAGCCATCAGAGGATGGGTACATGGTGGCCATAAAGGGATGGACATGGTCAGAAACAATGCTCAGGTAGGCCGTGGCATTTAAACGATGCCCAATTGGCACTAAGGGGCCTAAAGTGTGCCAAGAAAACATCCCCCACACCATTACACCACCACCACCAGCCTGCACAGTGGTAACAAGGCATGATGGATCCATGTTCTCATTCTGTTTACGCCAAATTCTGACTCTACCATCTGAATGTCTCAACAGAAATCGAGACTCATCAGACCAGGCAACATTTTTCCAGTCTTCAACTGTCCAATTTTGGTGAGCTCTTGCAAATTGTAGCCTCTTTTTCCTATTTGTAGTGGAGATGAGTGGTACCCGGTGGGGTCTTCTGCTGTTATAGCCCATCCACCTCAAGGTTGTGCGTGTTGTGGCTTCACAAATGCTTTGCTGCATACCTCGGTTGTAACGAGTGGTTATTTCAGTCAAAGTTGCTCTTCTATCAGCTTGAATCAGTCGGCCCATTCTCCTCTGACCTCTTGCATCAACAAGGCATTTTCGCCCACAGGACTGCCGCATACTGGATGTTTTTCCCTTTTCACACCATTCTTTGTAAACCCTAGAAATGGTTGTGGGTGAAAATCCCAGTAACTGAGCAGATTGTGAAATACTCAGACCGGCCCGTCTGGCACCAACAACCATGCCACGCTCAAAATTGCTTAAATCACCTTTCTTTCCCATTCTGACAATCAGTTTGGAGTTCAGGAGATTGTCTTGACCAGGACCACACCCCTAAATGCATTGAAGCAACTGCCATGTGATTGGTTGATTAGATAATTGCATTAATGAGAAATTGAACAGGTGTTCCTAATAATCCTTTAGGTGAGTGTACATATAGGGCCTAAAATTAACACTCATCAAACGCCGAATGAGAGTATATGAAAGTTGAAGGGCCAGTGCGTAGTCGTCACGAAGGTTTAATTCTTGCGAATTTAAATATTCAAGCGCAATTCGTTACTCATGCCATGTGTGGGAAGTTTAAACATCCGAAGCGCGCGATCAGCAAAGCCACGTCTCAGACAGCGCACAAATAGTAAATTGAACTCTTTCACGTCTTCTTGCGCTTGAACGGACAAATTCACACAAAATGATGTCAAAATGCCCGTCTCGCCGAGTATCCACGTAAACATAGTCGGTTTTCTTAAGTGAGCGAAAACAGTTGAGAAAGAAAACGAGTGTGTATCAGTACATTTGATCCGTGCAGCTCTTAAAGTGACAGCAAATTCCTGCTGCTGTCTGCTGTCTGAATGTTAATCAAACAACAACAAAACAAAGAAAAATTCACTCACCTCTTGACTGAATAACTTTTGTAACTTTAATAAGGATTAATCAGTTTAGTTCAGTACCTGAAATCTACTGTCAGACGAGTACCCGAAAAACACTATTTATTTCATTTGTATCTATGTTCTACTGTCTTTGTGCTTTTGCTTGCAATTTGATTATTTGTTCTTAAATTATTACTGAATATTTACTTGTCTTTAATATATATATTTTTTTAATTTCTATTAGTTAGGCTAGTAGTTTTAGCTGTAACTTGTATCAAAATTGTAATAGAGTGAAATTGTGAATTTTCACTGGTATCAAAAATTTTGGTGTCATAACTGCCTTTTACATGTTTCATGGCCAGTACAAATATTTATGGCCTGAATATATATGAATGTCTAGTCAAAACCTGTAACCGTAAAGTCTACTGTATCATTATTGATACACATATCTACCTTGAATAAAACTTGAAAAACCTTTTGCCCCCATAAACTACATGCCTTCTGTCCCCGTTTATAGTGTAATCTTTTTAGCAAGTAAAAAATCCTTTAATATATTTCTAAAAATATCCTCCTTATGGTCATGATACATGCATTTTGCTGTGAAATCTTTACTGATTTTTATATACAGTAACAATGTTTAATATAACAATGACTTTTATATTGCTATCAACATTTTAAGATGAACATTTACTGGACTGAAGAAACTTAGGTTAGTTCTTTTTAAATGTTAAAATGGAAGTATTATCAAATATGATCCATTTTGAGGAACACTTATTGGTTCATCTCTCCATCAACATTTTATTGCGTTGCATTATGTTTTAAAACTAAAGAGCTTTGATCAAAAAACTAAGAATTTAATATCATCTTAAGACTTTATTGTGAATTAAAGAATGACAATTAAAATATAAGCATTTTATGGAAGTATTGTGCTATAGGCCTATATAAAGATCCCATTGACTTCTATTGCAAGCATCAGAATCCTAATTTTCTACCCATATAAAAACTGCACCAAATTGCATATTTTTGCTCAGTTTTGGCCTATGAATAAAACGTTTTTTTTTCTTCGTCGAGGATGAGCTTCATATTCTCACTATATCTTACCATATGAGTGCCTGATGTATCAAATATGATACAAAACATAAAACACGTATGATGCAACACAACTTTTATTTAGATTTTCTAAAATATTTTGTCTAATGTTATATTTTCTCTAAACTTAAGGTTGAAAAAACTGTTCCATTGAACAAAACAAAAAAAGCTTTACAGGGTTAAAAATACACTGTGACATGTTTCTAATCAAACTTCTTGTTACACAAGCATACACGTGGGTATTTCTTTAGTCAAGCCCTAGAGAGGACTTTCCAGTGATGGCATCAGATGGATTTATGTATTCACTTCAAAATAATATTACAGTCCTTTCTATCATGGTACCAGCTTACTTTCTGGTAACGTTACGTTACTAGTTTGAAACGTAAACAATAGCGCATCATGTATCAGGCAATATATAATTTGGCATGAACACCAGAATCTTTTTAGATGTACTGGGTTCTGTATGTACAGTGAGTTGTTGACAGACTCACCGGATCAGCTGATTCCTGTAAATCCGATCTAGTGTGTGAGAAACACACACACACAAACACACTTTCACTCATGCTGCTGTCTCTTTCAGATGACATCGAGCAGTGATCTCAGATCCACTTGCTCAGATCCACAACTGCTCTTCCGCATCGCCTCTGCTATGTCTGTGTCCTGTAAGCATGAGTCTTGTTATCTCACTCACACACACCGCTGCTGCAGTGAAGTTATCATCACACTCGCCAATAGAAATCGGTCAATAGTGTGCGCATGCGCACAAGCGCACAGGCACCTCTCACGTGGTGCTTTGCATAAACTTGAAACAACACATGTAATATGGAAACCTCCTTTATTAAAAAATATATATATGAAAACTCTCAATTATATGGGAATATGACTTACATTTCACACATTCCAATTGGTATTTGTTCGGAAAAATTGACCTTTTACAGTATTAACTTGACAGCTTTACAAAATACCAAGCCAGATGTTCTTGTCATGGTCGATAGAGGGAGGCATTTCTTTAATAAAGCATTTCACAATGTACAGCTAATTCAAAATGTTTGACTTCAGGATTATTAGTCGAACTTTATTTTGAGCCACTGACCAGTTTGCGTGTAGAAAAAGCGAGCAATACAAATGCAAACCCATATAAATATAGGCCTACATTTACGTTGCCCTGGGCTGAATTCAGAATTTGAGAAACACTGCAATAGCCTACAAAAAATACAGCATAATCAGAAAACAATGCAGAATATACATTTATGCTTTATGTTTTACTTGCTATCAGGTGTCAATACAAAACTCTGACCATCTTTCAGTGATTTGATGTCATACCTATTGACAAATCTAGTCATTCCTCCATCCACCTCATTGTAAATCAGCCTTGTTCACATGTCGTTTCAGCCAATCTCAGATTACAGCTTTACTAGACTGAGATAGTTCTTCCAGTTCAGTTCACACACACACACACACACACACACACACACACACATGTGGTTGAAGGGATAGCAGTGTGGGGACTTTCAGTGGCTTGGTTTGACAGAAGTTAGCATCGCTTCGCTATATTCACTTCCTTGCTCAGAGCGGCTTTAATGTACGCTTTTTTCCTGCATTGATATGTCCTATATATTATTTGTAGGAAAGTTTCTTGAAAAACAAATAAATTCAGGAGAGAATAACCATTTTTAATTGAGAGGCAAAATGCCCCTATACTTCTTCAAATGTGGATATTGCTGTGTGTTAAACTACTTTTCTCTCTTTCCTCTTCAGTTTTGCAACTTCACTTTTCTAGCTGCGTAACCTTCTGGATTCCTGTTGAAATTTGTGGTACTTTATGATAAATTACTCACTATTTTTCTCAAATGTTAGTCAGATAAATTTGTCTGTTAAATAAATAAATGTAAATATAATTTGCAGGACAAGGTATTTTTGTAAGTTGGGTTTTTCATGTTTTATAGGGACTCTCATTAGAAATAATGATTTTTATACTGTTCAAACTGTATATTTTCTCCCATAAACCGACCGCTAAATCTACCCATCACACAAAACTTTCTGCATTTTTACATTATCAAATCAATCACTTTTTTGATTTATAAGCTGTTTTCCTCATGTGGACCAAAAATGTCCCCGCAATGTAGGGAATACCTGAACTACACACACACACTTGTTGGGACATTTGGACCTCAATGCAATTTAAACCTGTACACACACACACACATGTCTTAATTTCAAACTGCAAACTGATTAAAACAAACTTTCCCGGATATTGACAGAATGCACTTTAATTGCCATAGTGGACATACATTTTTTCCCCCAAAAGAAATTAAATGCATGAAAAAAATAAAATGTATATAAAAAAATGAGTTCCTGAGTCTCATTCAGCAGATGAAAATCCATCTCATACTATAATAATGCCAAAACATTTCATCTGGGAATCGGTGGCAAGGGTGGCGCTCCTCTGTCTCTGATTCCTGAAAAACAAATAGACATAAACTAATTATTCTGACATTAAAATATGCAATTAAAATATGCAAAACTCAACATGTCAACTCTAAAAGCAGGAAAACAAAAAACAATTGTGGGTGAACATTAGCATCATACTAGATTCACAACAACACACACTTTTAGAGAACTCTCATTACAATTCTGCACAAAACCCTGCAGTGCTGACCTTTGCCCCCGGCCTTGCTGGGGTAAGACTTCGAGAAGGAGACGTACGGCTCTGGTGGAGGTAATTCAGACAGAGCATGAAAGGAGAACCTCATCCCCCACTCATCTAGAGGAAAATAATACGATTATTTACCGCCAAACAGAGTCAGTCAATAGCAATTTTCAATAGCACATTTTCATAACCATACGTAATGCTGCATCTGCTGTCTATCTATGGACATTAAAGGGAAAGGTCACCCAAAATGAAAATCCTGTCATCATTTACTCGCCCTCATGTCGTTTCAAGCCTGAATGACATCCTACCGACTTCAGAACACAGAAGAAGATATTTCAGTGTCAGTTCCCTTTGACTTCAATTGCATTTTTTTTTTTTTCAAACAATGGAAGTCAAAGGGAACCGAAACAGTTTTTTCTAAACATTCTTCAAAATATTTCCTTTAACATTCCACAGAAGACAGAAAGAAAGTCGTGCAGGTTTGGAACGACATGAGGGCGAGAAAGGACAGAATTAAAAATTTTGGGTGAAGTATCCCTTTAAATTCCAAATACGGTAACCCTACATTTTTTGTTGAAACTCAACACTGTGTTTTTTTTCTGTTAAAATACTTTCTCATATCCAGAAAACCTACTTTATTTTCAATTCTGTTTATTGACGACAATGCAGAAATGTCCCTCTTCAGGTTCTTCAACTCACTACCTTTTGTATTGTTGACCTATACATGCTGCCATTTTCTCATAAACAGATATAAGATGCAGTCTTAAAGGGATAGTTCACCCCAAAAATTCTGTCATTAATTACTCAACCTCATGTCTTTCCAAACTCGTTAGACTTTCATTCATCTTTGAAACACAAATGAAGATATTTTTAATGAAATCTGAGAGCTTTCTGTCCCTCCATTGACAGGCTACGCAACTACCACTTTCAAGGCCCAGAAAGGTAGTAAAGACATCATTAAAGTAACCCATGTGACTCCAGTGGTTTAACCTCAATTTTATGAAGCGACGCGAGTGCTTTGCTAGTGCAAGAAAAAAGAATTTACCACTTTATTTACAAAATATGAGCGTTCACGAGAGCACCACGATGCATGCATGTACGTTGTGTGTGTTGACGCGAGAGCAGACGTTGTAGAGTTGGAGATTCATATTTTGTAAATAAAGTGGTAAATTCGGTTTTCTTGCACCAGCAAAGCACTCGCGTCGCTTCATAAAATGGAGGTTAAACCACTGGAGTCTCATGGGTTACTTTAATGATGTCTTTACTATCTTTCTGGGCCTTGAAAGTGGTAGTTGCGTAGCCTGTCAATGGAGGGACAGAAAGCTCACAGAAATTAATTAAAAAGATCTTCATTTGTGTTCTGAAGATGAATGAAGGTCTTACGGGTTTGGGACAGCATGAAGGTGAGTAATTATTGACAGAATTTTTGGGGTTAACTATCCCTGAAAATGTTCATTTTCAGGTGAACTGTCCCTTTAAGAGCGCAGAGGTCGTACCTGTGGCAGGTGGTGGAGGGCACTGGTAGCCGTTGATGGTTTCGGGGGGCGGGGGAGGAAAGCTGGGCACTCTGGGAGGGTCTGGGGGAAAAGCGGGTCTGCCTGATCCACCGGGACGATTAGGAGGAGGCACAGGCTGAGGCATCCCACCTCTGTTTCCTCCTCCTGTGGGTGGAGGTGGAAGAGGACCTGGAGGGGGGGTCCAGTCGCATGATGAGAAAGCCACAAAATAATAAAACAATGTCTTGTTTCTAAACATCACAACACATGAATCGTGTGTATGCAGGCGTCACCAAATTCACATTTAATTTATTTGAAAAATGGGGAAAATTTTAACGCATATTAATCCGCGTTTTCACCCCAGGAACTAGGGACTTTGGGCTGGTACTCGGTGTGTTTCCACCGCAGGGTCTAAATGAAGTGTCCCCGTCCGAAAGTCCCTGCTCGCGAGGTAGTACTTCTTCCTTTTCGAAGTTCAGGAACTTTCAGGGGTGGGACTTGGGCGCTGGATATGCTGATTGATCGAGTTCATGCCGCATTTTGATTGGTTGACTCCATGCAACATTTTATTTCATCCACCGTCTGTTGCGGTGCGTACAGTAACAGTTATTTGCTATTCAAATCAACAGAGATTTTAAAATAATGCTTCTTGAACTTTCAATTCATCGAAGGATGATGAAAATAATTATCATGGTTTCCACAAAAATATGAAACAGCACAACCGTTTTCAACATTGATAATAATCAGAAATGTTTCTTGACCATGATGACTGGAGTAAAAGCTTCTGAAACGGAAATCAGCTTTGCTATTGCAAGAATAAATTCAATTGTAAATTACAAGAAAACAGTATTTTTTCCTGTATGTTTTATTTTGAAAATTGTAGCCCTGGTGAGCATAAGATACTTTTTCAAAAACTTTTACAATTTTACCAACCCCAAACATTTTTTAAAAGAAGTATGTTTAAACTATTTTACACCTTCAGTTTTTAAAGATAGACATCATATTAGTTTAGTCATACTCGATGTATTTTAAATAATGTCACTACATGGCAAAACATGTTTTGGTTTCTCATATGACCTCAATATCACTTTCCGTCCTGTCAGACTTTAGTAACAAACATTGTCAATATGTAAGATTTACTAACCCTAATGTAAACCATACATATGTAAGCAATAAGGTACGAGAGGCTGTGCTGTATCGTAAATAAGTCACGGCTGAAGGGGGCGAAGCGGAGCTTTTATAAAACGGTTACCAACACATAATACAAATATTAAAGCCAAAAAATATGTATCAATGCAACTTTCACGAAGTAAAATCACTAAAAGCCTTCCTTCCGCTGGAAAAAATAGTCCCTGACCGTGAACAGCAACAGAAGTTACACTAATTCGCCATTAGATGGTGGCATGAGTGTCTTTATGAGTGAGTCAGTCAGTAGAGAAGACTCTTATATTGAAATGACTAGCGTGTCAGGGCACGGGAAAACCCCAAATGTTAAAAGGACCAGATAGCAGCGGACATTCAAACAGATTTTTTATTACGAATATAGGACTGACCTGAAGGAAAATGCCATATCTACTGTAAAACCCGGTTATTCGATCTCTAATGTTACTACTCTATAAGCTTCAATGAAAAATATCAATAAGAACATACATATGATTAAGTAACTAAGAGTGGTGTTGTGTAGTGATACATAAAACCGTTTGGTGAGGCGGTCATAGCCGTGTTCTACCGTGAATAAAACACAGCTATTGATAAATCAGAATCAAGAACTGGAACTAACCGTTTTATAAATATAAAATACATTTGACCTGAAATTTGACTCAATATTGTGATGGTAAAAAATGAACTACGAAACAGAAAAGACCTTCCACATACCTGCGCGTATGGACGGGCTCCGTCCCGATGGAGGTGGCCGCTCATTGGGCGGTGGAGGCAGTGGGCTGGAGCGTCCAGGTGGAGGAGGCGGCGGAAGGCTGTTTCTCTGACCGCCTCGAGTGTTGGGCTCCTCCCTCGGGGATGGTGGGATGGGTGGTGCCCCTCCTCTTCCTGGAGGTAAGGATGGAGGCGGATTACCCATAGGCCTCTGAGAACTCATTGGTTTACACTCAGTTGATGGTGGTGGCGGTGGTAGTGCGCCATCTCTAGAAAATGACGCTCTTCTTCCTCCAGTGGGTGGTGGAGGGGGAGGGAGGTCATCTAAGGGCCTGCTAGGGATCGTGGGTAATGGCGGCCGGGCGGATCCAGGCATTGGTGGTGGAGGGAAAGAAGACTGGGACTCCTTCGGGGCGGGAGGAAGGCTTGGACGTCTGCTCGGCTGGCCTGGGGCTTGTACAGAAGGTGAGGAACCTGACGGCCGGTTTCCAGGTAGAGGTGGCGGGCCGCTGGGAGAGCTGTGCTGGGATGACCGTCCCGATGGTGGTACAGGTGGGGGTCCGGCCCTCCCAGGGGAAGGTCGTCCGGAGACTGGGAATGGGGGTCTGCTTCCTGCTGGGCTGCTGGGCGCTGGGAATCTCCCAGTTGTGGGAGGCATTGGTCCTCTTACTGTTTTAACAGCACCAAAAAACAAAGTATATGAAGACAAGTTTTAAGTACAGCACATTTTGATTTCAGTTTTTGTCAATGGAAAAAATAATTAGGACTTATTTAGGAATATTATTATATTACACAAGTATAGTATAGTATAGTATAGTATAGTATAGTATAGTATAGTATAGTATAGTATAGTATAAACATTTTGATTTCAGTTTATGTCAATGGAAAAAAAATAAAATGACTAAATTAGGATTATTACTATTTTATAAACATAAAGTATAGTATAGTATAGTATAGTATAGTATAGTATAAACATTTTGATTTCAGTTTATGTCAATGGAAAAAAATATAGGACTATTAAGATAATTATTATATTATACATATAGTATAGTATAAACATTTTGATTTCATTTTGCCACAATGCAAAAAATTATAGGATCAAATATAAATAGGATATTATTATTATTAAATAATAATTATAATTGTATTATTAATAATAGTATTTGTATTAAATTAAAAATAGGATTATTATGTAATATTTATATTTATTTTTAGATTTTTAACCGTTTAATTTAAGGCTTGAATGTAGTATTAAATAATAATAAAAATTATTTATTTTAGATGATTACCGTTGTTGTTTCCTGGTGATCTCAGTCTTGGCATTCCCCCCTGAAACAGCCCACCCAGTGCTCCTCCACCCCCTCCCCCACCCCCACCTCCACCTCCCCCTCCTCCTCCTCCTCCTCCTCCTCCTCCTCCTCCTCCTTTGGGCTCTGTGTAAATAAAAAATATCAATTAATACTTATAATACTTACAAATAAATTAATTGTTTTTATTTACTTAAAAATATCCATTTATTCGTTAGAATGTCTTTGGCTCTACACTCTTAAAGTCATCATGAAATCAAAATTATTAACGTATTAACATATTCATCTAAGCGTCGCTCTCAGCAGTGTGATCGGCGTCAGATGTTCGGTAACAGTGTGTTGCTGTTCAAGTATTTCGAACGTCGTTTTTCCCTTAAACGAAGAACGCCGTGAGTATATCGGGGCCTTAATGCGGTCAAGACCTGCCTGGAACTACTTTAGCCGTGCGTTTCCCTGAAAATAACTGCATCACAATCAGATTTTAGTATTCAACAGCCCCGCAGTATAATTGTTTTTAATTCAAGTGCCCTCTGTAGTGCCTGAGACAGATCAGAAACAAAGAAATACATAATCCACAATAACCCTCATCCAACACGCAAACCGTTTCTGTGGAACTACCCCCAAACTGCTACTAACACCCAGATGCAGAACAGGCACTGGTCACCTTGCAACTTTTTCTCTTCCCAATCAAGTTTCATATGCAAAACACCCTGCTAGATGACAACTTTGCCTTCAAAAGTGAACTTTCGTATTAGCTCATTAACCTCTTGAGGGATTGACATCTTCACACTTTAAAAGATCACTGTTTAAGAACACAGTTGGGAAAAGGAGAATATTATAAGTTCTGACAAGAGGATGCTGAGCTAAACGCCTTCGAAGGATCCCTAAGTCTGGGCCAGGCGTTGGCCTAGTGTTTTCGATCCTCAAAGACCCTCTGCACCAAACCGTCGTTTTGCTCATAATTGGAGTCTCTAATCACCCCAATGCAAGCCCACAGCTACATGCACTTAGAAAGTGTTGGATCAGTATTATAGTCTATGGCCAAGAGAGTAATATCTAGAAACATTATCAATAAACAACATTGACTGGACGAGTGTTGTTGGGACGTTTAAGCCAACCTGACACTCACATGAGACCCACCAATAGCAAACCACAACCCTCCAATCAATTCCACACGGACAAAATCAAGCCCCGCTCTACATTTGTTCTTGTTCGAGAAGCTGTTTCACTCAGATAAACATCACAAAAGGGAAGAAAAGTCTATCGCAAAAATAAAGCTTCCAAAAAGGGGTTTTCACAAAAGAATCATTTTTGGTTCCCTGAAGAACCTTTCCATGAACAGTTCTTAAAGGGATACTCCACTTTTTTTGGAAATAGGCTCATTTTACAACTCCCCCAGAGTTAAACTGTTGAGTTTTACCGTTTTTGAATCCATTCAGCCGATCTCCGGTTCTAGCGGTACCACTTTTAGCATAGCTTAGCATACATCATTGAAGTGGACAAGACCATTAGCATTTCTCAAACAAAAATGACCAAAGAGTTTCGATATTTTTCCTAGGTAGGAAGGTAGCCTATTTTCAGGCGCAGGTCATATCATTACGCCTGCTGCACTCATGGTACGGCAGTAAAGTTTCTTGATTATTACGCAGGAATGAGAGTATAGTTCCTAGCCATATCAGCCTAGAAAATCGTAACTTTACATTTTCCGTCGGTCTTAGTGCACGATGTAACTACAGAAGAGTCAAGTTTTAAATAGGAAAAATATCGAAACTCTTTGGTGATTTTTGTTTGAGAACTGCTAATGGTCTTGTCCACTTCAATGATGTATGCTAAGCTATGCTAAAAGTGGTACCGTCAGAACCGGAGATCGGCTGAATGGATTCAAAAACGGTAAAACTCAACAGTTTAACTTGCTGGGGGAGTTGTAAAAGGAGCCTATTTCCAAAAAAAGTGTTGTATCCCTTTAAAGGAACTGCTTTTCTTAGTTTGAAGAACTTTTTGTGCAATGGAAGGTTCCATGGATTTTAAAAGTTCTTCATGGAACCATCGATTTTAAAGCTGCAGTCCGCAGTTTTTCCTCTTTGTCGCCATCTCTGTTCGAAATCTGCAATTGCAGTTATTCGCGGAATTATCAACTTTACGTGAGTTGTACCTCGGCACGGCCTCAAAACACAATGTTTTGAGGAGAGTGTGTGGCTGTCAGTCGCAGCGCCGGTGTGGATACTGGCATTCAGAATCACAGATTATACTCAAAATCAAGCCCCGCTCTACATTTGTTCTTGTTTGAGAAGCTGTTTCACTCATATATACATCACAAAAGGGAAGAAAAGTCTATCGCCAATTCTGATTAAAATAAAGGTTGGTTCCATGGATTTTAAAAGTTCTCCATGGAACAATCGATTTTAAAGAGTGTAATATATATATATTACAAAACATATTGCACAAAACAAGTTGAACTCACTGTCCAGAATTGGGCCGCTCCGATCATTGGTGGTTGTTTTCTTCAGGCGAGCCCCCTTGCCGATATCTGATAGTAAAGCATTTCTCCCATGCTGCTCATTTCTGTTCAGATTCGGCTTTTCTGTGTTCGCCTAGTGAAAGTAAATGTAAATTAGAGATGTTACATAAACAACACACATTGTCATCAACTCAAAATAGATATTGAGCCTTGAATACCTACAACTTTGAATAGACAGTGTATGCTACACAATTACATAATGCCGTATTACATGTGGGTATTTGTGATCACATGGTTAAACAGAAACAAGAAAGTACAATCTTTCATCAGTATTTAATTGCTGTTTCACTATTGACGTCACCAGGCTAAATATTTCAACTTATTTATGGAAAAAAAAACTGGCACGCTTATTTTTTCTTGGCATAAAAAGTGTATACAATGTTATTTGTTAGCTATAATGTTCAACGGTTGAACAATAAACAATAAATCCAGAATTTTGATCAATTTAAAACTTTCTCCAGTGCCAATTTAAATGATATAAATCAAACTTACTTTTGGAATTGTAGTCTAATCCAAGGAGGAAGAAGGTAGACGAAGTAGATCCAAATATAAACGTGATTTATTAATATAAAGTAAACTCAATGTAATATCAAAGGACACAAACGAAACAGTGTGCCATACACAAACAGCACAAACAATACCGGACAATAAACGGGAACTAAAGAGAAACTTAACGGGATATAGTTCACCCAAAAATGGAAATACTGTCATCATTTACTTACCCTTAGGTTCTTCAAAAACTGTATAAGTTTCTTCCATTGAAAACAAAAGAAGATATTTTTAAAGTGGCCATTGACTTCCATAGTAATCTATAGTGAGAAATTCATACAGGTTTGGAAGTGTGATGACAAAATCTTCATTTTTGGGTGAACTATCCCTTTAAACGATCCCACACAGTGATGATCAACCAAATACAGAGAGGTGTGCGCCTCAATGTCGTCATCTCTGATTGGTTGAATTCTACAGGGTTTCCGGGAGACGTGTGTGTCACGTTCTGCCTGGAAACAAAGCCGTCGTGATGCCAAACCCCCTCATGGAAAAAAGAAAGCTGTCATGTTTACAACTGTGACAATGAGTGCTTATACGGATAGAGTCATCCATCTATCCAACTGACGGGTTGGCCAACACAAATACGTCATCACTGCAGCGCTCAATAACCACATATTTAAGATGGGAGGGAACAGTTTAAGACCTTGAAAAGCCCATATCTGTTGACCACTGATCTCTAAACGTCCTCGTACGTTTGGTCCAGCATGTGGTAGTTATGGCTCTGGGACTTTGAGGAGGCAAAATACAGTATCTTCAGCAGTAACTTTGTCAAATGAGATGATTTAAAAACCTTCAATATTACTGCACAAATGACACTGTTCCTAGAAAATGACCCTTACAAATGATCAACCTGTACACTATCTTCTATCTGACTCCAATATCTGATCACTTCAACATTTGGTTTATGTGAGATCCTGTTCTATTTCAAACAAATGAACTATTAACATAATCATCATGAAAATACTTGAATTTGGTCATCTATATTATTATACTAATATACTATACTGGGGATTTCACAGACAAGGCTTAAGACTAAAATGCATGCCGTTTTAACTTTTACTGAAATATCTTAAAATATGTCAGTGCCATTGTTTTGTCTCATGCACACCAGTATGTATTTTCTTCTGGGGCACATTCATAAAAGCTGTTAACCCTCGTGTTATGTCGGGTCAATTTAACCCATTTCGATTTTTGAGTTGGCAGAAATACCGGTTAACTTGTTTTTTCTTTTCTTGACATTTTGTGACTTTTCTCATTTAGGGTCATGAACATGCATGCAAAGTTTCAACATGCCGAGGTGTAGGGCTTGTAACATTTTTATACGATTTTAATCATCCAGAAGTAGAAGTGTCTTGCTGAGTTTAACAACTTTTTATTGTTGAAAGTTTGTGAAAACAAAACTGTTTAACTTGTCAGTCCCCATTTTTTGAGCACTCACATGAAAATGACTTTTCCAACTTAAATTGTTATAAATCTTGAATACTTCCGAGCAAAGACTCCAATTTGGTATCTTTTTAAAGGCGAAATGTCACAGATTATTGTAGAAGTTATAAAAACAGTTATAATAGAGTCATGTTTAAAAAAGTTATAGAAGTTTAAGTTTATCGGTAACGCTTCCTTTTACAGTCCTGTTACCCATGTACATACTAGGTACTTATTATAGTAATTACAATTACTGGGTAATAACTAGGTACTAACCCTGAACCTACCCCTAACCCATGTACTTACCTTATATTAGCCAGTACTTTCTAGGTAAGTACACTGTAAGTACACGTAAGTACTGTACTGTAAAAGGAAGCGTTACCAGTTTATGAACATGTAAAATATATATATATATTTTTTAAATATATATATATATAATTTACAAAGTATGTTTGATTTTCTAAATCTAAGAAAATCAAAGCCATACATCTGAACAAGTCCTGTGTCAACTGTTAGGTTGATATCTCAATAAATGAGCTTTCGGTAAGATTTTTTGGCCGCAGTACCAAATTTTTCCACTATGAGTCTTCGATTTCCATATGGTTTGAGTGATCTGAACTATATATTTCCATAATTTTCTAAATATTTATGAAGTAGATATATCCTATTCGGAAGTAGTTTTTAATCTTATTTGATTTTAATAACAAATAAATTGTGTCGCAAATAAAGAATCTATGGCTATTTATCTATTGCTCTGGCATTTCTTAATGAAAACAAGGGGCCAAATATGAAAACTAGAGTCTGAAAGCTTCTTTTAAAGATTACTTAGATATTATTGTAATAGATGTGTAATCGCCAACTGTCTTAAAAACAGTGGTTAAAAACATTTTTATAAATCATAAATTCAGATATTTATTCTTTGTAATGTGTGAAAAATATTGATATTGAACCTGATTGTATTTTATTTTATTTTTTTCATAGGGCGATTTTTGGGGAATTGTATTGAATCCAATTAGGGTCAATATGACCCGCTCCAACAAGGCCGTACCAGAAATCGAACAGTGCACGAGGGTTAAATGACCTATTGAACTAAATCCTGGCTTAATCTAAAACCTGTCTGTGAAACCAGGCCTTTAAATACTATATTAAGATACTTATCAACATATGTAGATCTGAACAATGGTCTCATACCAATGAAAAGGTTGGAGGGGGACCAGGGGGTGGTGGAGGTCCAGGCATAGTTTCTCTTACGTCGTGTTTTGTGTCTCTTTTAACCTGAAAGACTGAGAAAACAAAAAACACAAAAACACATTAGTTACAATTATTCAACAACAACCAAGCTGATGAGTAAGTAGAGGAAGTGTCACATCTTCTGAAGACACATAGCTCATCCTCAATGGTTTTTGTTCCAACTTCCGTTAAGTCACAAAGTAACACATATTCACACACACACACACACACACACACACACACACACACACACACACACACACACACACACACACACATATTGATACCTCAAACTTACCATTTTGTAGTTTAAATACCCTTATGAAAAGAAGTGTTTTGAAAGTTCACTTGTAGTGTATTACAAAAAGTCTATTTTTTAAAAGCTGTACTTGCAGATATTAATGAAATGAAAGGGCCATTTAAGTGTAAAAAAATGCATTTTGAAGTAATGACAAAGTTTTGCTTTAAAGTACATTTTAAATCATTGTTTTAAAAATTCTTATAAAAGAAAATCTTATTTTGATGTGTTACTAACAAGTACTTGATCATAATTTTAACTGCAGTGTGTTATTAAAAAAACAACGTTTTAAATGAATAATAAATATAATTGTAACTTCATCGTTACAAATGTGTAATTACAAATCTATTTAAATACATGACACAAGTTTCAACAGAAATTGCATTAAAGTATATTTTAGTTCACTGTAAACGCTTGTCAGTACATTCGACTTTAACCATATTCCATCATTAATATAAACAGTTTATTTTTTTTAATCTTTTTTTAATGTTACATACTAGCAAAACACTGCAACAATATATTTTTACCATTCTAATGCAAACATTAACCATTAAAGACATACTTGATAATCAAGTACAGCAAACAAGTGTCTCTGTATCTATTTTACATTTGATCGTTTATAAAGCAGTGTATAATTATGAGCATGCACACTGAAAAAGCAAATGCATGACTTATAATTATAAAAAATAATATAAATGTGACTATAACTGTTCTTATAATGCAGTGTAGGTCTTAACGAGTCTTTATAAAAATATTTATAGATTAGCAATACTTATAAATAAGTATAAATGGGGCTATAATTCATTATAAACATAGAAAGTGTTACCGTAAATTATTTTAAAGTACATTACTTTCATAATAAGTGCGCTTTTTAAAAGTATGCTACTTCTTTTCCACAAGGGTAGCCATTTGAAAGTAACAAAACAGCAGGTGTTCACTATCAAAATAACAAAAGAGATGTTACGCTACAAAGATCTCGCACATGAGCTTTCACTCAAACCAAGCTCCAGTTTGACCCGATATGCATTTTCATGAACGATAAGACCGAGGTGTGTTTGACTGATGTTGTACAGCTGTGACCTGATTACTCGTGTGCATCACTGTGTGTGTGTTTCGCACAGGCAGTAAAATCATGACGTGTCGCTTCTGTCTTTTAAACTCAGAGTGGCTGCGGACAGATGCTGGCACCGTTTCCTTGCAACAGCTGAAGTGCTACTGAAAAAACACCACGAGAAACCTAAACACAACCTCCTACCAGTCTCTCAGTCCACTAGCAAGAGCACAGCAAATACTGGGAAAGTTGCCAACGTGTGACCAATAGATTTGTATGAGCAAACACAACTCACATGTTCATCTTCAGGAATGTAACAACTTGCCTTCTTAATATCTGTGTGATTTGTTTCCGGAGGCAAATCCTGTATCTAACCTGCGTCGACTGTCATAAGCTCTTATCTGCTTCTCAAGTGATCATCACACGGAGACCAATGACTTCCTGACACCAGCAGAAATAAACACTCAACATTTTACACGCTCAAGCTTTTTTTAAGAAGGGGAAAATGCTCATTTTACAGTAACAGATCTGATCTGTTGCTCTTTACAGTATCGCATGCATCTCTTCAGAGGCACATTTGTGGCAATATTAATCAGGAGTGAGAGAAAAATGCTCAACCTTTTCACAAATGAAACACTCAGATGTTGTACATAACCATTTTCTGAAATACTGAGTCCTTTCTATCTGAGCATAACATTCAAAAATGTGGGTTCTGTGAAAATAAAAAATGCACAGTAAACTCAGTAATATTGTGAAATATTATTACTGTTTGAAATATTTGTTTCTATAGTAAAATACTTTAAAATGTAATGTATAACCTGTGATCTAAGCTGCATTTCCAGCATCATTACTCCAGTCTTCAGTGTCACATAATCCTTCAGAAATCATTCAGATATTATGATTTGATGCTCAAGAAACATTTATGACTTTTATCAATGTTGAAAACAGTTGTGCTGCTTTATATTTGTGTGAAACCGCAATAAAAAAATCTGGATATTTTAATGAAGAGAAAGTTCAAAAGGAACACGATATTTAAATTAGAAATGTACAATTTTTCAGTCTTTGCTGTTACTTTGTATCAATTTACTGCATTCTTGCTGAATAAAAGTATAAATTTCTTTAAAAAAAAAAAATTAATTCCACTGACCCCAAACTTTGAGATATTTTCTACATTGCTCTGTACGAACAAGTGCGCTACAATATTCAAAATATTTGCTTAATTTGTTAAGACTTTCCTTTTATTTTAAATATTTGCGTTCAAATTCAAATGTATCCTGTTCTCCAGTTTGTTAGCCGTCAAAGAAGAACAGTTATAACTGACATTACATCATGATTTGCATTGAAAATTCAGTTTTTATGCGGAGAAATGTAAGATAACACAACATGTCAACAGTTTACACGGTCTTGTTCAGAAGCTGTGTGAAACCCCAGCGAGCGAGTTACATTTCCTCCGCCGAGTTTCCTCTGTGGTTGAGCAGTCAGAGAAAACTAAAGAAACACTATCTTTCATCAGAGATGCTCACTAGCCTTCACCAGGACACTTCATCACTCCCGCACAAGCTTCCCTCCCATCATTCCCACACTTACAGACACACTCACCTGTGCCTGAGCATTTGGAGCCTCCAGATCCAAAGTTTGGTTGAATGTTGCGCTGCACTTCCTATCTGCGAGTGCACAGGAGAGAGTTTGCAGTGAGAGCTTTTCATGCAACAGAACGAGCTGAGGATCACAGCATGCAAACTAATGTGACCACATGCATTTCCTATTCACAACGTCTGTGTCAGAGTGAGATTAGCCAGTCGAGGGCTGTTATGAACTCCAATGGCTGAGAGCATTAACAGAAACAGGAACTATAAATGACTAATTTGGAGAAAATAGATCTGACACTGCTGGTCTCACTGAGCTTGTAGCCTACTTCAGTCAACATTTCAGTGCTTTTCTCAGAACTGACTTCACTTTTCTGAGTTATTTTTGCTCACTGACTTTTAATCAGCTGGTGTCAAGTTTCTTCTATTTTTGCTATATCTCTATGATATTACAGTGAGCAGTTCTCAAGTTCACACAGGTGTCCTATCTAGGGGAATATAACCACAGGTGTAGAGAATCACATCAATATAGGACCGTTCAAAGGTTTGGGGTTGGTGATTATTTTTTTTTTTTTGGTTTGTTTTGTTTTTGCCTCTTATAGACCTTATGTAGCCCCTCCCCTTTTCAGCACTGAGCTCATTCCGGTCTGTATTTTCACAGCGAACTTGCGTAGAATGAATGGCTCGTTAAAAAAATTCCCAAGGTCCATTTGTTAAGACATATGCTTTACAATGCTTATCATAAACATTACAATGCTCATGATAATTTTCGTTAACTCTACAATAAGTAAATCACCTTCACCAGCTTAATACAGAGCGACCGCAAAACCGGAAGTTCAAAGACAATATTCTAAAGATGGCGGCGGCCTCGTTTCTCTGGTGCATAAGGTCTATAGGCTATTCATTAATACATTTTAACACGTAATTTATTCCTGTGATTGAAGCTGAATTTTCAGTCTTCAGTGTCACATGACCCTTAGGAAATTATTCTAATATGATGATTTGAAGTCAATAAATACTTCTGATTATTATCACATGCAGCATTTATTTAAAATAGAAACTTACTGTAATTTTGATCCGTTTTATGCTTCTTTGCTGAATATAAGTCTTTATTTATTTTCTTTTTCAAATCCGTTCTGACCCCAAGCGTTTGAACTGTAATGTGTGTAGGTATATATATATATCATGTATACGGTATATTGGATGTCTCTATTGTGACGCAAGCTCGGCCTGAAGGTACAATGGCTTTGAATTTTCCATTTCCAATTAAATACAATTTCATGACAAGGAACTTGAGAGTAACTTGACTTTTGTGTTGTAGTAAACAGCAGAACTCATCACACAGAGAGAGGTGGCTCAGCCATGGAGACGGAAATGAGAGGTAAGAAGACTCACTTAAAGGGTTAGTTCACCCAAAAATGAAAATTCGGTCAGTAACTACTCGCCCTCATGTTGTTCCAACCCTGTAAGACTTTCGTTCATCTTTGGAACACAAATTAAGATATTTTTGATTAAATCTGAGAGCTGGATCACTCCTCCATAGGCTTCTTAAGGGATCGAAACTGGCCGGCCCAAAAGTTATGAAAGAGATTGAGCCACTGTAGTCACTCGGACTATTTTAACGATGTCTTTCATAACTTTTGGTGTTAAATTCATCAATCTGGTGCACTTTGAGAGTTCAAAATTAAAAGCTCCAACCCATATTCAGTGTGCAAATTTAACAGAGAGAAAATTAAAATGCACAACATTTTCTTAAACCCCCTTAGCCTTGTAGCAGCCCATTAGATTAGTAATAATGGTGGTAGAAATTGTAATTTATCTACTACAAGTTACATGGTCAGATAAAATGTATTTGTACAATGCAACTGTGGGGATTGAAAACTCAATCTCGCCTAGGGCAACCAAAGGGCTAGAGCCGGCCCTGAGAAGATGGATGAGCTGCTCACGAGTCACCTCCCTCTGCTCCAGTCGACGACACTTTGCAGTCGCCCCGCTCAACAGTCACAGAGCTGGAGGAGTTCAGGAGACGAGGGACAACATGGTAATTAAGTGGCCATAGTCCTGCCCTACGACAAACACTATAATTGCATAACTTCAAATATCATTATAACTGAACAAAATGAGATTGTACAAGCTCTCCACTTTGTCCTACATGTATAATTTGTATTTCTATATGTTTTACAGCTACTTTTCCTGACAACCCTTGGAGGTTCGACCAGAGGTGCTGCCATCCGTCGCATGCTACGGCGAGTGCCAACCAATGACGGTCTGCGGGGCAGAAAGGCAAAGAAGGCCTTCCAGGACCTGACAATCTGCATAACAGGCAGGTGTTATTTTATTGTTCACATCAGTATTATGCTTAGCTTGGAGGTTGTAATTTGACTTGTAACTTTTTGCCTTTTACTCTACCGGGCTGCCAGAAAAACAAAAGACTTGATTGGGCAAGTGCTGAAGTTTGCCCCACACAGACGGTAACCTGAAATTATTTTATGTGATGTTCACAATAATCAAAGAAATGGAAAAACTATCAAGATTTGTGATCATAAAAAAACGTATATGATTTATAAGCCGTTTTACAAAAAAGGAAAAAAAGGAAAGAAAGAAAATCCCCACAAGGACAAGATTTTCGTATATTGCCACTTATACAAAAATCTTGTCCCCACAAAGATGGCAATTTCCGAAATCCTTGTACTTGTGGGTATTTTTAATTTTTTTTTTTGAAAACAGCTTATAAATCATACTAAGTGACGTGTTTGAAAACGCAGAAAGCTATCTGTGATAGCCTAGGGTTAGTGTGTAGGGGGGATAGAATACACAGTTTGTACAGTATAAAAATCATTATGACTATGGAAAGTCCACATTAAACATGAAAACACAAAATTGCTTGGTCTGTTGAAATGAGAGGTCTGTTTGATCAAGTTGAAACCCTTGTCATCCCAGTCTCATCGTCTGAGGCTGAAATAAGTTTCATTGCTCTTAGGACACTGAAAACATGGCTCAGAACAATGGCACAAGTTGCTGTGTGTCATGTCCAACAGGACAAACTGGACAGTATTGACGTGAAACAAATATGCCAAAAGTTCATTTCTGTTAACGGGATAGTTTCCTTAAATGAAAATTCTGTCATCATTAAGTTGTTTCAAACCAGTTTCTTTCTTCTGCTGACCACAAAGGAAGATATTTTGAAGAATGTTGGTAACCAGACAGTTGATTTGACTTCCATAGTATTTTCTTTCTTACTATGGAAGTCAATGGGGTCCAACAACTGTATGGTTACCAACATTCTTCAAAATATCTTCCTTTGTGTTCAGTAGAAGAAGGAAATTCATACAGGTTTGAAACAACTTGTGGGAGAGTAAATGATGACAGTATTTTTATTTTTGGGTGAACAATCCCCTTAACTGTCTCTTTAATGACAGATGCAGACATGTGTTTGGCTTCTTCAAAAAGCAAGGAACAAGGCCGTATTGCACTATGAACCGAGTAAAGTTGAGTCTCTGTTAAACTCCCTTCTTTTCTTTAACAGTTACCATAACATTACAGAATTCATTAATGTATTGTTAAGGTCAATATAGACTAAAAACCTTAATATTATCTTATTAATCCTATTCATTTCCTGATTCCTCAGCTTCTGGGAATGTCCCCGCCAATCTCAAAACCAAACCTACGCCCTTGAGTGAGTGAGTAAGATATTTTACTGATAAAATCATCAGAGCAGTCCTCCTGACAACACGTTTCTGTGCGAGAGCGGAAGAGAGATACGTATTTTTTCGTAAATAATAGCCTAAAACCTATTTTTTGGCAAAAAAACATGGAAATCCTATTGTTCCCTATTGGTTCTTTTGCTGTTGTCGGCTTTAAAACCCTTTGAAATATCTGAAATCATTTGGCGAAGTGATATGGAACTGTAATGCGGTCAAGACCTGCCTGGAACTACTTTAGCCGTGCGTTTCTCTGAAAACAACTGCACACATTAGAACTCGTCAACCAATCAGAATCAAGCATTCAACAGCCCGTATATATCATGTCATCACGTATACGTATATCATTCCTAGGAGACAGGCAGGTGATGTTTAATTTTATGACACACTATACACTAGGCCTGTTATAGTAACCTAATGTAATACTGTCCTTTGTATAATAGGCTATGTATATGGTAGGCCTAGGCTATTGTATAATATTTAACCATTATACAACTGCAATGTAGGCTACCTGCTATAGCCATCCAAATGTAGAGCTTCTTCTATTTACAGTAAACACAAACACACGTGTTTAAACTTGTTACATAGCCTACTGAAATTCTCTTAAAAGAAAAGTCAAATTCATTTTACAGTATGGGGTGCCTGTGTAGCCTACTTACATAAGACATAACATTTTCAGGTTTAAGGTTTAAGGGAAGGTCAACAGTGTCATTATTGATGTAATTAATTACAGCTGCAATTACATGCAGGTAGCCTCCAGTATTTTATATATATATATATATATAGGCTATAGTATAGGCCTAGTTATAAGTGCAAAAATGTAGGCCTATATTGTAAGATAGCCTACCTATAGAAGCTTGTTTCCGCCACAGAATAAATCAGTTTTGAGAGATATAAAGTCAGAAATGCGAGATATAAACTTGCAATTCTGAGATAAAATTTCGCAATTATCTTTTAACATGTTTTATTCTGTGGCGGAAAAAAAGCTATTGCGAGTTATAAAGTCCAATTGTAAGGAAAAAATTTATGACTTTTTTTTTCTCAGAATTGTAAGTTTATATCATGCCATTCTGACTTTATAACACAATTGCGACTTTATATCATGCAATTCTGACTTTATATCATGCAATTCTGACTTTATATCATGCAATTCTGACTTTATATCATGCAATTCTGACTTTATATCATGCAATTCTGAAAATTGCGAGATGTAAACTCGCAATTGTGAGGGAGGGGGGGGGATGACTGCTCAGATAGCTTTCTGCGTTTTCAAACACGTCACTTAGTATGATTTATAAGCTGTTTTCAAAAAAAAAAATTAAAAATACCCACAAGTACAAGGATTTCGGAAATTGCCATCTTTGTGGGGACAAGATTTTTGTATAAGTGGCA